TTTGATTTTTTTTGTAAATAAACTCTACTCCAAACTACAGATATAAATGAAATCGCCTCTTCCATATTTTGCGTTTATTTGTGGGTTTTCCCTTTTCCTCTGGTTCTTTACAAATGTTTTTTTTTCTTCTTTTTTTTTTGTTGCTAAAAGGGTTCTTTAAAATGTTCAACATAAGATATTGTTAGCAAAAGATGTGCGACATATTTGCCACGTACTTAAATGCATAAATAATTTTCAGCATGCCGAAAAAAAAAATTCTTAAATGGTAGCCTAATTTTAAAACTAAGGAAAAATATATTTATATATTTTTAAATATTACTCCCTCCACTTTTGTTGATGAATTTTTCTAGAGTTTCACACATCTTAAAAAGTTTTTCTTTGATTATAAATGTAGATTTTTGTTATTAAACCATTTTCTATAACTCAAAACCAATAGTATTTTCTGTCAACCTCTAAATAAATAGGAATTGAATAAATTTAATTCTTTTCAATCATTATCTCTTAAATTATATTTTTTCTTAGTTTTATGTATAACAAATACATAATCATGTTTTATTAGATACAAAGCCATGTTTTATTAGATCTCACGAAAATATATGTCAGTAAACAGATCTAACAAATACAAAGCCATGTTTTTCTTAGATTTCATGAAAAAGTCAAATTTACATGATCGTAGAAAAAAAGAGAAATAAAACCCTCAACGATTGTAAATTTTAGTCGAGGGGGAAACTACATGACCATCGAACCTCGAGGCTCGAATTGAAGTAACTATTAACTATTAGTCTATTAAGCATATTTGAGATTCAAAATCATTTAGTTATCGTTGCACCCTTTGACGTTTCTCACTTTCTCTCCAACATCCCCACGCAAACTCCGTTGACGCTCTCACACGCAATTTTACATAATACGTATCTATTAGTTCACGGTACGCCTAAACTACATAGTAAAATTTTACATATTACAAAGTGAAGGAATTTTTAAATAAAATTGTAAGGAAAAAAGATTCGGAGCCGCAATATTACTTACGAAATCCTAATTTGATATTTCTGACCATTGATGGCCAAGTGCAAGTGGGGTGCGTGTGCCTTCTTTTTCTTTTTGCTTGTAGGATTCTCTTATCTATAATATTTTCCCCTAGTTTCATCCTTTTTTTTCTTCTTTTTCCTACTGTTATAATATAGGAGGCCAAACAATATATGTAGTTCTTTCATCGTTTTGAGTCCCATTAACAGCATGTAACCCCATCAAATGTTTACAGAATCATTATTGGGAAAACGGAAATCTATATAACATTTAAATTAACGGAAATAGTTCGTGATTAGATAATTAAGTTGAGTCTCCGAGACTCAATCACTAGACAAATTCTTTGTCGTTTGTTTAAATATATATTTTTAAGAAATGTTTTGAAATCAATCATCCGAACAATATTTTAATAAAACGTTTTAAACCAATCATTCTGAACATAATTAGAAAACTTTGCGGATAAAATAGGTCGTTGAAAATAATAGAGGGCATTTTGGTCAATTTAGAAAGGGACCATTCATTGAATGTGATTAGAAAATTTGAGACAAAGAAGATTTGGGAAATCGGGAGAGAGGGAGAGATGAGAGATGATTTGGTTGCATTGCATTTTGTGTCTCCGAGACTTTTCAATCCGACGTGTGAGGCTGTCGTTATAGAACCATGTAGGACCCTTCGCTCTTTTATTCCCTTCATCGACCTTCATTCATTATTTACATTAATGCCCCTCGTCATACACATATGTATACTACAAAACCATAAATAAGTAGTGTTGTCTTTCTTTCTTTTTTGGACAAAAAGTAAATAGTTCTGTCACTAGATTACCATTTACCACTTATGTTTAACTCTATATAATGCTGAATTTTATATGAATAATTTATTTCATTATGGATAGACTTTTACACATCGATTATGAGATCAGCGGTAAAACTAAAATATAAGAATCAGTCGTGAAATGAACGAAGAACAACAACATATATAAAATAAATACCTTATTCTCGTGATTTGTGAATCTCATATCATATTACATCGTCGAAAACGACGGGTAGTACAAGACCATATATGTTATTCTATTCAAGTAAACCTAAACGAGTGGAAGTTATCGTTTTAATTTTTGATATAACAGATTTTTTATAAAAAAAAAACTTTAATATAACAGCGACGAAGACATCCTTAATAACCATGATATAATATTTTAAATGTCTATATTTTGTTAATCCTTGGTCTCAATAGAGAGGTAACTTGTAGTGTCGATAGTGAATATTATTATACCGACAATAACGTCACGCCTTTGTTATTTTAAAGATAACATATATTTGGACGAAACCGATCACTTAATTTTTATTTAATTGTAAAGAAAAATTTCATGGGATCTATACAAACAGGAAGGTTGACAACGGGATTGGAGGAACTTACAGCACACTGTCAGCTTCACGGACCCCTTGACATTGATTTTAATTTATTTTAGCTATATTCACATGAATTAGTTTCAATTACTTTTTTAAGCAAAAATTAGTTTCAATTTATAAAAATTGTTTTTTTATTAGTTGTTTTGTTGCCGGTCCTTCATTCCTATCTCATATACTATGTAGATATATATTATATACATGGATATTGTTGTCTCACTAATCTGTATATATGCAGGGCATGGTCCATACACCATTAGTTTTCAAGTTGGTATTCGAATGTATATACATATATATTTTGTTCTTTCACTTTGTAAGAAACCATTGACTTGTCTGGGTATTTCAGATGGTGATCAAAGAGTTCCATAATTTCTTCTTTGGTGGTGTGGTTTGAGTTGTCAATATTATTAATTAATAAAATTGATATGTCTATTACTTAGCCAAGGGGCTTAGGGGCATATGCTTTATTAGTATTCAAATATGTAAATCTCTTTGAGAGTAGAAATTAATTTATATTTAATTTTTATGTCCATATACTGATATACATTGATAAATAAGCGCACCCACTCGGCCACTCCATAAAATGGAATAACAGAATATATCAAGTAATTCAGAATCATTGCTATGTTTTTCTATAAATATTTTTAGTGTGCAACTTATATAAATGATATTTTCTAAAGAAAACGTACGAATATTTTCGATAGATACATTATTAAACAAAAAGGAGAAATAGTTGCGTTTGTTAAGAACACTAACCACAAATTCCAATCCCCACAACACGAGGGAAAAACACTTAGAGGGATAATGGAGGAACTATATATGTAGATGATATATTGTGTGCCCATAGGCCATAGACCATATCACATGATGACTCTCTTTATTTGTCCATAGAAATGTACATATGCATGTAAGATGTATACACAGTTACACATGAGCAACTGCCAACTGTACGAGCCCAATTCCATAGCATACATTTTTTGTTATAACCAATGTCTAATTTTTGTGAGTTAAAAGAATGTCTTAGAGGTATACTGTATATAGTAAAAACGTAAAAACGTAGTCTGCGTCTTCTGTGGACAAAAACGTAAAAACGAAGAGTTACGAAAATATAAAAGAGAGGAGCATGACCATGTCATGGGTTCGAAAGCTCACGGATAGATTTGTCGCTCCTATTCCAACATGTTTGTCGATATCCATTCTTAGGCATTCCCGAATTGCATTAGGAGGATACTCCTAGACCCTAGTTGGGTAGGATCTATTGGATGTACCAAATCAGTCAAGAAAATAAATTGACGCTTATCTTAATTCATTCTCTGAATATGAGAATCTCGAAAGTCCATTTTTGTGAATAATGATGGCAACGGACAAACATTCCAACAAAAATGACGATTTTGTAAAGTTTCCAAAAACGAGTTACCTTTGGCCCCTGATTAGGCTGCGTGATCCCAAATCTTATCTCGGTTTTATACAAGCCCGTCGTATTCCCATTTGATCGTGTATGACATCCATATATGGTGAAGTACCCAAGAGTAACTATACTTTCTTAATTAAAATTCTTACTTGAATAGTTGGATTGTTATTATTCTTGGATACAGCATGTTATATATAGAGTATATTTTATACATATATGACCGTAATAAAATATTTGGATCGATGTTGGACTTGCATGTAACGTGTTGAACATCGTAGAAAACATTATCGTGGTTCGAGAAGCCTTTCCTAGTTAAGTACTTCAAAACCAGAGGCTTAATTACGATTATTTTGTCCCCCTCTCTCATCACCACCAGACGAATCCCTATCTTTGCTCCTCCCATCTCTCACAATATACACAATTTATTCACATAATTCATCAATAATTAAATAAATCTTAGTATCCAATTCCAAAATTATCGGTGGAATTTTAGAATCTCAATATGTGTAAACATGCAAACGCATAGGGAGATCTCCGGCTGTCAGCATGACATAAGCTGACCTCATCGCCACCGCTTTAGCCGCGACTGTCCCGAACGGACCCGCATTCGCATTATTTAAAAAACCTTACCGGACTCTCTCAAACATAAAGCATGTAAATGACGATAGTGCCCATTGGATATAATACCAAAAGGGAAAATCATATATGTAATCTAAAAAGTAAAAACTAATAGGGACATCGTTTAAACCAAACGAAGCATATTTGGAGAATGGACGACTTAGGTTGGTGGTTAATGTGTGTGGTAAAAAGAATATTATCATCTCCACGTTATTTCGTTTGAGTGTATGTATGATTACGCTATAATTTCTTTTACACGAATTAAAAAAATGGAGTTGTTTGATAAAGTAGTCCTTTTCAATATGCACACACAATTATTTATAGTAAAAAAGAAAGTTATTATGTTTGAAGAGTTTACACTTTACAGATGAAAGATACAAACAAAATAGAGAGGAGGTAGATACCGACGATAAATAATAATAATAATTGAGAGACATAAGAAAAAAAATATAATAAATATAGCAATGAATATTAGAAAAAAAATGAAAAGATATAGATTTATGAAAATGGCGTCAAAAGGAGGAAGGAGATTGAGTATGGTTTACGCCAAAAAAACAACAATAAAAAAATATAAAATAATTAAAAAGAAAAGGAGTTGTTCGTATCGTATTCTACCTTATAAAAACACACCATCCTTGTTTCCCTCTTCCTACACCGCACTCTCTTCTTCCTCCTCTGTGATTTTATCTCTCTCTCCTCTGTTTGGACCCATGGATAAGGTTAAACTCGTGAAGAATGGTGTTCTGAGATTGCCACCTGGATTCAGATTTCATCCCACTGATGAGGAACTTGTGGTTCAGTACCTAAAGAGAAAAGTCCTCTCTTCTCCTTTGCCAGCTTCCATCATTCCTGATTTCGATGTTTGCAGAGCTGATCCTTGGGATTTACCTGGTTAGTTCTGTTTTATAACTCACTGTTTTTACTCTTTTTGGTCTCGAACCAGCGACCTTAGACTTATTAAACTCTCTCTCTCTATGTTCTTGCAGGCAATTTGGACAAGGAGAGGTACTTCTTCAGCACAAGGGAAGCCAAGTACCCAAATGGGAACCGGTCCAACCGGGCAACCGGTTCCGGTTATTGGAAAGCTACCGGTATCGATAAACGGGTCGTGACCTCTAGAGGAAATCAAATCGTTGGGCTGAAGAAAACACTCGTCTTCTACAAAGGCAAACCACCTCATGGCTCAAGAACCGATTGGATCATGCACGAATATCGCCTCTCTTCCTCTCCTCCGGTACAATTTCTCTCTCATTGTCCGGTTTAGTTTCGGGTTTTCTTCACCTTTAAACATCACTGAATTTAGATTCCATTTCTGTGCAGAGTTCCATGGGCCCCATCCAGAACTGGGTTCTTTGTCGTATCTTCCTAAAGAAGAGAGCCGGTAATAAAAGCGACGACGACGACGGAGATAACCGGAATCTTAGATATAATAATAATGACCAAACTGAAATAATTACAACAAACCAAACCGAAGATAAAACGAAACCAATCTTCTTCGATTTTATGAGAAAAGAAAGGACTACGGATTTGAACCTTTTGCCGAGCTCTCCATCTTCCGATCATGCCTCAAGTGGACTCACGACGGAGATCTTCTCTTCTGATGAAGAGACCAGTAGTTGCAATAGTTTCAGAACAAATCTTTAATTTAATTTTAATGTTGACTATCTTAATAATTTAATATTAATACGACTCTCCTTCCCTTTTTTTTCCCATTTTACTTGAAAACGAATCTTTGTCCTCTCTTTCGTTTCGTGTTAATTTTTTTTTTTATATATAAAATAAATTTCGTGAACTAGTTGAATTTTTAGCTGAGTAATCAACCACCCTATTCAAGAAAAATATATTAGTGTATTACCTTTATTCCGTACCAAAAATTTCAATTCTTCTCGCAACGGTCCACTTATTAATGCATTTAATATATGTTTACAAGTCATTGTACAAATTTAGAGTAGACACTTCATTTGGAGATACAGCCATAAACGGAAAATATATATTTGGAAAAATAAAGAAGAAGAAGCAATAGCTCTTATTACACGTTGGTTTGGGGTTTTCTCTCCATGACATGACAATCCCATGCCGAAATAATTAGAAGTATTCAAAGTTCAAACTAAAAATTATACTAATCTCGTTGTTGTTAATAAAAAGGGAATGTAGGAAATTATTATGAAAGAGGAAACTATCGAAGTTGAAATTATATGTCCTCTCTGCACGTGACCGTGAAATTATTAACATAAATACACAGTAGAACCTCTATAAATTAATACTCGATAAATTAATAACCACTATAAATTAATAAATTTTGCTGATCTCAAATCGGGTCAATGTAAAAATCTATCAAATTCGATAAGATAATAAGATAATAATTTTTTTTGAAACCTTTATATAAATACATGGTTCCAACAAAAACATAAATTAATAATTATATAATTTTATGCAAATATATGTAAATTTAATATTCTAAAATATGACTAATGTGTTTGTTTTTAGTTAAAGTTGAAATCTCATTGGTTCTCATCTCTCTAATTATTATATCAGTAGCTCTTATTATTGTTTTACTATATACATTCAAAATTTATGATGATTTTTTGATGTGATAATTGATTTTCTTACATGTAAATATTTGTAAATGTATTGTAGTATTATCTTCAATTTTATCATCAATAATACTGATAGTAACCATAGTTTTTTTTTATAAATTTTAAACTTATGAACATGTATATTTTTATATGGACAATCCAATATAGTGAAAAATTATTTTATTGTGATAGTTATGATTTTTAATCATAATTTATATTATGAGATTTGTTAAAATTTTAAAATATAATATTATTCTAAATAAATTTTTAGAAAATTATATACGAAAAACAATTTTTCTCTATAAATTAATAATTCATAGATAATTAATATCACGATAAATTAATAAAATATTATGTTCCCAACATTATTAATTTATATAGGTTTTATTGTATGTGTGTGTATACTTAGGTGTATTTAGGTAGTTCTGTGTATATGATTACATATGTGCATGGAGGATTACAACTAAAAAGGGTAATAATGGCATGGAGAGGCTGTCAAATAGAGCTTCTTTTTGTCAAAAGTGCAGAAAACGTAATAAGAGTGTGATGAGTAGTTATCTCTTTTAAATTCAAAAAGGTCATAATTATTCGGTGGAAACAAGACAATTATAATTTACACATTTTACACTGAATTCTTAAGAAAGAAAGCTATTCATTGTTTACAATGATGTGATCTGATTTCAGCAAGGTCCCCACCTAAATAAATGCCCAAGTTAGATGTAATATTTCCCTAACTTGTACGTGGTAAGATAGTTTTTTGGGGGATTCCTTTTATTTTTATAAAGTGCTCTGTATTTTACTCAAAAGTAATTATATGTATAGTTAGCTCATTAATCTAATCTAAGGGCTGTAAATAATGAGGATAAATAACTTCTTAATAATAATAACCTGTTTAATAAATAACCTTAATTGTTTTATCATGACTGGAATCTCTTAAAAAGTCATGATACCATATAATATTTTTTAAACATGTTTATGACGAATTTTTACAAGGTTTTAGCAAAAATGATTTTTGTAGTTATTGAGACCAAGTATAAGACATTTTTTTTTGGTTAGCATCAATCTTCTTAAAGTCTGATTATAGATTGATAGGAACAAAGATATAAACTCACAAATTAGATCAGCTTTGACGATTTTTTTGTTCTTCTTACGAATATGGAGAAGCAATATCTGTCGTCATAGGATTCTAACATGGAAGGACTACAAGGAAAATTTATGCAAGAATCGATTCAAACTATTTTTTAAAAAAGTAGATGGAAAGATATAACTTATTTATGAACAAAAAGAAGAAACAAGCATAATTTTTATCAAAAACAAAATAATAAGCATAAGAACTTCAAAGAATCACCAATAAGAACCAAATTCCGTGAGGATAATATATTCGAAGAGGATCAAATCTCTCTCTCTATCTATCTAAAGATTCCATTCCAATCTTCAAACCTACTCCAACTGAAAAAAAAAAACATTCTAAGTGAGTTACTGAGTTCTGTTAATTTCAACAGCATCTATTACTGACACTGTTGTCTCCATCGAATTACTATGCCTTACGAAACTGAATTGAAAAGTTAGGTAACGGTCTGATGAGTGTTCGACTTAGTTGAGACACAAAACCTACCAAAGAAAAACTACCCATTAATTATTCGAACTAATGAAACAACTCCGTTAAAGTAAGATAATATTTTTAACTCGTAATTTCAAATTTTATGCCTTGGAAAGCCTAACCTATAAATATTAGCAACTTTTCCGCTCAATAACCGAAATTATAATTTGGCACAACAAATTCTTCTGTGTTTATTTCTCATAATAAACAGATATTATGTTTTACGAAAAATTTCCTTGATAAAATTCCCTTCATAAAATTCCATTTGGAAAAAAATGTCAGTATAGGCATTTTGATTCGTGTTGAATAACTAAATATTCTGTAATAGCAATACTAAGTTAGACCGATAAATATCCTATAATATTTGCTTTCTTACTAGTCCATACATATTCGATATTAGTGGTGGTAAGCATATAGTCACGAATTTCTTGTACTTGCAAGCAATTCCAATCATCTTAGTGATTATCGATTGTGTCAAATTAATTAACAACTTTATTACAAAATTTCAATATTTTTAAGGATGGTTTTTATGTTCCGTATGCCACAAGGAAATGTAAAGAATATTTTTCCGACCCAAAGATAAAATTCCTTTTGGATTCGTTGTACGGCATTATTGCTATTAGATAGTGGATAGTGGATTCGTTCAAATCTTTTGTTCTGTTTTCCCCACAAGTTACTTCTTTGACTCCGCTTGTATATTTGTATATAGGGATAGTATACATCAGATTATGACCAGCATAATAAACCGATTTTTGTACAAACTATAATGTAATACTCTTTCAAGTATAACGAATTTGATTAAACAAAAAACTAAATAGTGTAAATTAAAAGCAGAGCAAACGTGTGTCTCGTATATATATTCATCTGATTTGTAATAGACCTATTTACCTTTTATATAAAAATAGAATCAGCGAAATCTGGCCAAGAAAACAATTATAAAATTTTGTAGGATATTTTTGGTTATACTAGAACAACATAGTATAGAACGTTGTACAAATTATGATTTGTTAGCAAAACAAAAATATAGAATATTCTTCTATTTTGGCAAAGTATCATTTCTATGTAGAATCCATTATTTTTTCAAGGAAACAAAAATTATTGCATATGAAAAGAGACCTCTCTTTTCAAATCGCACAACAGTATTTATGCTTAGTTAACTGGTTACTTTTCTATTTATTTTTTTTTGGAAAAAGGTTACTTGTCTACTTTCCGAACTTGTATAATCATTCACTTAATAATTAAGTGTTTGTAGTTATCCAACCTAAATTATTCACTTAATAACTTGTTTTGGTATCTAATATCTCCATAGACCAAAAAAAAAAGATCTGATATCTCTCATATATTAGATATACGTGATACTTAAGTGGTACGATAAGAGTGATATACAAATACAACAGTAATCCGATAATGAGATCTGACTTTCATCTCTACTTTCCCATAGTTCGCAGTCACAATGACGATCGTGGTTGTGACATGTATATATAAACTATAGATACAGCCTCCGGTTACAATTTTTTTTAGCACAGAAAAAGACATGTATATATATATTTGTATTTTTTTAGTAAATGTCTTTATTGTATATCAGTATATGTATATATTTATATGCACATGTATATATATATACGTAGAATCCGAATTCTATTTCTGTCCTTCACGTGACAAGTTTTCCCGTTTGAAATGCAATTCCGTTTACTGGTAACCTTTTTTCCAGTTTTAATTATATTATTTTAAAAAACTCATACATGAATACATACATACATACGTATATTAACGAAAAAAATTATTAAAGAATATGGAGAAAACAAAGAAGGAAGAGAAGGTGGAAAGAGTCGTATAATGCTGACTTGTGTTTCGTGTGATTCAAATTTGTATAAAATTCCAAGTGGGCTGCGACTTGGGAGACGTGGGAGACCCACACACTTTCACAAACCATCCATTACCCACACGCCTTTTTTTTATAACTCATATTGCATAGTTATGTCACTTATGTGTCACTTCCACCAACCACATTCATTATGTAAAATATATATATACACCATACATTTACTTAACCTTTGCCTTAATGTTAAATTATACAAAAGAAAACATCTATACAAAAGAAGTTATAAAATTACTAAGTACTAACTAACGTCCATAATTTCATATCAAAGCTGTACGCAAACAACAAATTACAAATGCTAGTAAATGTTAATACGGATGCTAACGCTAAACGCAAATATATATACTCATACATACTCAAACACAAACACTAGTTTCGATAGAAACGTTAAACCGCTGAATGTGCAAAATAACTTCAACGCTAATGGTGAAAATTTGGTTGCATGAGCGTGAATTTTTTTTTTTGTTTTATAAAATTCAATCGTAAACTTTACACATTAATGAGAAACTATGAAACACAAATACACATTTCTATTTTCTTAACAATAACCACAAATTCAAATGCTAAACATAATCAAACGTAAACGGAAAATGTATGCACAAATTATAAGGAAGAACCAAACTTGATGTAAAAGGTAATGAGTGATTAATATTGACCCAGACTTGGTTTTACCATTCCCTCTACAGTAGTCAACAAAACTGAGAGAGAATTTAAGACGAGATTTATTGATAAGATGAGATTTATTATTAAGAACACTTTCACAAGAAACACTACAAAGGTGGAGAAAGTGCATCATCATTTATCAAAAAAGCTATACAAATCTCTTGAATCTAATCCTTTTCTTTTTTTGCTCTCCCAACCACCACACCATAATTTAACTACATAAAACAAGAAGGAACCTAGCTGGGTAAGCAAACTCAAATAAACCCTCCTTTCTTTTGTGCAACTCTCAAATAAACCCAAGAGAATCTTGATTTTTATAATTTTTATTTCATCAATTTTTCTTTATTTGGGTGTAAGAGCCAGAATCTCTTTATGGCTCTTGCCTGTTCCCATAAGCCCTATTACAAAACACTTAAAGAAGAGAATGAGGTCAGTCCCCAAAGACATGTTGCCTAGACTCTAAGCAAAACTAGAGATGTGACTCTCCCCAATTTCATTTCTTGATGTCAACACAAACCTAATTTGTAGATTAACCTAAATTACTTAAGGTTTATATCATCAACAACCACATCCCAGTGTCTATTTTATTCGGATACAATAGCTTAAGAAAGAACAAAGTCCAAAGTTGGTAATATAATCAACCGGTTGAATCGTGTGTATGAGGTAGACCATGTCTTGAATTCGAATCACATAGACGAAGAAAGAACTAAATTTGCGTGCTCTAGTCCCAGTACGAGAACATGTTGGTCCGAAAGATTCTTCTGGCTGTTAAAATATAGGTAAGAATTAATACGCAGAAAGATAGTGTTTGATATTTTGTGTAGAGGTTGCGTGTGAAGAAGCAAAACCCCTTGTGAGGGAGTGACTTGAGGATCAGCTTCAGCTTTCTGAGACATAATGACAAATAACAAATGGGTATGATATAGGAGCAGTTTTACTTACATCACATGTTTAGCTTTCATCTTGTGGTCCTATTTTCTTCTCCAATCTCTAAGCAAATCCTACACACCTCTTGAAAAATTTGTAAGCCATGGACCCCATTAAAGATTCAGTTGTATCTTCCTTAATTGACCCTTTTTGAGGCATGATTAGACTTTTATAGCGAAGAACTAATCCCAAAACTACATCAAAGCTAAGAAATTCTTGCTATAGATAGACATCAAAAATGGTCCCAAAGAACCTAACAAATCAAGCCACTTCACACGCTGAAGAGGCAACTCTTACTGTTCCCAGATTCCAACAAAACAGAAGAGTTATAAGCTTTGAACACTAAAACCAGCAGACAAGGCATATGCTTGGTGACAACTACAGTTGCACACCTGTACTGCACTAAAAAATCCTCTGCCTTTCCACCTTTGCACGCAACTCCCTGTTTATCAGATTATCAAACTCCATTAGAAAAAGAAAAGAAAAAAGACTAAAACTTATTCAAGTTGCTAAATAATTATTTACATGACTTGACGTTGCCATATGATAAATGTGTAATACTTTTGAGAAACCCAAACAGGACAGAGAGCAAAATAGCAGTAAAGTATTTTGTAACTTCATTTTTCACAAAAGGAAAGTTGCTATTATCTACACCTCGATTGACAGGGAAGAAAACAGAATACCTACTGTCTAGGGGTTTAAGAAACATAACCCAATAATATATAAGGGTCATGACTAGGAATCATTTTTTGTCCAGTTTTAGATAAAATCTAAGAGCACCTCCAGCAGTTAACTTGGTTTGAGATTGTTAATTTTATTTTATTAATATTTCTGTAATTGTGAAATAATGATGAATATTTATTTTATTAAAAAAATTCCCGCAACCAATCAGATGTGAACACATCTCTATAAATCGCTGATCCCTGAATTCAGGTTGTTAGCTAAGTGACTGTATACTAATATTTGAGCCTTATTAATTGATTTTTAAATCAATGTCCATATGTTTTTGTGCTAACATCCCCTCATAAACTTTCAATAGAACTGCTTTAAAAAACACATATGTACAGAAAGGATTATGTTCTAACTAATAATATGTTTTTATATAAAATTGGAAAACTCCGGAAATAATAATAACATCTCCCTGGCGATTTATCAAAATATAGATACCCTAGCTTACGCTATACGGATTTTCATATGTAAAACAATGGTGACGTAATCGTTTGAAAGATAAACCACAAAATCATCTAGCCTGATTCACAAAGTTTAATTTTGGGCTCATATTTTGCAAATTCGATGATTCAAAGAAATGGTTTTGTGTGCCTTATGCAAGAACAGATTCTATAATTCCTCTTGGACTTGTACTGTTGTACACACATTAATTAGAAGCCAAGATTGACGTTGCCCATTAAACTAAATATGTGAGAGAGGCAAGAAGAAGAGATGAGATGCGATGATCCTAAAGAGCCCGTTTCACAAAGAGTCGAAATTTTGGGTCCCTGGAAAAGGAAGGATTCAGCAGTGAGGAATGAGGACAATTTGTTAGCTAACCCTGATGACAGAGTTGTTACGATAAGCCATGAAGCCTGTGGGCAGGCCTGGCCCTGCACAGGACCCATCATTTTCCTATGTAGTGTCTACGTTAACCACGGACTGGCCGGAGGCACGAGTAGAGCTCGAAATACTAGGAGCAGAGCCGTAACAAGCCGGATTCAAACTGGGCGGCTTAGCTTAAAACATGCCAACGGGTCGGACCGGCCCGTCACACCGTCCTTACCTGTGGGATTATATAGAGGAAAAGAATCTCTACGTGAAGAGTTGTTCCATAGCCAAGAAGGGGTCACGAGTCAAGACACCAGACGGTTCAATTCATGAATCACTGGACGATACAGACAACAGTATATATTCCTTTTCTCACACATTTTACAGGGTTATTCTGACTCTTTAATTTTTTCAATACATGCCGCAAAACGACTCAACTTCACATGCAATATTTATAATTATGAAGAATGCATCTTATCATGCAGGGAGTGCGAAACTAGGTTGCTTCCACTGTGGCGGATCCATCACCAGACAGGGATCTGATTTCTCAAAGTCAGCAACCTGCAGACATATCATTCATATGAATGGAACCATCTTTAATACAGGACGATAAAAGTAAACAACAAGAGTCGTAGGAAAAAGTAAAATTACCTTGTTCCCACACTGAGGGCAATGGTGCTGTTTGTTCCAGAGGCAATCCATTGAAGGGCACAGAAAGCAGAATCCAAGCATAAATGGCATCATGCAAGCAACAACAGCAGCTACACCAGGTTTTGATCTGTATATCACAACCAAAGAAAAGGTAATCAAGATAAATGCACATCAAACCACAGTCTAATGCTCTAAAACTACTTTCTTTGGTCTACAGACATCTGACAAATGTAGCCTCTGGACATGAATGCTTAGATTGCAACAATCTTATGAGCTGCGCAAAATTGTAATCCATTCACATCGGGAATCAAAATCGAGAGATCCTGAAGTAAATAACTCGACCAATGGGGGAGTAGACAGATACTTTATCAAGGTAATAACACAGAGTAGTAGCTTTATCTTTTCAGCTAAAGCATAGAGATATTAACAAAGAGCGCACAACAACAACTGGTTGGAATTGGATCAATAGGGGCAAACATTTTTGTTTCACCTTCCTTCGAGTTTTTGTAACAGTTTGTTCATATACAAGCGTACACTCGATAAGCAAGAAATTTCCATCGTTCAAACACTCTACGTAATGTATCACAAAGCCAAAATAACAATTTCGAGAATCATGAAACCAAAAAACGCAAACGAGGAGGAAGCCATCAATCAAACAACCGAAATTTCACATTCCATACTCAAAACCACTGGCAAGTAAATTACTAGAGGCGATCATTTTCCTACTGTTATGTAAATTCATATCCGCCTCAGTCGAAGAACCTCGACAGATCCAAGCACATGATAAAATTGAAACGGATCCCAAAATGCCCATACAGATCCACACGATGATCACATATAAGATGATTTATAATCGAGTCGTAGAACGATTACAAACCAGAAACTCTACAATCGTATACGAGGTATATGTGTGTGTTTACCTGATATTGGTGAGACCAGTGTTGCCGCAATAGAGACAATTGAAGGGAGCAGGAGTGTCCCGATAAATCGTTTGATGGATCGGAGCACCCATCGGATCACCATAGATAGCGTTCGGCGGCACAATTCCGGCCTGATACGGATTCTGCCCGGCGTAATAGGGAACTCCGATCACCGTTTGTCCCTCTTTCGACATCCTTGTTTGTACGGTCAACGATTATGGTGAAGCAAAAAGCAGCGAAACAAAAGAGTATGGAGAGATGAAGCTGATTCCCTTCTCAAAGAGTTGTATTATTTCCCTTTCCGATATTGATTTTCCAGGGAAATCACGCGGAAGAAGATGGAAGGAAAGTCCAAATGAGTTTTCTAATTGCAATTTTTATTTGAAGGATTCTCTCTTCTGAATTTTCTCGAAAACCGAAACCGGCTTGGAAAATTCGAATCCCGTCTAGAAGATACACTAACACTTAATGGGCTTTTTTTTAAGCAAAAGCTTATAGCTAATATTGGGCCAGTTCATTCTACTCTTAGCTTTCGTCTAAATTCAAACGCTAAAATGTTGGTGGTTTTCTTTTTCTTCATTTCAATATGCCGGTTTGAATTCGGGTGTTAAACATCACAAACAAAGAAACACAAATTAGTAGACTACATTTCAATGTTTCAATGTTTGGATAGTACTTTTTCCTAGCTTTATTTGAAAAAAACCGCATTTTTGTAGAAAACGAAAAACCGCATTCTTACCATGTTCCATAACCATATTCAAGTTCAATAATTTAACGTCAATTTGCTAGTTTTTTCACTGACCAGACTATAATGAATTTTATCATCTTATTATGTACACACATTAAACGTAAAAGTGATGAGAACAATTAGAAGTACCGACGTGAGAAGAATTCAGAGCCTCAGAGGAATGTTCCCTGATGCCTTCTAGTTCTAGGCTTCTAGTTTTTTATATTAGGATTACACACGTGCGACGTGTCCATTTTGTGACGGAATCAAACAAGCGGTCACAAAAAGCAAAACGAAAAGAACGACGTGTCCTTTTGGCCTTTTCCGACCAAGGACAGTTCATGTCACAAATCATAATCCCCTTTTTAATATCTTCCTCAGTTGATTTGTCTTTATTTTAATATCTGATCCTAAATACATAAGGCTATTTGGCATTTGCAAAATGATTTAACAAAAACTTAATCATCGACACGGTCACACGGCAAGCTTTCTAGTATGTTTCTAAAATCTTGTGTTTGGTGTTTTTTTCTTATTGGTTAAGAAAGTCTGACTCTTCGTCCCAAAGGCAACACCAAAACCGCGTTTTATATTTGTGTTATCCAGTCTCTTATAAAAGATCAGAGAGATTCTTCTATAGACTATTCAAAATTCAGCACAATCCACAAAATCAATTTCAATAGAAGAACATTATCGAATCATCCGCCAAACTCAGAGAGAATTTTCAGAAATGAAAGGATCACAAGAAGAAGATACTCACCAGCCAAACATCGTTGATCAAGAACATCCCAAATCCCTAGAAACAGAGGACCCACAAAACCAACCACCTTCTTCATCGTCTCCGGATCAGGCTCCGGCGGATCCCAAGAAGTGGGGGACTCACGTGATGGGAGCTCCGGCGGCTCCCGTAGCTCATCCCGATAATCAGCAGGCGGCGGCGTGGGTCGCCGGAGATAACCAGCAGAAGCCGTACCAACCGTATATCGTCTACACTCCTCTCGAGCATCCTCCAACTAATAACCCTCTCGAGCCCGTCATGGGAATGTTCCATAGCTGGAGCCGCAAGGCTGAAACCGTCGCTCGTAACCTCTGGCACAATCGTAAGTCTCTCGTTCTACATAAAAAGTAGCAATTTTTGACCAATTTTCTTGATTTTGAGCATTTGGACTCTGCCCTTTTTGCGAATTTTGAAGGATTGTTTTTGTTTGTGCAGTGAAGACGGGTCCGTCTATGTCGGAAACGGCGTGGGGAAAGGTTAACCTGACGGCGAAAGCGATAACGGAGGGAGGATTCGAATCCCTTTTCAGGCAGATTTTCGGAACAGAGCCAAACGAGAAGCTGAAGAAGACTTTCGCATGTTACCTCTCCACGTCGACAGGCCCCGTCGCTGGAACTCTCTATCTCTCGAATGCTCGCATCGCTTTCTGCAGCGACCGTCCTCTCTTCTTCACCGCTCCTTCTGGCCAAGAAGCTTGGAGCTACTACAGGGTAAATTCTTGTTGTTTGTAAAATTGAAAATCGTTGAAGATTGTGGGATGAATTTATTTATGATATAATGATATTTTTGATGTTTTTGGTTTTGGGTAGGTTGTGTTGCCGTTGGCGAATGTTGAGATTGTAAATCCGGTGGTGGTGAAGGAGACTCCTCCGGAGAAGTACATTCAGGTGACGACGGTGGATCGACATGACTTCTGGTTCATGGGTTTTGTGAATTACGAGAAGGCTACGCATCATCTCTTGACCAGTGTCTCGGATTCTCAAACCGCACACAGCTCTGTGTCTGGTTAGAGCAGATTTTGCATCGTGTTTGTATCTTTTTAGTTTTGCTTTTTCTGCGTTTGTGGTTGGTGTGTTTTTTCTATGTATGTAAATTTTGTATGAGTTTTGTAAGTCTTGAGTCTCGATTTGTGTGTTGATTAGAGTTGCCTTTCACTTATGTATGATTACTTTTGTAATAGTTTGCAATACATATGTACTTTGAGTACCCGTTTTAGCTTTGCCGATTTCTAAGCTCTTCTTTTTGTTGGCGCGATTTAGATTCTACTTCTAGAATGGAGCATAGTTTTAGACTTTTAGTGGTACTTGGGACAGGCCGGTCTCATTATTTTGATGGGCCCTGTGCAATGGTTTTAATTATATAAAAAAGGCATTAATTTTTTAGGTAGTTTACAGTTAAGATTTTCAAGATCCCGATATTTAAAGATCGTAGTTGTAGATTGGCTATAGAATTTTTGCAATAATTTTTTTTTGCATTTATTTCATTAATAAAACAATAGATAAATACTCAAAATACTTATATGAAATCCACTGATAAAAAAGAAATTACAAAAGCTCAAAGATAAATAAAAGATATTAAAGTCTAATTATTTATTAAATTTTATTTTTTAGTTGATTTAGTAAAAATGTCGGTTTAGTACAATCGATTCTAAATCCAATCTAAATTAATCACTTTTGTTATTTATAAAGTTGTATGATTTTTATTAATAAAAATTAAAAGTAAGAATTATAGTGTAATATTTTAAATTTTGTGACAGTAGATTTGAAGTTTTGTTTTTGGAGACAACACCATCAAACCTTAAATTTGATATATGGTCAATCTCTTTGAAGTTTTTTTTGAGATGTTCTTAGGAAAAGAAAGAAAATATACTTAAAAAATAATAATCTTCAATTAATAATTACGATATAATCCCACAGTGTAAAGTCACATTTATCTGATTCTAAAAAGGAAAAAAAAATGTTGAAAAGGTCAAAAAAGAAGTAGGCGGTTATGATTTGAAAGAAAAAAGGAAGGAAAAAAAATATACCAAGCATCACCGCCTTCACAAAAACTTGCACACCAAGACAAACAAATCAGGGTTTTTGCATATTATAAATAAAGTCAAAACATACGACCTTTATCATCACTTCTAAATAATCATGGCTTCTCGGTTGCTTGGTCCAGCGGAGATCCGAGACTTCAACACTCTCCCCCCAAAACCCATCAAAGCCTCTGCCACCGGCAACCCATTCATCGACCTAATGGTCTCACAATTCAACAAGTCAATAAAAGTCAACGATCTCTCTTCTCCTCAAATGGGCCGTACCGAGAATGGATCCGGCACGTACCTCTCCTCACGCAACCCTTGCCTCGACTTCTTCTTCCACGTTGTTCCTACCACGCCCAAAGAATCTATTGAGAAGCGACTCAGCAAGGCTTGGGACCACGACGCCTTAACCACACTCAAACTTATATGTAACCTTCGTGGAGTCCGTGGCACGGGAAAGTCAAACAAGGAAGGGTTTTACACGGCGGCTCTATGGCTCCATGGTCGTCATCCCAAAACCCTCGCTTGTAACCTCGACTCCCTCTCGAAATTTGGCTACTTTAAAGACTTTCCGGAGATTCTTTACCGGATTCTCAAAGGATCTAAGATCCGTGAAACCCAAAAATCGGAATTGGAGCAGAGGAAAAGGGTTTCTAGAGGTAGAGGAAGAGCTCCTTTTCAAGGTCGTCGCCGAACCGGTGGCCGTAAAAAGAAGTAGGCGGCGACGAGGGAGCTGAGGATATCGAGCGCAGAGTTGAGGAACGAGGCGGAGAAAGCAATAGCGAGTATAGATCGGAAGCTGGAGAGGATTTCAATGGGGAAGGAAGCATTTACCAGATATTCTCAAGATCCAGACTATCGATTCCTCCACGAACGAGTCTCCGATCTATTCGCAGATCACCTGAGGAGAGATCTCGGGTTTTTGAAATCCGGCGAGACGAACAAAATCTCTCTGGCGGCGAAGTGGTGTCCGTCGCTTGACTCTTCGTTCGACAAAGCAACTCTTATCTGCGAGAGCATCGCCAGAAAGCTGTTTCCTCGTGAATCGTTTCCAGAATACGAAGGCGTAGAGGAAGCTCACTACGCGTACAGAGTTCGTGATCGGCTCCGGAAACAGGTTCTGGTTCCTCTCCGGAGAACATTGGAGCTCCCGGAGATTTACATGGGAGCTAAAGATTGGGAATCTCTTCCGTACAATCGTGTAGCGTCAGTGGCGATGAAGTCGTACAAGGAGATATTCTTGAAGCACGACGCCGAGAGGTTTCGGAAGTATCTGGAAGATGCGAGATCAGGGAAAACGAAGATCGCCGCCGGTGCTGTGTTGCCTCACGAGATAATCGGTGAATTAGACGCCGGAGACGGTGGACAAGTCGCGGAGCTGCAGTGGAAACGAATGGTGGATGATCTGAGAAAGAAGGGTTCGCTGAGGAATTGCATCGCTATCTCCGACGTGTCGGGATCTATGAACGGAACTCCGATGGAGGTTTCCGTCGCGCTTGGTGTGCTCGTCTCCGAGCTATCGGAGGAGCCGTGGAGAGGAAAGCTGATAACTTTCAGCGCGGATCCAGAGCTACAGTTCGTGGATGGAGACGATTTGAGGTCGAAAACAGAGTTTGTGAGGAATATGAAATGGGGAGGTAACACTGATTTTCAGAAAGTGTTTGACTTGATTCTGAGAGTGGCGGTTGAAGGGAAGTTGAAGCCGGAGGAGATGATCAAGAGGGTGTTTGTGTTCAGTGACATGGAGTTTGATGAAGCCTCGTCTTCTAATGATTGGGAGACGGATTATCAGGTGATTGTGAGGAAGTACAGAGAGAAAGGGTATGGAGAAGTTGTGCCGGAGATTGTGTTTTGGAATTTGAGGGCGTCGAAGTCAACGCCGGTGCTAGGAAACGAGAAAGGAGTGGCTTTGGTGAGTAGGTTTTCGAAGAATATCATCAAAGTGTTTTTGGATCATGATGGAGAGATTGATCCCATGACGATCATGGAGATTGTTCTATCCAGAGAAGAGTATAAAACTCTTGTAGTGGTTGATTGAAAGATTCGGGCTTTGGTTTGTTATTTATGGTTTTATTTATAATTCTTATTCTTCGAAGATCTATAATTTATAATGCATTGTACTCTTCTCTGAAGAAATCATTGTAACTGACATGAAGATTCTATCAATCATAAAAGAAAATTGATATCTTTGCTCTGCTTAACTGATTTACCAAACCAGACTACCTAAGACGTTTATCTTTTTTTTGGTCGAAGAACAACTGATCTCATGAGGTCTCAGTTACTTGTACTGATATCACCTGAATCATCAGCTTTCTTGGGATCCAATTTGAAGAATAAGAATACAATAGAAGCAAGCTGATGGTGATGAGAAGTGAACTCATGATCAGCTCCATCAATAAGACACAGTATGTGTGATTCTTTATGTATCTGGCAAATTCGGACGCTTTTATTACATGTACGATTTTATCATTTGATCCATGAACTGTTAAGGTCCCTGAAATTTTAAGACAATTGTTAGTTTAGCTATCAGACTGAAACCAAAAGAGACACATCCTTGTAGAGTATGATGATAAGGAGAATAACTGGAGATTTTACCTGCAGTTTGCATGGAATGAGAGACATGCTTCATGAGTATTGGTTGTGAGACGGTCCATTAGACTCTCTTCGGTTACCCGAATTTCAAACTTTCTTGCAAATAAATTAAGGGCAATGGTAAATGCCAAACTCCATGTTCTTTGGCTCTAACAATCACAAAGCTAAAAAGCTAAAATATTTTTACCCTTTGAATTTCCAACATCGATGAACCAATTCCCTTTAATGCTCTTGAAATAGTCCTTACTCCTTACCAAGCCTCCCCTCTATTCCTCACTAAAGAAAAAACCGGCCTAAGATATTCACAACAGTCTGAACGTCCTTGTAGTTTGTTGCATACAAAAGCACCATATTTCACTTGACAACAACAACGACGCCAGTCTGCATATTACCTTTCTTGAAATCCAAAAAGTTCCCTCTTTTGTTTGCTTAGAAGAATAGAGATAAAGAAAATCAAAAAACTAAGACAAGCGTAATGAGCCCAACCCAAAAAAGTGAATTAAAATGTTATAAGAAATCGGAACAAAATAGCAAGGCACGGAGATTGACTGGGCCGATGATTCTCCTCACCAAATTATTAAAGGATAACAAGGCCTCCATCAAAAGCAATTTTTTTTCTGATATGGATTTGAAGGTATAGTATAGGCATGTTAGGTTGAAATTGAGAATATGAACAGTACAATGGCTAACTAATTGGTAGCATGTTATACCCAATACAATAGTTTAAATGGCTTGAGCAAAGCGGTTTAATTCTATTGAAACTCGAACTCAAATACACTATAATCAAAGAGATGCAATGTCTTACCGTTAGACTATAATGTCTTAGAGCACACCATTTTGTAAGAAACTGTAAACTTTGATTTAACTTCGATTAATTTCTTTAAAAAGACGCTTATATGTGATATGCTTATATGTGATATTGGGATATTTATTTTCGTAAATGAATATCTTAAAAAAGTTTGACTATCAATTCCCATGTGAAAGTGTTATATTAGCTAGTAATTAACATATAAAATGTTTATTTTGGCATATTTTATGAGTTGAGATAAGAAAGAAAAAAAATTGTCTAGATGAAGATGAGATTAATTAAAGACCAAAAGAAGGGCAAGTCGGTATATGGGAGGTATCTAAGAGGGGCAAGTTGGTCAGCTTGAAAAATACATCGACATCAAGTCGCCAGCACAGACAAAACGTGAGATGAATGAAATAAACAATAGACTTTCAAGGGGGACAGAGAGAGAGAGAGTGAGAGAGAGGCTGAGTCAAAAATTATAGAATGTGAGAAAAATATTGATGGAGAAATGCGCCAAGTGATATCTTGATATCAACTACATCTCAACACGTGAAAGACATGCATCTGACTCTTTCTCTTTCTCTGTCTTTTTTTTTGTGTTGTTCATATACAATATCACGAAATGAACATTCGCTTTCGATAACTACTTTCAAAATTCAGTAACCCAATTAAGGTGAACATTAGAAGAAAATGCATGTTCAGATGGTCACCAGAGCTGTATTATGCTATTTGCTGGTCTTCTGAAATGAAAAATATTATAAATTGAAGTACATGCAAAACATTACAAATACGAATACTTCCAAAAGGAAAAAAAAGTAGTTGTGATCTTGTGCAAAGAAAATTCATAAGAAAATGAAAAGGAAGTTAAAAAAATATCCAAAGATTCGAAAAAACGATACATATTATAGTAAGAAACGTACATTGTCAGAAGAACACAAGGTGACCATGTTTTGTGTTTACATACCACAAGAAATATCTTTGGATGGTCATCAAATTTGAAGATATTTTTTTATTAAGTAAAACACTGCAGCATTTTGATTGGAGTTCCGTTATTTCCGGGTGAATGATAAAAGAAAAAAAGAAAAGTATATTCATTATGAATAATAGTCGGTCATTAGGCTATTTAGCATGTGTTTGAATTACTAAACTATTAGTTAAGAGGAGGTTGGGCGCCTAATATATATATTAAAAGAAAAATAGAGAGAAACTGAAAAAGAAACTAAAAAAAAAAAAAAAGTGGATGAGTTGGAGGAGTTGCCAATTGTGCCAAAAAGAAAGAAAAGACATTAACCTCGTGCGTTATATGTGTTGTGTATCTGACGGATACACATTAAATATTCCTTTTAAAAAAACTCACATGAAAAATCCTTTTTATCATTACTTCTTCCTCTCGCGCTTCTTCCATCTCAAAAACTATCTCCAAACTCATCTCTCTCTATTTCTCTCCCTCTCTCTCTCTCTCTCTCTAATCGATCTCAGATCAAAGAAAGATGTCTAAAGCTACGATAGAGCTCGACTTCCTCGGACTTGAGAAGAAACACACCAACAACGCTCCAAAGCCTAAGTTCAAAAAAATTCTCGATCGCCGTCGCAGTTTCCGAGGTTCGTTTTCCTTTTTTCTTCCCTCTCTATCTCCCTCTCACTCTTCTCTCTCATTTTCTAAAAAATTTAAACCCTGAACGATTTTTATTTGGGAATTTTCAGATATTCAAGGTGCGATTTCGAAGATCGATCCGGAGATTATCAAATCGCTGTTAGCATCCGGTGGTAACAGTTCCGATACATCGACCAGATCTCTTTCTGTTCCGTCTACTCCCAAAGAACATCAGCCTCCTCAGATCCCGGTTTCTCCGGTCCACGCGCCTCTCACCAGGTTTTTTTTTTCTTTCTTCTTTCTTTTGGCTTTAGTTTTTTTTTTCTTTTGCCATTTTGGCGCAACAAGAAAATAATGATATTTGAAACTCAAAATTTTGAAAAAATCTTATTTTAGGCCCAGTACGGAACTCGTCTCTGGAACCGTTCCTATGACGATATTCTACAATGGAAAAGTCTCCGTTTTCCAAGTGTCTCGTAACAAGGCTGATGATATTCTGAAGGTCGCCATGGAAACAGCAACAAAGAAAGACACATCGATGGAGAAAGATCTTTCGGTAATTCCCCCGACCACCCTTAGACCAAAGCTCTTTGGCCAGAATCTTGAAGGAGGTTAGTATAAATTATTATCAATTACCAAAAAGTTACCCACACTGTTTTATTCTTCAAGAATGTTCTTAGACATTGCATGTAGTGATTTTGATAAAAGTTTATGGTTAGCCAAATAAGACACAGTTAACTAGAGAGACCAAACCCCTATCCACTCATGGTTATGAATTAGGAATTAAAAGACTAAAAGTGTAAAGATATGTTTTGTGATTAGGAATTGCTGTGTTTTTTGTGTGTGTGCAGATCTTCCCATCGCAAGGAGAAAGTCACTGCAAAGGTTTCTTGAGAAGCGCAAGGAGAGGTAATTCTTCTCCTACCATCCCCAAGGATTTTACCCCAAAAAAATATAATAAGGTTTTTTCCCCTCTCTATGTTTCATTTTTTTATTTTATGAATAAAACTCATGAAAAGTAATTACGAAGCGTGCCTCTTTTACTAATACAACTTTTAGATGCCTGCCTCTGGTTGTTCAACAAAACTCACATGCTTCTAGTTCTACGTGGATATTGTAGATTTGTAGAGTTGTACGTATATTAAAAAACGCGTGGATTATTGTAAGACTTTCAAAAACGCGTTGACTTTACATCTATCTACTCCTTTCTTTGCTACCGACACGTGATCTTAGTCAAATGACTCGGATAATTAATCAATGATGAGAAAATGCGGAGAAAACCCGAAATGAAAATTATACGTTTGTATGTTTTAGCAGAACCAACTAAAGAAAGATCTGACGTACTCTCAACAAGATTACTACTATTAAACGCGTTTTCACATTTTTCTTTTTGTTCGTTTGTTTGTTTGTGTTTGCAGATTAGTATCAACATCTCCTTACTTTCCGACATCGGCCTAAACGAAACTTCTTTCTCTTTTTTCTGATTGGGACTTGAAACCGAAATGGTCATTTCACATTCCAAGACATCGATATGCGTTTTGCATTTGGCTTCTTCCCAATCTTTTGGAATCACGACACGCTTTATATTATGTTACCTTCTAAGCATATATATATACTCGATAAATACTCTGGTATTTCTTTTCTTTTTTTAAATGATTATTATCTCCAATGAATGTCTGACACTTTGATTTTAAGAAGCGCTTTTATATATTGTGTTGTAGTTACGTTGTAATGTAGAAATTAATTCAACAAAAGAACTTCTTTCACTTAATTAGGTGCATCGTTTTTGAATGTGGCTAAAACAGTAATCGACACTAAAAGAAAATAAGGATAAATAGAATAGTATAGAAAGGTGAAGGAAGAAGAAACTGAGCTATTGTTATTATTGTAAAGGACTAAAAATTTGTTGAATTTGGAATGAACACGCCTCTTGGTTTCTCATGAAGCATCCGTTTGCGTATTAAAAGAAATGTGACAGTTAACGTCTTCTAAGAATCTGACTTTGCGTCTTTGATTACATACTTAATTTTGTTTGGTTTAGTTTGTCGTTATATATGTATAATAATGGAAAATTAGTATAAGAAACACGTGAGTGTTTAGTTATATAGTACAGTCAAGTCTTGCCGACTATTGCGTCTTTTATGTTAAAAAGTCTTCAAGTCTATAAGACGAGTTTGGTGGAACCGTAAATTGGGAAGAAGGATAATGAAAAAGAAAAGAGCTAGCGTACTTTGCGTGCCTTCTATTAAAAACCATTACCACTATCATTCAATAGTATCCATCACCAGCATCAACAAAGCATTGCTTGTCCGGATTATAGAAACAATAGCAATTGCTACACGTCGCACCACCATTTTAATGTGTCCTTACAAATGAAACCAAAATATCTTATGTTATGCTATTATTTCTATGAAGGAAATACATCTTTCTACTAATATTTTAGAAACTAGGATAGTACCTTACCTTGTACAGACGCCATACTCTTTTTTATATGCTTTTATGTATCTTCTTGCAAATGTTTTAGAATGGTATAAATTTTTCTGCATTTTGTATACATTTGTGTTTAATTAGTATTAATTAGAACAACATTTTAGATACTTGACGTGTTTCTTCTCTAAAATTTATGATTTGAACGCAAGTGTTTATACATGCTTGAAAGTGAAATCATGAGTTCAGACGATCAAAAATTGACTATGTTTTCACAAATATACTAATACATTAGCACTAGTGGCTTGAGAATAGGTGGATTTGAGACTTCGAGAGTTTTACTATGGATCAAAGCGTAAGCATATTTGATTTCCCAAAGTAAGCATTATTTATTTACATATTATAATAATTTTCCACTTTAGCCAAAAAAATTAGACAAATATGCATCGATTACTATTTTATTTTGTGGATTAACCGTAGATGGCAATCATAGTCTCAACTTATTAACCGTAAATAATTCCAACCAGTTATTTGATGTTCACAATTTTCACGAAACAGCTCAAAGCAGGATAAGGCAGATAAGAGCTTAAAGTTCAATTGTTCCCATATTATACAGCATCTCAAAAGAGTTTTACAACTCCAAACATTTTAAGTTCTGTTTCTTATGATGAATCAGATCAGCTTATCTCTAATTACAGTTTAAGTCAAGCATATAACTACCAGTTTAAGGCAACTGATCTCAACAAAGATTGATGATCACTTATCAGAACAGGTTGTGCATATACGAACTATGCTTTCCTACAGACATCGGTTGATTAAAAAGTAGATCAATATGTTGAACTGAGAGATTGAATCCTACAAAAGCAAGAGAAAACTGTCGGAAAAGCTTTAACATAATTTCGTAAAACCGAAGAAAATAAAAAGATTGAAGAACTGGAGCATCAGTTTTAAAAAGCTCGATTTATATAATCCGCATGGTTAATAGGAAGCACCGTTGTTGTGCAAAATAATCATCATCTGCTCCGATTCGTTCAAACGATTTTCAATGGCTATTCAAGAATTCAATTCCGAAAAGAAAAGGAAAATAAAAAAGACAAATCCAGCGATAGATATTATCAAAAACACTCCTTTCTATATGCAAATCCTAAACAAAAGACTAAAGACGAGTACACTTGATAAAGGGAAAAGAGATATTGCGCTGCGACTTCAAGCTTCAATAGCTAAAGCTTTCGTTTTATATAGGCGCAGGCTCACAGAAACCCTAGTTTGGATCAAAACAGGCCACATGGGCCACCCTACAGCATCTTTTGGGTTGGCCCATATATGTAATGGGCGTTTCCTTATTTTCAGAAATTGAATGTACTGACTTTTCACAATAAGTAACAAGTATACTTTTACATCTGCGGTTTCACCAGTTCGATCTACTTATCCGGTGATCAGAAAGACATTTTTTTGTTTATTGATCTTGCTTGTCAAGATCCCGACGGAGTCAAAGACGCGGTGGAAGTTCGAAGCTCGAAATCCGCATGATCGGGTTCCTTAGAATAATTAATTTTGCTGAGAGTGGTAAATTTATCCAATGTAAACGCGTTCTACAATGTGGGTTTTCTGTTCGAACCGCCGAACTGGCATTGGAATGGTCGGCTCCGATGGTCCAAGCCTTAGACTCTCATACTTACGGCACAATGCTCCGTCGCTGCATTCAGCTAAACGACCCAATTTCAGCAAAGGCCATTCACTGCGATGTCGTCAAGAAAGGCAGCTGCTTGGACCTTTTCGCTTCAAACATTCTACTCGACGCCTATGTTAAAGCTGGATTCGCGAATGATGCGTTGAAGCTGTTCGACGAAATGCCTGAGAGAAACAATGTCTCGTATGTTACTCTTAGTCAAGGGAATGCTTGTGAAGATCCCGTTGGTCTGTATACCAGGTTGCATAGAGAGGGTCATGAGCTTAATCCACACGTGTTCACTTCCTTCTTGAAGTGGTTCGTCAGTTCGGACAAAGCTGAGATCGGTTGGTGGTTGCATCCTCCTATAGTTAAGCTCGGTTATAGTTCCAATGCCTTTGTCGGAGCTGCCCTTATCAACGCTTACGCTGTATGTGGTTTTGTTGATTGCGCAAGAAGTGTTTTTGAAGGGATTTTGTGCAAGGACATTGTTGTTTGGACTGGAATTGTAACTTGCTATGTGGAGAATTCCTTTTTCGAGGATTCTCTTGAACTCTTATCTTGTATGGGGATGGCTGGTTTCATGCCTAACAACTACACCTTTGCAATGGCGCTTAAGGCTAGTATTGGGCTATGCGCATTTGATTTCGCCAAGGGTGTTCATGCACGGATCCTCAAAACATGTTACGAGTTGGATCCTCATGTGGGTGTTGGTTTGCTTCAGTTGTATACACAACTTGGAGACATGTCTGATGCTCTCAGAGTATTCAATGAGGTGCCAAAGAACGATGTGATACCATGGAGTTTTATGATTGCTCGTTTTGGTCAAAACGGTTTTTGCAATGAGGCGGTTGATCTGTTTATTCGAATGAGACAAGCTTTCGTTGTCCCTAACGAGTTTACTTTTACCAGTACTTTGAACGCGTGTGCCATCGGAAAGTGTTATGGCTTAGGCAAGCAAATTCATGGCCTTGTGGTGAAAGCTGGCTTTGATTTGGAAGTCTATGTCTCAAATGCTCTTATCGATGTATACACCAAATGTGAGAGAATGGATACCGCTGTGAAATTGTTTGCTGAGTTATCAAGTAGAAATGAGGTAAGCTGGAACACAATCATTGTCGGGTATGAGAATCTTGGTGAGGGAGAAGAAGCGTTAAGCATGTTTCGTGAAGCGCTCAGAAATCAGGTTTCAGTAACTGAAGTAACTTGCTCAAGTGCTATATCAGCTTGTGCTTCTCTGGCGAGCATGGAGCTCGGTAGCCAAGTTCATGGGCTGGCAATAAAAACTGGTAATGCCGAGAAAGTTGCAGTGAGCAACTCGCTGATAGATATGTATGCAAAATGTGGTGATATCAAAGACGCACAATCTGTGTTCAACAAGATTAAAACAAAAGACGTACCTTCATGGAATGCATTGATCTCAGGCTATTCCACACATGGACTGACTAGAGAGGCATTACGAATCTTCGACATTATGAAGGATTGCGATTACAAGCCAAATGGGTTAACATTTCTAAGTGTTCTTTCTGGATGCAGCAATGCAGGATTAGTAGATGAAGGTCAAGATTGTTTTGAGTCGATGATTCGAGATCATGGTATTGAACCGTGTTTGGAACATTATACGTGTATGGTCAGGCTTTTGGGAAGATCAGGGCGGCTTGAGAAGGCAATGGAACTGATTCAAGGGATTCCATATGAGCCTAGCGTTATGATCTGGCGGGCAATGCTTAGTGCCTCGTGTGTTCAGAACAATGTAGAGTTTGCAAAGAGATCAGCAGAGGAAGTACTAAAGATCAATCCAAAGGACGAGGCGACATACGTTCTATTATCAAACATGTACGCAGGTGCAAAACAATGGGCAGATGTAGCGTCCACTAGAAGAAGCATGAAGGAAAAGGGTGTAAAAAAGGAACCTGGTTTAAGTTGGATAGAACATCAAGGAAATGTACATTACTTCAGTGTGGGGAAGTTATCTAATCACCCGGATATAAAGCTCATAAATGGAATGCTGGAATGGCTTAACATGAAAGCAAAGCGAGCCGGTTATGTTCCTGATCGAAATGCGGTTCTGCACGATATGGACGATGAAGAAAAGGATAAGAGATTGTGGGTTCACAGCGAGAGGTTGGCTTTGGCATTTGCGCTTGTTCGAATGCCCTCATCACGAAATCGCATATTGATCATCAAGAATCTACGGATTTGCTCGGATTGCCACAGTGCTATGAAAGTGATATCAAATATCGTGCAGCGAGATCTTGTCATCCGAGATATGAATCGGTTCCATCATTTTCGTGCAGGAATTTGCTCTTGCGGTGATCACTGGTGAACTGAAGGATACGATAACATGAACACAAATCTTAACATTTTTGTCTCTTCATTTAGGGGCATTGATTTACAGCAAAGTTTGATAAGCTTATTTGCACATGACAGGGTAAAGAGTATAGTTAGGGTAATTACACAGATAAAAGAAAGCGAAGAGCTTAACCTTGGACATGGATTCACAAAGCCTAGAGACTAAAGAGCATAACATCTAACATCGATGATATACAGATTTTCTACAGACTGGAAACTCTGCATAAAGATACAGAGATCACATATCCATGTCGTCAAAGATCTCTTCATCTTCACCATACGGAGGAGTGTCGGCCAGAAATGCATCATTTGCCAGGTTACTGCAAAGAGTTGGAAAGACTTTTAAAGGAGAAGACAAAGAAAGAGACAGACAACTTGGTAGGATGGCAATCATCTAACCTTATGCAGCAGAAACGAAAACCCGCAACACGCTTCAGTTTTCGGTTGTAGAATAAGAAACAGAAAGACCATCTGGATTTGACCCAAAAGAAAACACGAAAAAGAAGCAGCCTTTTAGTGGACAATCAGGCTAAAATCTCTAGATAGGAAAAGGAAAGTTGTTGTAACTCACATTGCTCCTTCCTCGAGGAAAGGATCAGCATTAGGATTCGGGTTGTACACATATATCTCACATTCAGCTAGTTTAACGACCTGTATCACATTTGTAAGATTTAATTATTTCCGTTATACTTGCCCAGCTTCTAATGTTTCTTATTACAGTGAAGTTACCTCATCAAGAGCCTCGTAGATTACGTCAAGTAAGTAACCATCCTCATTCCTCTCAGTCCATTCCTGTAAAGCAGATAGGAAAATACATTCTATATAAGAATATGTGCATAAAAAATCTCACTCCGTTACATTTATCATCCTTCAGCTTAATGGAATGTCGAATTCGAACAAGGGGTAAGTGATTCTCCCTCGCAAAATCAACCGCTTTTCTAATTTCCATCTAACTGAAAAATAGTGAACACTCAGAATACCTTTGAAGCTTCAAACATATAGTTGTTAAACATCTGCGTAAACGTGTCCCAGCTTTCTTCCGAGAAAAACTGATGTGCTTTCACAGCGCTGGAAACAAGAAAAATAAAGAAGAGAACAATGCGATTTGTGACAGAGTTATATACATAGCTGTACTATTTCACGTTCAATCAGACACTTCATAGCAATCCACACAAACAGGTTTAGTTAATTTTTTTGGGGAAATGGAGAGAATTGAACTCTCAGCAAGCAACAGTTCGATGAACCGTTCGTCAAACCTTTTGACAACACTCCCACACAGGTTTAAAGGGGGATTATATAGCGGGTTGTCATATCGCCCAAGAAGCTGACAATGACATTACCCATAATCCCCCTCCCTCCAAAACAAAATACAAAAACCATATAGTTTTCCTTTTAGATTTACAAACACATAATTACCTGAAATCGTAGTCCGGATACATCTGATAGAGTGTAAGAACCAAGTAGATCAAAGCCTTTCGACTGAAATAAGCACCAGAGCATAGACGTAAGACGGATTTATATTACAAAAGATTGTGAAAAAACTTTGTAGCTAGATTTCTTACCTTGATCTGCTTAACAAAAGATCAACGGGTGAAGAAGAGTCAGTGTCAGAAGATTTCCCAAGATAATCGAGCATCTGAGCTCCAGGAAGAAGAACAAATAATTATAAGAAAAAAAAAAAAAATCAAAGTCAAAAAAAAAAGCAGCAGCTGTACACATTCAATGATTAAGCCCAAAACACATGCTTGGTTGCAATAGATGCCTACATAATATCAAATTACCTCATTCTCCAAACTAAGAGACAATCTCTTATCAGTTCCCGCATGTTTACCTGTCGGGAAAATAAAATAAAGAAAGAAGTTTTAGTATTTCCTTTGCATCCCAGATGGTAATTGACAGAAAACACAAACAGTTGCTTACAAGAATAAGCTTCCAAGCAACCTTTGATAGTCCTTTCCCCGAGATTTAGATGACCCAGAAAAACATTCAATCTGGAATTTAGAAAAAAAAAAAAAAAAACAATCCTTTCGAAATTCAAAAAGAGGAAGAAACCGATTCCAATATCGAAATAACGCAATTTGACAGCAAAACCAAACAAAAAAAAAAGAAAAAAAAAAGTTTAACCTGTCCAGATTAGTGTACTCCAGGAACTTCATGATATCGACCAAATTCTCCAGAAAGATGCGATAAACAGTGATATCCTAAGAATTTTTAAGAGAGACAATAATCTAAACAGGTCAGCTTGCAAAATTATTACACAACTCTCAGATCTAAGGTTTGAAAGTTAACGTTTCCAAAATCGGAAGATAAGAGCAGCATAGCATGAAAAATTGAAAACCAATTATTATTCTCAATCCGAAGCCCTAATTCCCACTAAACTATAAATACGAGACGCGAAAATTGAGAATAAAAGGAATCTCAACCACCAAAATTCAGATTCATAACCGCAAAATCTGAGAATGAGCGGCAAGAGAATTGAATTTGGCAATTCAAAATCCATAAAATTCGAGAGAGGAAAGTACCTGAACCTTAAACGGTTTTGCGGAAATGACGACGAAATTCCTCCCACTTGTATCTTCTATGGTAGTAATCTATACGCGCTAGAATCCCTCGCACGTGCGAAAGATGCGGATATGCTTTGATCCATGATGGACAGCGAAGCGTCTGAATCTCAAAGATCTGAACTGGGTGCCGTTTTTCTGCTACTTCATGGGCCGTCCGACTTTGGGTCTTTATTGAAAAAAAAGGTTGTATAATTTTTTTTTTCACTGATTCTGTCCCTTTTTTTTTGTACAACTTACTGATTCTGTCCCAAAACTTATATTTGGAACAGAAAATTCTTTAGAAGTTCAACACAGTTTTGCAATTAGTTGTTGGTTGTTGCAGGCAAATAGATTCGTTGGTATATATGTTTAGTAACTTATTCGTTATTATTATATTAAAAATAGATGCCACTGGATGATTCATGTTAGAATAGTAAGCCGAATTGAATTGTTTTTGTTTATCCAAACAGATGGCCTCAATATAGGTGGACCATATTAACATACTGATGAACCTCATTTTAGTCTTAAGACTAATCAAAGGTATGTCAATATGACTTAGCAAAAAAAATGATGTGAAAATGGTCAAGGTTTATTGTACTCTCAAACCGTTAAATCTCCTTTGCCCAAAAAACCCCAAAATAGAACTTCAATTTTATATATATATATATATAGAAATCCATCCATTTTTGAGAAAGAATCGAAACCTAGATTCTTAAAAAGACAAATTATGTTCTTTCAGAATGTTGTAGATTTGGCCACTTGAATACATTTGTTGACAGATTATTCTCTCAGGCTCCCATTCATAATTATCCGGAGCCACTGAGAGAGATATGCAAAAAAAAATAAAAATATATGCATGGTTGAGAGATGGATCTGCTATTGGAATTTTATATCTTGCTATAAGAATTTACACTCTCTCGTTTTCACCAAAAGTTTATCACCTTAACTTATTTTTAGCCATCGAATAGTTTAGTTTAGGAAGGTATATGCAGACCTATATCAGCGGGAAATAAGTGAGCCCATATATACATTAGTCATAATGGAGTAAAAATATAATGTGTACCCGAAAAGCAAGAAAGGTAGTACATATAGAAAATAGGATGGAGGTGGCAGATGATCATGATTGCAATTCTGGATGGACACTCTCGGTGATAGGCTCAATGCGAGCAACCGACGAATTATGGTTTTGTGTTTTAGTTCGTATCTTGTCCTTTTATGTCTTCCAAATATTCTCTCCGCTTATATATACATATCAACATATATATATACACTTCTCGTCAGTAACATATGATATATGAATGAAAGACACAAGGTCATAAGTCACACAATAATTTAGAAGAGAAAAAAGAGAGTAAATGAATCTGTTTCAATTAAATGGGAGAAAGCTTATTATAGCAGCCTTCAACAAAACAACAAATTTTAAAGACAGTATGTTTCTTTCATCGTTGTCAAAGAAACCGGTGAAAATTATAGAATGGCGTGACATCAACGTTGCTATTATTATATCTCATCTTGTGATTGTGAACACAAAAATATAGTATACCGTTATTTTTTCGTTTTCTATTCAAATTTTATCATTAATTATGCTATTATTAAACCAATTCCCATGATTTAGCCACTACTTATTTATTTGACATATGAAAATGATCTTGCTTTGATTTGAGCCTCGACTAATTTAGGCTAGTAGTTATTACTTTTCGACTTAAATGTTGTATATACAGTATTATGTATATCTTTTATTTTGTTTTGCATATTTTATCAACATTTTTTTGTCATTGTTTAACCAATTCCATGACTTAGCCGCATTACTTATTTGAAATTGGTCATTATGTTGCTTTGAGTATAGTGTATATATATACATATATTATATATATATACATATATATACGTATGTCAGACTCGGCATATATAATAATAACAAGAGAAAACTAGAAATAGACAAATAGTGCAATTAACTTTGATCTATGTCAGAAATTGAATACCTAAGTTAGTGGAGTTTAGAGATAGAAAAAGAGAGAGGAGAATCCCGCGTGTGCCGCAACATAAAAACATGGAAAAAAAAAATACTTGGAATCAAGAGAAAGGGAAGTAAGTTAGTTTATGCAGAAATTTGATTTGACCATTGAGCGAGAGAGTTGATAAATATACTATATATGCACATGTATCAGTATATCTATGTATAAAATCTGTAAAGGAGAATATTCGTCAAGACGTGAAGAGGAAGAGGTGGTTGTAAATGAAGGGGACATGCAATGCAGAAAGAGAGAGAAAGTTATGTTTCTTTTACAACATTGGAATGATAACTCTCCCACTCACTTCACTATATGCCTCAGAATTTACTTGTCCCAATAAGCCTGCCTAAAGGCACTTTTCTTCCAATATGCATGTCCATATTTATACAAAAAACAGCAAATTTTCGCATAACAATTAGAATGATCAAAGCGATATGGTTACGTGTACGGGTGCTAAAATGTGCTAGTACATCGTTTTCATGTATGGACTACAATTTATACACGATTTATCAATATGCTTTCTTTTCCAGTGTAGTACCATATCATGAAGTTTTTTAATTTTTTTTAAATTTATTTATCTTGTAGAATATGAATCTTGAATCCACTTTAAGAAGTATGATATATATGTGTAGCGATGAATTTTTACATTTTCCTGTTTAATTATTATGTTCTAAAAAATTATCACATTGCCCAATAAAAAAATAATATCAGAATATTACCGATCGGGTGATGACAAATTGTCAATCCTTGCGGTATATCAATTCACTTTTGTTTTTTAGACTTTAAAAAAATGTTCTCGATGATGGTTACAGTTAAAAGAAAGTCGATTGAAGTACTTAAAGATATCATCAATTAGAGAGCTCTTTTCTCTCTACTCGGGTCTTAGGTCTTCCGGTTCTCTTCTTGATCCGTCTTGTATAATTATTCCTGCGATTTTGTCTTTACTCTTAGTTAGCCCCATGAATATTATTTCTTAGTACACACGCATACACTGGGATATAAATTACGTAATATAATTGTCGTGTATAAAGACTAAGGTCTATTGGAATAGATAAAGACTACGGTCTATTGGAATAGATAAAGTCTGCCGAATTAGCTACTTATACTTTTTGTACTATATTACGAAGTTAGTTCCAATCTGATATATATATATAAAAGGGAATTTTAAATCGCATAGTCACGTTGACAAGAAAAATTGAACAAACCATACAAACTTGTTACAAAACAAAAAAAAAACATACAAAACTTAAGTCGAGGCAAAGAGTTATTGTTTGTGTATTCACCTAAGCTCAAACAATTTTACATAATTCTATTTTCGGTGTCTTGTTCCTTTATAGTAAAAAGACTTCGGCTTTATGATTTTCCTTTCCAAATTCTTTTAAAAGACAAAAGGGATACAACTCTTTTTTTTGGTTTGATTCAAAGGCTAAGTCATTTCATGCCCCATGCAATGTCACAAGAGGCCACGCCTCTGAACCTTTTCACTTCCTCTTTTCCACCAAAAGCTGACTCCCTCTCTATGCATGTATGTATGTCCTCTTGATGTAATACACTCTTCTTTTTTTTGACCATGCACTAATGTTGACATCTAATAGTGTCTTCCATAAAAAAAAAGGGTTTCTTATTAAAGAAGTATGGTTGAACATAACTGTGTAACATTACTTCTGCTAATTAATAGCATGCTGGAATGTGCATACTGGCAGCAATGGAACCATTAAAAACTCACTGAAGTGGAAGACGCTGTTATGTCTTTATGATCATACTTATTCATATATGAATGCAATTTGAGCTTCAGATGTTAATTTGTGTTTGCATTTATTAACGTATATAAATTTCTAAACGAACCCACAATTTTCACCATTTGAAACAATTTTCCTAGTATTGACTCTCCACTCCAGAGAATCACATCTCGGCAAAGCTATATAGGTCACTCGGCCTAGATTCGCAAAAGTCACTATTTCTTAATTAACTTTCTGTTCAAGAAATCGTTTTGAAATCTATAATTTGGAGATTTGAGATGATACACCAAAACAGTCATTATGACGCTGCTCCTTGCTTCTCAAGTCCGTCGAAATCTCCACCTCGTACGAACTGCTTCGATTGATTCTTTTACCGTCAGAGTTCGAGCTCCAGCCATAAAGCCACATAGATTAATGAGATGTCTTGTAGTACTTTGAGATCTTCAAAATGAGCTGAATTAGCCTTCTCTTCACTTTTGTATTAACTTCGGCAGACGGTTAGATACTCTTTTATTTTCAGCTGAGTTATAGCATGTCTAGCTCGAACACTTAAGCATTTTCTAGCATAGTGGTTTTCAGTCACTTAGTTCAACATTATTTCAGTATATATCAACAAGAAGTATTTTGAGTAGATTTGGATCAGTTGATTTTTCTACTTATTAGAGAAACGTATAAACACACAGCATTGTTGGGGAGCACATGGTTCTTAACAGAGAAGTACAATTCGGTGAGAAACAATGTCTTTCAAAGCATCACAAGGTCTGTATGTTTTGCTGTATGATCTGGGGAAATGAGCTTTTAACCGAAAACATCATCATTTTCGGTGCATGCCAAATCCCCCTCGGCGTTTTTTTGTGTATTTTTAATCACTGACTTAAATATTCATAGTTTTCATTAAGGAATAATTAACTATTATTCTTGGGATTATTAAAACACTTCATACCTAAATAATTGAAATGTGACAGGTCTAATGTCATCATGCCTCGCACTCCACTCGTCTCGTTTTCTGGCTTTACTGAAAATCACAGCTTTTATTTAAACCCCAGAAGTACCAAAAACATATTTAAAAGGGCAACTTCTTTATCTAGATAAAGAGTAAAGACAACACACATAAGCATAAGTAAAAACAAAAACAAATTTACGTATTATGCTAATTATAATTTGACTCAGTCAACTCGTTGAAATATATTTCTAATCTAAATATTTGTGCATGCCACCTTTTCGATTCGTAAGAGACAATAGTGATTGGTATGTCTTTAGCTATAGATTGAAGTTCATATGTGAATTACAAGCTTGAATTTTATAACTTTTATAGTAGTTCTTTTTTTTCAATTTTTATTTTTTTCAATAGAGTTACGAATGTTAATTTTTTTTAATAGATATGGAGTTATCTACAAAAAAGTATCTTTGTTGTTTCGGAAAAAAATTACAATAAGTTATTTTACATGTTTCTATTTTTGTGATTTTTTTTAATCTGCATAAACGAAGATATATAGATAACTACAACTGGTTAGAGTAAAGAATTCAGAATATATATATTATATATATTATATGCGCCATCGAGGAAATTTATTGGTTTTGCATCTGCTGAACAATATACGTCAAATAAGACAAAGTTTGAACTAATAATAAGGTTTTTTGTTGAGACAGCTACCTATTAATAATAAGAATTCAGAAGTCATAAAATGGTGTCGAGTATGTATGCATGAGTGAACATATATTATATGTAGTGTAATCTGTTCTATATACGTGATATAAGCTGTACTTTATATCTTGCATGACATATGCTAGATAAAAGGATATTAGTTGTAAATTTGTAATATATGATAAGATATATATATTGAAGAATATACTACTATAGTTCGATCTCTTGTAGTATTAATATCTTTTTTTTTTTTGCTAAAATTGTAGTATTAATATCTTATGTACGTTGAATAGGTTTGCGAAATATTTCAAAACTATTGTTGGCTTGGTGACGCCGGTAATATGCTGGTTTTCTTTGATTTTAATTATTTTATTATTATTGTGGATTGAGTCCTCCATGCAGCTAGATTGGTTCAATAATGTGGAGCGATTTATCATCTTCTTGGAATGATTCTGATTAAGCAATGTGGAGCGATTATAAATGAATTCTCTAGAAATTTTAGAATCTTAGAAGATACATGCACGCACTATATACAAAGATTCAAATACCGAACTATTCGTTTCTAGGAAATAATAACATCAAATTTACCAAAATCTGACGAAAACTGAAAACACAAGTTCGTCGCCAGTCATTGTTTTATATGTTTTTTTTTTTAAACTAGAGAATTTGATTTTTACATTATCGTTATAACTTTTTCGTAGTTAATAATGTATGTGATAATAAGATTTTCTCTACAATTTATCTAAAAATGAATTTAATTCATTAAAACTTATATCATGTTAACTATAGGAAACTATATAGTAATAAGATTTGATGGAAGACTTTTTGCAAAATATATAGTTTGTGAACTTATTATAATATAAGCTAATAAATGGTAAGAATTTTCGCAAGGTTTTATAAAGTTAAGAGATTACATATACAAAATCTTATGTCAAAAGAAAAAAATATTAACTCTGAGTAAAAAAAAATCAATTGTCTGTCTCAGTTATGAATGGTTTAAAAGTCTTTTCGTGGACTTCCAATAAAAATTGAACGATAAAATTAGTAGATTAGCCTATTGTTGATGATGCAAAAAAAAAAAATAAGAGAAACTATTTAACATAGCTTGGGGATAGTGTATACGTACGTTTTAAATGATAACAATTTTGGGCGACAGGAAAAAATGAGAAAAATATTTGAATTCCGATATTTTTCTTCCAATTTTTTTTTTTAAAGCTATGTGTATATGTGGTGGTGCACGAAAAAAAAAACATTTGTCTAAGACTAAAAAATATGTACCGAGATTGACCGCATAAGAAGCTTTTCATATAACTAGTGCCCATTACTCTGTATAATTGCAAGATTGACCTCTCTCTCTCTCTCTCTCTCGATTTTACTCTCTCCCTTTCTCTGCAACAATTTCATTTCCGCAAGATTCCAAACAAAGAGAATTGATAGAAAGAGAGATTTGCACAATTTATTCTATCCCTCCTCTTTTCTTCTCCTATCATTGATACAGATACTCTCTCTCTCCCTCTCTCCCTCCCTCTCTCTATCTAGCTCCATGGCTTCTCCGGTCTTCGACCATTTCTTGAGTTCTCGATCTCTGGTTCCCATCTAAGAACCCTAATTATTCTTCTCTCCTTCGTCTCCCCTCATGTTGAGATCATCAATAACGTTTTGTGTCGCTCCTCTCCGGCTTTCTTTGGCTTTGCCGGTCATCGGATTCTGCTATGGTTCCTGCTGCTGAATCCTCCTCCTCCTCCTCCTCCTCCTCCTCATCGCTTCTTCTTCCATGTGGGCTTTCCAACAGTTTTGCTTATATGAGGTTATTACACAAAGCTCATAATATCTCTGCCGGCTCTGAGGACGACGACGACAACAACAAAGACATTCACTTAGGATCTTATCATCAAGTAAAAGTTAATCAACACCAAGCTTGTAGGAGAGATTGTAGTTCCATGGCCGATCAAGAAGAGCCGAGGAGTACGACTTCTAGGTTAAGCTCCAAGGACGACGACAACGACAACAACAATAGGAATAACAATATTAATAAGAACAACGAAGCCGAAGATCATGAGATGAGACAAGAAGGCTGGCTCCGGTTAAGCTTAGGCCACGAGGAGGATGTTAAACCGGATCTCAACCATCGGCAACAGCATCAAACCGATCCAACGGCTAGGAGAGACTCTTTTCTAGAGCTTAATCTATTCTCTGGCGGTTCAAGTAGAGAAGAAGAAGCTGGTCTTCCATTAATGTCATCACTCTTTCATCATCAGCATCAATCCGGAGGGATGATGATTAATCCATTGATGTTCCCTACCAGGCCTGATCAGGAGATGATTGGTTCTTGGGCGGCTGCTGCGGCTGCGTTTAGAACGCCTTTTGTCCCACAAAACCTAGTGCAGTCATCATCATCATCTGCTTCTTTGATGATGCCATATATGGGACCATACTTTGGTCGCTCCAATTTTCAGCAGCAGTTAATAGGGAATAATATTAATCCGGATGTGGTGGCTGGTCCGAGCTCGAGTTTCCGAGTCATTGATCCTCCTAGACGACCCCATTCAGGCATTTGGTTCCTTCTTCAAGCTTCTCAAAACCAGTAAGTGCTAACTTCCTAGAGACTCTAAGTTATGTAAGATCCACAATTTCTTAATCACAAGACTAATCGGATTTTCAAGATTCTTATTTTTTTTAATCAAAAGGTGTTGTCAAGATCATATATTTTTAAGAGTTTTAAGTTCTTTGTTCTGACATTGGTGAACGTTTTAGGACAAGAGAACCATTCTTGCCTCAGATACCCAAAAGCTACTTGAGAATCAAGTAAGTATTCGTCGTTTTTTTAAGATTCTAACATTCTCATTCCCATTAATTAATAAGAACTGACATTTTTTTGGTTAAGGAATAAGAACTGACAGATAAAACGACGTTAATTTTACTAAAAGTTTATGGCTGATTAATTTGTGTTCTTGGATTTGGTAGGGACGGGAAGATGACTGTTCGACTATTGATGAAATATTTGGTGAATAAGTTGCGATTGGAGCACGAATCCCAGGTTTTTTTTTAATCTCATCCCATCTCTTTAATTTCCTTTTCTTTTACTTTCTTGCTCTAGATTCCATGTACACGTTGCTTGCCGTAACTACAATCTCCTTAGTTTTTTTTTCACTAAAAAAAAAAATCTAGAACATTACATTAATACCTTTTTAAGCATTAAAGATGATGAAAATAGTACGATAAAAACAGTAACATATTAGCAAAAGAAAGAAGAAAACGTGGAGAGGGTACATTCATGGGGGTTGGTGTAAGAACATGACAACAACATCGGAACTAAATTGCCACAAAAGTGTCTCCATGTTAATTAGGTCACAAGTAGATGTCGTTGCTAGGTGTAAGCCGTTTTGTTCGTTCTTAATTTGTTTTATATGGTTATTATCCATAGATTGATTTTCAACCTTTTTCAAAAATTTGTCTTACTTGCTCCTTCCTAAAGCTTAGGGGTAATTGACTAACGGTCGTGCTATTAATTATATAGTGCCTAGTGTGATCAACTTCTCATTAGAGATGAGCGCATCCTTTGATTTATTTATTTCGTACATTATATTTATCCACCTACCAACCTATATATACACAAAGGTTGAATTTTAGAAATTCATTTCCGTAAAATGAAAAATATTTGTGTTACGTTTTGAAACGTTTCTTTCCCGTTTTAAAATGTTATCAGTACATTTTAAAACAACATAAAATTAGAAACGCAAATGTCCAAAAAGCAAAAACTATTGGAAAGAGCATTTATTCGTCCTTTCTAATATATAAATATATATGTAGATTGTAGAGCCAATTTTGAAATCTTAAAACATAAGAATTTTAGGATACTCTACTGATAAAATAAGAAGCACAAACATTTTAATATAAGTAATGTATTTACTGTTTTCGAATATATTATTCTATTATAAGTTTTTAAGTTTTAACTCCACCAAAAATTAAGCACAGGCTCACATAACCGAAAAAATTATCTCACGTATTTTTGAGAGATATTGATTATGACTTCATACCGCATCGTTGAAAATACTCAGTTTATGGAAACCAATTGTATATATGCATGTCACATACTCACATACCGACATACGTACATGAACATGACACACCATATATATATACACGTACTCACGTACAACTGTTACTATAGCTAAATCGCACGCTTCTTCTAGAGCTAGTTAATTATCTCCAATGATGAATACAATAAAGTAACTTCCTATCATATGCATGCTGACTTATTTAAAATTTCACGAGTCGAATTGATGAACCAAAAGTGTCCTTTCCATATTTTTTGATGAAAGAAATAGAATTCAATCCCTACAATTACGTACGAAGCTTCTCGTGCAAATTTTAATCATTGATATCTGTGCATTTATGCGCTCGCTTACCCATAATACGCTATACAGTAACTTTTATGATTGTTGAATTAATAATTACAATTTTTATTGCCAACGAATAATTACAAAAAACAAAAAAAACGAGAGTCTTTTCTATGCTAAGGTATCACTCAATGTTTAGTAATTATAATGTGCATGGAACGTCATTAATGGTGTGCTTTTGACAATTATCAAACGATGAAATATTGCTTTCGATACGTGATCCCTTTATCTCTATATTTTTTTTCTATTTCCTTCTGATATTTCAAACACATTCGAAGGCCGCACACAGGTAGATGAATCTTATGGACGTCGTACGAAATTGCATGAGAATCTTTAATAAACATTTTAAAAATCTTTGATATACGTGTGTTTATTTTTTTAAAGAATTTGCTAACTTGCGTTGATCCATGCACATATATATGAAACATTATAATGCATTGTAAGAACTACTTAGAAATGCATACCAGTTTATAAATAAGATTTAAATAAAATAAAAACAAAAATCCTTAACGAGAAGACAAATTTTTAATTGAGAAGATCTTCGATTGTTTAGAATATAAAAATACTCGTTACGTGTAAGCATGTTTTCGTGAAAGGCTGAAATATTCTTTAGAAGCTTAGTGGTCTATTAAACTTAATTAATTTGGAAAGCAGATAAATTAAACTACAATATTTAGGTCAACTCAATGTTTAAAATCTACCCATATCACTAAGTTTTCCTCTTTGTTGCATTAAGCCTTGCCATGAAGCATGAAAAATGAGACGAGGCAATCAGTATAAAATAATATGTGGGTGTGAATATACCTGTACTCTAATACATAGTAATTAGATATGTGACATGTCCATATCTTGATCAAATAATTAAAATTTTTTTGACAAGCTGTTTAATTATTTCTTGTCAATTTCTTCTGATCTATACAAAATAACATAAAAGTCAGTCTAAGGTACATATATGATCAAACATTGTAGATTCAATAATTAGCTTATATCACATATGAAAATTGTAATGTGATAATCAAATAGCATAATAGTGCGGATATAAAGAAATGCAGAAGGATAGCATACGACTATTAATCAGCTAATATATCAGTTTGGAAATAGATCTAATTAAACACTATTTTTGATTTTTCTTAAGATTTGGTTTCAAGTATTTATCTAACCCCGAGAATAGGGTTACGTCTACAAGGTCATCATGGGTTGTTCTTCAATTAGATGATCATTAATTAAAGATGCAATTATGTTGATTCGTATATATTTATATATATGTGTGTATATATTTTTGTGTGTGTAAATTTATTAATATAAATCAAATACTATAATCATGATGTGAATGTGTATATAATTGATTTGGGTAGGGCATGGGTATCGATAGTGAATAATAAATATGAATGTAAATATGTAATGATTAGGCAGCCATAATCTGACTTCGTGGAGGCATTGTTCTTCCATTTTTGTCTTTCTCCCTCTTTTTAAGTTTCCTTTGACTTTTTAGACGTAAGAAAACAAAAGGCTTTAAAAGCTAAAAGTATTCTTTTTTTTTTCTTTTTAACATCAAGCTTAAAGTATTCTATAGATTTCAACTTTCCTTTTGCAGCCCATGAATTTTTTTTTTTTCAACTCGCTCTTCATTCCATAAAATAATTAAAGAATCTCTCAAATGAAAATTACTTTTATTTTTTATTTTTTATTTTTTCATATTAATTACATATTTTAAAAATTATTACAGCCCTTTATTGGTAAAGAGCGTGAAACACTTGTCTCTCATTTTTTAAAAAAGGTATTTAAATAACCAGGATATATAATCTCACTTGTTATTTTATAGAAACTTTATCGTAGTTCACCATAGATTAAAATGGTCTTCCAAATATTTAGATCGGGTTTGTTTTCATGATGAAACATGTTGGGTTGGATTTCTGGTTACGATTTTAATATATATTTTCTGCATGACTTTTTGTATGTAGATTGTAGACTATAGTTTTACTCTTCTACTTCGATATAGAAAAAACATCCCAAAAAGGGAAAGCTTTTGATGGTTACTTAGTATTTTTAACATGTTATATATAATATGATATGCCTAGAAATATTCTTCTACTTTCACAATCCACATACAATTAAATTGATTAGCATATAATAAACTTGGCTTAGCGAAACCGTCATGCTTATGTTAGAAGTGGCTCATCAACACCAATACCATCTGTCTTTCGCCTTGGTTTAGCTAATTCTTTGTTAGTGTCTCTTGTAGGACCCTTTCTTCACAAAATCCCTATATAAATCTGGTGCTTGAAAAACCTTTTCCCCATCAATCATACTCATATGCTCTCTAAGTGCTGCACTTTCTCAAATAATTCCATATCATCCATCCACTTCTATCTATCTAGATTTTAGATGTTTTCCTTTTGTTTCGAATCACACATCGATATCGTGTCTTAAGTTCTCAGCAAGACTTTTTAATTAACTCATACAGTATATATATTTTATATAAAAATGCATTGGTATTCAAATCTTTGTTCCGGCTAAATCTCGTAAAACTAAGAGCTGGGATGTAGTGATCAAACCAATTGGCAGATGTTTGGCCCACGCATGTTATCTCAATCCCATAATGGACTATTCATCTTCCGAAAAAATATTTACAAAATTCACAGTACTTTTTTTTCATTAATTTGAATATCGCAGAGAACTCCCAAATTCTAGGTACCATATTTTTAAAATATATACAGGCAAATGTGTTTTTATAGGCTAGTAAATGTTATTAAGATAATATGCTGGTATCCTATATATATACTGTATATATGTTTGATAAGAAAATAATGTATTTTACGTCGGGAAAAAGCAATGCATGAAGTCGCCTTCAACAACAGAATCATTGCAATTTGCTGAAAGAAACTGCATTTTAAAAAAAAAGAACAAAATGGCACTAAAGGGCAGATAAGGAGCCATGAACATGATATCCTTTTAAGTTAGTGATGCGATGCATGCAAAACATTTTAATATATATGCATATCCGACTACGGCTCATGTGGTCCAATTTATATTCAAATTTACAGAATTTACTTATGCGGGTCCTTTAATAAATAAAAAAAAATCAAGATGTTGATATGTGAGATAGAACACCACTTTCATAAGTTAATTATTGTAGAATGCTAAACCAAAGAATATGGATAATTTATAGCAATCGTAGACAGTTTACCATTGGTATGGTTTAGATATTTAATAGAATGTATCTAACAGCATCAACTACATTATAATGAAAATAGTTTATATACATACACATTATATATATATACCCACTAAATTAAAAGACAGATTTTTTTTTTTCTAAAAAAAAGACAGAATTTTTTTTTTGTCTTAAAATGTTTTTTGGGTCGCAAACCTTAGTCAGCAAAACGTAGACGTGCATGAGGTGATGGTGAAGTTTCATGGGGTAGTGTCTCCATTGAGCTTCCTCCGTTTAGAAATTAACGTTTATCGTTTTCGGCACAACAATATTATCTTTTTCAGTTTTATCTGCAACTACATATACCAAATATCATAAGAATAAATATATACGAGTAGGAGGGAAATGATAAATAATAGTTGTAGAATAAGTTAGGACGGTGTGGGTCTTAGGACTAGACAAAATATTTGTTAGATTCGGTTTGATCAGTTATCGTTTTGATTTGATCTGAAGAGTTAGGATATTCATAATTTTATAGATCATAAAAACTACTAAAATACATGATATCCGCCTTGTTGCATTTGAAAACATATTATGGATTAGATCTAATTATAAGCTTTGATTGGTAACAGTTTTTCGGAATGTATAACTATAGAATGGCGAAAAAAAATTTACAGAATGTAATAAGCGACTTAAAATTCACTTTTTTGCTTAATGAATTATCATTTATATTTACGTTAAGCAAAAATGTAGACTATCTTTTCATATATTATTTTTCATTCTGCAGATTTTTTTATTAGCAAAATATTTGCAGAAAAGCGTTTAAAAACACAATTCCACCGATTATCAATCAAAGCCATAAACTTAAGTTTCCTCCCTTTGTGCACTAGAATATTCAACTGAAACACTGAGTTCTAGATTTGACCTTAAATGGACTTGTGAAATATTCTTTACCATGAATTGAATCTACTGACACATTACGGCATAACAGAAAAGTCTACGTAGAAAGGAGTCGTTGAAAAATACAAAACGGGTAGGGAAAAAAAGGATGCGCCACGAAATGATTAAGATTTTTGACATCGTGGGTACCATTCCAATTTCAAAACTATGATCAAGTTTAATTATATGTGAATATGTGTTGCGCATAGTTTTCTTTTAAAGTTATTATATGTGAAATAATGTGGTGGTGGAGTCAAAGTAGGTGATGCTCGTTCAAAAAAAGCATTGTGTTTAGAAAATCAGGAATCTCTTACAAGTAAAGTAGATATGACATAATTACGGCATTGGGTAGGCATCTTGACACGTGGCATTTTCATCACCCTCTCCTCGTCACCCCTACGATGCAATGATCTCATTAAACCCACAATTTATTCCGTTTTATCACATTCACACCCAAATCAAATAACTATAAAAAATCATTTTATTCATAAATCCTTTATTCCTCGTAGACTTGCAAAAAAATAAACTCTTTGTTAAAATATCTGCTTTTTTTTGGAATTAGTCGTATGCTTCAGCCAAATTATAGATAATATGTGCCAACTTTTTCTAAAGTAAATTCTTAGCTTTAGCTCTGTTTAACAAAAAAAAAATTATTAGCTATGGTCTATATTTTTGTGTGTATCAATTATCACCTGTTTATTTTTTGTGTATAATGAGTAGTAATCTATTTAAAGGACTAATAGTGTTTTTTTTTTCGTGGTAAAAAAAAAAAATGAAAAGCAGGTAGAGATAAGATGCAGAGGGCAAGAACTGGAGCCAGTGTTGACACTACAACACGTGAGAGATGCAATCTGGAGAGGAAGCAGAGACAATTCTTCTCTTTCACAGAACCTTACTTTGCTTTCAAACTCATCTACCTCTGATCATCTCATGGTCCTCCATTATGGTAGGACTCTTTCTTAATTATATATATATTTTTTTGTTTTTTATTCTCTATTTTATTTATTTATTTTTATAATAATAACACCATATTATTCTCAATAAAAATAACTGCCCACCCTTTCTTATTTTAACTCAAGAGCCCACCTTCTTCAATTGGTTTTTCCCCTCTTCCTTTTTTTTTCTGTTTTTTTGGCGGGTGGTTTCGATTATTGATTTTCCTTTTAAGCCTTTTTTTTGGGTGCGATTTGTCGAAATATCGATCTAGAACGGAAGAGTATCTAATTCGGTAGGAGTATATATGCATGCCCCGATTGATGTTTTTATTGTTATATCTTCTGGGGTTGCGAGTAACATTAACAGTTAACCCATGAAAAATGTATTCAATATCTGTATACGTTATTTTCATGCTATTACTGTTACTACTATTGCTGGGTGACTTCTTTTTGAGATAGTTATTAGTTCTTGTCTTTATTGTTTTGTCTGAGAAATGGGCCTGGTTAGGCCTATCACCGTTTCAACTCAATGTCAATCTGGCCATTTCTAAATCTCAGGCCTTTTGGGAAAGGTTGGATACTTTAAAGCCCATTGGTTGTGAAATGAATAAGAAAGATAAATATTATTCTTGCAGCTATAAAATGGAAATGGCCATGGGACCTCACAATTCACAAAGTTTAATGCACATTGTCTCGTCGTCACAATGTGCTGATGCCATTCCCTAACTAGTTTTTTTGTGTGTCAAGATTACGAACAATCTGCAACACACCAATTAAACACTCAAAGCTTTTTAGGTTGTAGAAAAACACCAATTCTAGGGAAAAAAAAACAAAAAAAACACCAATTCTATCAATAGAAATCACTACCACATGGTCTCTTGTGATTTTTCTCTAATACAATATTTCCTATTATAAACCCTAGTTTTCCCCATTTCTTTTCTGACTATTCGAACTTACTTACCTTTTGTAGTTAAGAAATTAGAAAACAACATGAGCTTATACAACGCAATTTATATCCGGCGAAGACTGAGAATTTTGACTTTCGTCATCGATATGCAATTATAGACTCCTAGGGTTATACTAGGGGGTTTAATGTGAATTAGATGAAGCTAGATTTGTAAAAAAATGAAGACATTTAATTAGGCAGCTACGCTCTTAACTTTAGTTTTACACTTGTTAAGTACTAAGCAGACTTACTCAACTTTCTCTTTGTTTAATCAAAAACTTTCGTAGAAAAAAAACAAAGTTATCTTTTGTCTTACTCCATAATCACACCATCACCAAGAAGATCTAGGTCTGCACATCTCTCTCTCTCTTCTCACGACTCAGGCTCTCTCGCTTACGTCACATCACATTCAGTACTTCGGAAAATGGAGCGAGCACGCACGGAAAGCCCCAGCTACTTCCGTCAATGGAACGGCGAGTCAGGCACCACCAATGCCACCGCCGCTCCTTCTTCCCCGGCGCGTCATCACCACCACGCTCGATCCTCTTCCGTCACTGGAATGTCAAACGTCAAGCGAGCCCAAAACGTCGCCGCCAAAGCCGCAGCTCAGAGGCTTGCCAAGGTCATGGCTTCACAGACCACCGACGACGATGACGATGACGACGACGATGTCGGTGGCGATGACCTAGGTTTCCGCTACGGCGCTCCCCCTCCTCCTCTCTCCTTCACCAGAAACAATGCTTCTTCCACAGCTGCTAAAACTAAACCTGCTGCTTCTGCTGTTCTTCCTCCTCCCAAGATCGCCAGATCTTCCTCCCCTGCGGTAAAGTTCGAATTTTTTTTTCTCAAGTAGAAAACAAATCCGTGATCTTCGTTTTCTCAAAGCAATCTGTTGACCCAATTTACCAAATTTTGCTCATTTTCAACCGCAGAGATTTAAGGAAAATGGTTGAGAGTTTCCAATTTTGGAATGTGGGATATTTATTGAGACCTGATTATTGTAAATTTAGGAATGTATTTGTAATGGAAACTATGATGCATGTTTTGAATCTGTCTTCTAATCGGATACTTGCTTGTCATTGTGAAAAACCAGTCCTCTCGGAACTCTCCGGCCGTTTCTGTTAGAGCATCACAACCACCTGTTCCGCCAAGCAAACTGTCTCAAAGGAATCAAACTACCAATTCATTACCAGCTCTTAAGAATCAGCAGACTGAAAAGAGGTGAGGAGAATTTCTCAAGATATCTTCATATTGCAACTCGTTTAGATTGTTTGCATGACTAGGAACTTTTTTCCATTGCAGGGTTTTAGCTGATATTGGGCAACTTAATGCCAAAGATTCGAAAGATCAGCATGAAGCATCCGCACTTCGCGATGAAGTATGCTCATTCCATTTTCTTTTCTCTATTACGTATTGATATTTTATGGAGAATTTCTAGAAGGAAACTGATAGTTTCATCACATTACAGCTCGATATGCTGCAAGAGGAGAATGAAAGTATTCTTGAAAAGGTAAAAAGTCTTATCCTGTTCGGTTTCCGTCTCTTCTATCACAGTGACATTATAATACGTTTGTGCTTATTAACAGCTTAGGCTTGAGGATGAGAGATGCAAGGAAGCAGAAGCCAGGGTGAGAGAACTTGAGAAACAGGTACCTGGGAGCAATGATAAACTTGCATATATGCATAACTACTTCGTTTTTTTTCTAAAAAACCCTGTTTTCACCCTTGAGAAAAACTGTAGGTCACTTCTCTGGGAGAAGGTGTGTCCTTGGAAGCGAAACTTCTGAGCCGGTAGTCAATATCAATGCAATTTATACCTAGTTTTCGTTTCTTTTTTATTTTCTGTTTAATTGAAGTGTTGACATGAATGTACTTTGTCTCAATGGTGCAGAAAAGAAGCTGCTTTACGTCAAAGAGAGGTATTCCAAAGTCTGAGCCCCCTCAGGATTTTCTATTACGTGATGGTATTGTTTCCAAGTATAAAAAAGTTGTTCTATGACAGGCGGCCCTTAAAGATGCAAGGCAGAATAGAGAAGGGACTAATAAGGAGGCCGCTGCTCTTCGGTCTCAAGTAGAGGTAGGCTATTTTTCCCATCCGAGTATCACATTGATCGTGAGTTCCTAATGAATGAAAATATAGGAATCTAATATGTTATATGTTTCATTTTGATTCAGAATGCAAAACAAGAGACTGCTGCTGTAGTAGCCCAACTTCAAGGAGCAGAATCTGAAGTCAGCGCCCTACGAACAATGACACAGAGAATGATATTGACCCAAAAAGAGATGGTTTGTTTTCATGTTTTGCGCAGTCTACACGTAAGCAAATTCCGGTTTAAGTAACACCTTTGTATGCTCTTCAGGAGGAAGTTGTTCTGAAGCGGTGCTGGCTAGCTCGCTATTGGGGCTTAGCTGCCAAATATGGTAAGGGATAATTAGGTATATACATATATGCTTAGTAACATACCTAGAATTTTGTTCCATCAGCTATCTCTGCTTTCTGACATCTGTGTATATTTGCATTTTAGGCATATGTTCAGATATCGCTACATCCAAGTACGAATACTGGTCATCTCTTGCACCGCTTCCTTTTGAAATTGTGTTATCAGCTGGGCAGAAGGCTAAGGAAGAAAATTGGGAGAAAGGCAAGCAATCACTTAGTCATGTTACTGTCTTTTCTAAGATATCTGTCTTAATAACATTTTATGATTTTGACTGTCAGTTTTTGTATCTGTATATATATTTACTGGCTATGAAATTATCTGACCAGATTCTGAGGAGAACGAGAAGAGGAGCCAGCTCGTTCAAGATATAAATGATCTAACAGGAGAGGGAAATATTGAAAGTATGCTCTCTGTGGAAATGGGTCTAAAGGAGCTAACATCTTTAAAGGTTTATTCTCATCCTCTCTCTCGTTTTGGTTCATGCACCCCCTCCTTTCATTTTTCTCATGGACTATGCTTGTTCTTTTGAAGGTTGAAGTTGCCATTACTATTACACTAGCCCAACTAAGGTTGGCCAATACTCTTCGACTATCTGATTCCGGTAAGCTTATGTAGAAGCTCTTCTTGACTATATTTTGCCAATAACTTGTGTTGCTCATTGCATTAGCTACAAAAGGACTTTATTTAGCCAGGCTTTTGAATTCGCCATTACGATTGTCAAAACAATACATGTTTTTTATGTCGCATATTGCATTTCTATGCTTCTCTAATATGTAATTTTCTGGTCGTTTTGTTTCAGAGTTAAAATCACCAGGTGGTCCTAAGTTCATGGAGGCACTTGGTAAGTTTATTTCGCTTATATGACTGAACTTCTAAGTCAACATCTTGGTGTTGTGATATTGTAGATTTGGAGTAAAGAATAATCAACAACGTTACAGTGAAACTCTTAATAAAATTAGGACTATGAAATACATAAACTGAATGTCAGTATTCTATGTTGACACTTCATAAACTAATAAAGAGCGCAGACAGTTCTTGTTAATTCTGATTCTGACCTTGGCCTGTGGTCCTTTGCAGAACTGAGTCCAGAAGAGTCTGAAGATGTTCTCTTCAAGGAGGTACAGAACCACAACCTCTTTCTCGCTGTCTCTCAACCTTTTATCTGTCCTTTGGAACTACTCGAGACATTCTTTCAGCTCAATCTTGGCCTTTTGTCTAATCTCAATACTCTAAATCATGGAACTTTTGGCAGGCTTGGCTCACATACTTCTGGAGAAGAGCCCTGTCCCTTGGCATAGAAGTGGACATTGCGCGAGAACGTCTTCGATTCTGGATCAGCAGGAGTGCACACTCTCCATCTTCACATGACGCCATGGAAGGTACAATCTAACATACCAAATTCATTTTAGGCAAAAGAGTACCCTTAAGACAATTACTAAATTGGGTTGTTCTAATTTTCAGTTGAGCAAGGACTAACAGAGCTTAGAAAGCTGCGGATAGAACGTAGATTGTGGGAAGCCTCCCGGTCCAACCAGTAGTCATGACCTTGCACCTCAGGATTTCGGAACAATCATGTTACCACAGCTTTAACAGTATTGTATATCGTACGGCTTTCTTCCTGTGTGGTCTGAGTACTTTGCAGTCAGGAAAATGTTTAATCCAGTTTTGTAAACTTATACGCAATACTTTTGACATATAAAGTATCCACGTTTTCACACTCTTACTGTTAATTTGCAGACTCCATTCTTGTTTGATTATAATCCACTTTAAAGTATCTACAGCCTTATAAGTGATACTGATACAGACACTTAAGATCACCCATTCACCAGTAATCGTTGCATGAGCACTTCCCCTCCTTGAAATGGTGAAACCTTCTAGAATCTCGGATGACGATTTCGTGTCCTGTCACCAAAGACACATGCTTCGCAAACTCATGGCAATCTGGGCACGCCCGGAGATTCTTGAACACCTTTATAGGTGCGCGGGCGTTACCATTCACCGATATCAGCCCAAATGCAATGGCAAGCCTCTCGCTATGATCAAGAAGCTGTTCTCTTCTCTCTGTCATACTACACTGAAACACATCACCTTCCATAAAATCATCAAACTCCTTAAGCTTCTCATAGATCTCCTGAGTTTGCGGATGGTGTTTATCACCCACTATAAACCGATGAATCCTACCCTTTTCTCTGATCCAGCTGCAGCTCAGTTCCTTCTTTAACATCCTCTTATTCATTAGTTTCATCATTTCAGCAGCTTCTTCCCATTTACCAGCCCGGGTATACAGATTAAACGGTAGTACATATCCAGCTGTATCTTCTGGATCGAGTTGGCGAAGTTCCTCACCAGCAATCTCACCCAGTTCAAGATTCTTATGGGTCCAACACCCACTTAGAAAGCACTTCCAGCTCATTGAATCAGGTTCAAAAGGCATATTCTTCATAAATTTAAGGGCTTCGTCTAATAGTCCTGCACGGGAATAAATGTCGATCATACAGTCATAATGGTCAATAGTCGGAGCCACGTTATATTTTCGTAGCATCGTGTCCAAGTAATCCTTGCCCTGTGCAACAAGGCCTGCGTGGCTGCATGCGGTTAAAACCGCAATAAATGTAACTGAGTTTGGCTTCATGCCACAACTCACCATTTTCTCAAACAATTTCAGAGCTTCGGATGCATTTCCATAGTAAGCATGACCTGATATAAAAGCTGTCCAAGCAACAATGTCCGGGTTGTCCATTGACTCAAAGACTTCGTGGGCGTCATCTAAGCATCCACATTTTGAATACATCGTTATGAGAGCACTTTCTCCGTACTGAGATCCAATCAGACTTCTTTTTATAGCATCTGCATGAACTTGGCCACCAATGTTGCAATCTGCAAGTACGGAACATGCTTGGAATATGCTAGTATATGTGAAAGAATTTAGAACCGCTGCATTTTTGCTTCTCAAAGACTTGAAGGTTTTGATAGCCTCCTCAAACTGACTCATTTGGCAGTATCCAGAAATGATTGCGCTCCAGGTAACATCGTTTGGTTCACAGATTTTTTCGAATGCACGACAAGCAGACTCAAAGCTGGAACATTTGATGTAAAAATCAACGAGTGGAGTTCCAACCGAGACTTCAGATTCCAGTCCAAGCTTAGCGACGCAGGCGTGAATCTGCTTGCCAAGATTAATCTCTTCAAGAGAAGCACATGACTTAAGAACAACTGAAAACACAAAATTGTCCCAATTGCCACCTTCGCTAACGAAATCCGCAAATAGTTTCAAAGCATCTCTTGATCTTCCAGCTTGAGTGTAACCTATCATCAAGCCCGTCCAAGCCACAGATTTCTTCACTGCCATCTGATCGAACACTAGCTTAGCACCCACTAACCAACCACATTTCACATACATGTTCAAGATCCCAGCCTCTATAGATGGGTTGCTACATAACCCAGCACGTATAACATGACCATGAACCTGTCTACCAATGTCTAAAGCACTAGGATTCACCAAAGATTTCAAGAGTGTAGTATACACGGAAGAAGTAGGGCTGTCTCCTGACTCGAGCATTCCAGAGAACAAACCAACAGCTTTCTCCAAAAGCCCTTGCTCTGCGTAAGCAGATATCATCGTTACGCGAGAGACAGTGTTCAACTCAGGCATTTCATCGAACAGTTTATCTGCATCTTCCAAGCTCCCACACCCACAATACATCTGCAGCACGCAGTTCTGAAGCAGCACAGAAGGATTCTCGAAAGCCGTGCGCATGCGATGGTGCAGGAGTCTCCCATGAGATAAAGACCTCGATTCTCTGCAAGCTTCGAAGAGACATTGGTAAGAATACGGGCTGATGGAGACGCCAGCCTTATCCATTTCTTGGAAAAACTCAAATGCTTCGTTGAGCTTCCCATGCTTGGACAACGAAACCAAATGAAGATTCTCGACTTGGCCTTGCTTATGCTCTATTTTAACAGAGGAAGTGCTCGATTTCAGAGAAACCCACGACGGAATTCGATCGAAATTCGCGTGTTTTAAAACCGGAATTGGCGAAGGAGTATACGAGGACTGTAAAGTGAGGATCGTCATGGTTAGTTGATGAAAGTGTAGAATTTTATAGCTTTTCGGAGAACAAAAAAAAAAGAAAGAGAAAGCTCGGTTTTTTATTACAGGCTCATAGCAGCAAGACAGCAACCAAAAACCAAACAGGTCAAATCAAATTAATCGCTGGTAATAAGAAACGATACCGTTTTTCTGGTACAGAGACAGCTCAAAGTTCCCTTCTTTGGCGTCGCATCAGTGAGCAATACGCTTGTCTGCTTCTTGTTTTAAACCTATCAAAAACATTCCATTCACAGGCTTCTTCTTCTTCTTCTTCTCCGATGGCGGCTACTAGGGTTCGGTGTCATGCACCTTTCACCAGATTGCCGCACATCCCCAACCGAAACTCGTCGACGCTACAGATTTCTCCGAATCGTGTCGATTTCGCGTCACTGAAGGGTCCAAAGAAATTATTTTTACACATTGGAGATGGCTACTCCACAAGGAGGGATTCAGGTTCATGCCTCAGAACCACTGTACGAGCTGTTTTGGATGAGAAGAAGACGGACGCGATAGCGGAGACGGAGGTAGAGGAGAAGAGATTCACGTGCGTGATGAAGTTTGGCGGATCTTCGGTGGCGACGGCGGAGAGAATGAGGGAGGTGGCGGATTTGATTCTGACATTCCCGGAAGAATGTCCGGTCATTGTTCTTTCTGCAATGGGGAAAACTACCAACAATCTCTTGCTTGTAATGCCGAAAACTCTTTCCTTTCTTCTTCCCCTGTTATTATTTAAAGTTATGATTTTGAATTCTGATTTGTTGCTAGTGAAGGCGGGAGAGAAGGCGGTGAGTTGTGGTGTTTCAAATGCATCTGAGATTGAGGAGTTGAGCATTATTAAGGAATTGCATCTCAGGTTTTGGTTTCCTTCAAATTTGACTCACTGATTTGGTACATTGAGTATCTTTTTCCTTTACTTTCTGCTGGTTTTGATTAAAAAAATGTGTTTTTTTTGTTGTTTCAGGACAGTGAAAGAGCTTAATATCGATTCCTCTGTTATTTTGTGTAAGCATAGTTTGGTTTTGTTCGTGTAACTTATAGACTTTCAACACTTTAAGCTTCGTTCTTGGTAATATTCAAAAGTCTGCATGCATTGTGGTTTTCAATTCTGGATACATTTTTGCAGCCTTTTTGGAAGAACTGGAGCAACTCCTGAAAGGCATAGCCATGATGAAGGAGTTGACACTTCGAACCAGAGACTACTTAGTCTCTTTTGGAGAGTGCTTGTCTACAAGGATTTTCGCGGCTTATCTTAATAAACTCGGTGTCAAGGCACGCCAAGTATGTCCATCTTCATATTTCAGTATTAGTTTAATTTTCTTTAATAATTCTATATATTCTATTGGGTTGACTAATTAATAAATTTGATGTCTGCATAGATTAGGCTAGACATATTCAATCTAGATTCTGTTGGAGTTCAGTTGCTGTTTAGAAAATGGGAGGTCAATAAACTTTTGAACTAGTTTGGTTTCGGCTGTCAAGGAACACATATTGCTGTTCTTTCTCTTCCGCATGCTAAACTTGCCTTGGTTTTACCCTTTTTTGTACATAATCGTGTATGGCGACTCTAGTTGCCATCCTGTCGAAATGTTCACTTATGCTCGCAAACAAAGCTACGTGGACTAATTAACAATTACTTTGCAGTACGATGCATTTGAAATTGGTTTCATTACAACGGATGATTTCACAAATGGGGATATATTAGAAGCAACTTATCCAGCTGTTGCCAAGAGATTATATGATGATTGGATGCATGATCCTGCTGTTCCTATTGTTACTGGTTTCCTTGGAAAGGTATTGCTAAAAGTTTGCAATCTACATATAACCAAGATTTTCATTCAAGTTTGTGTGGTTTGTCTAATTATTTCATTCAATAATAGGGTTGGAAAACTGGTGCGGTTACTACCTTGGGTAGGGGTGGCAGTGATTTGACGGCAACCACAATTGGTAAAGCATTGGGTTTGAAAGAGATTCAGGTTCCTATACAGCCTCAAAGTATAACAGCTTTCATTTAAGAGCGTTGTATACATCTCTGGTCAATTTTGATGTTTGTTTTTTTCATTGGTAGGTGTGGAAAGATGTTGATGGTGTTCTAACATGTGACCCTACTATTTATAAAAGAGCTACACCAGTACCATATCTGACTTTCGATGAAGCAGCCGAGCTAGCTTATTTTGGTGCACAGGTCCCTCTCTACTTGTATGCAATAGTACTTATGTGCAGTTATTAGCAATATTACACGAAACTTTTCTACAATGGCAATATTCGAGTGGTTTGAGTAAAGAGGTAAAATTGTTGCTGCAGGTATTGCACCCACAGTCAATGAGACCAGCAAGAGAGGGTGAGATACCTGTTAGGGTTAAAAATTCTTATAACCCTAAAGCTCCTGGAACTATTATCACTAAAACAAGAGACATGACCAAGGTATAGATTCTCCAAATTTGTGTTTCTTTTCATGCAGCTCATGCGAGAAACTTTATAGAAACCCAAAATTTAAGCTTTTTCATATAACAGACAGTTTTAACGAGCATTGTTCTGAAACGCAATGTGACCATGCTGGATATAGCAAGCACCCGAATGCTTGGTCAGGTTGGCTTTCTTGCAAAGGTAAGAATGTACATTTTCACTATTTATGTGGCTAAAGTTGTAGAAGTTCATTCTGGTGGTGCAAGGTCCGATTTGTAGACTGCTCCAACCTATAATTATTTAGATCCTGTCAATAATCAATTTTGCCAGCAAACCTCACTCTTTGCCCAGGTATTTTCGATATTTGAGGATCTTGAAATATCCGTAGATGTTGTTGCCACTAGTGAAGTGAGTATATCTCTGACACTGGACCCTTCAAAACTTTGGAGCAGGGAACTGATTCAACAGGTAAGTTCTTGTAGAAGCCCCGAGACTTTATTTTCCAATCCATGTTTGCCTGCTTTTCATTCTTGGTTTTTTCCTTGTAACAGGAGCTTGATCATGTAGTTGAAGAACTGGAGAAAATTGCTGTTGTGAATCTTTCAAAAGGAAGAGCGATAATCTCTCTAATTGGGAATGTTCAACATTCCTCCCTGATTTTAGAGAGGGTTAGAATCTTACCTCCTTGGAGGTTCTCACTAAGAAAGAGTGATTTCTTTTCCGATTTTTACTTAATTGTTTTTTTTTTAAAAAAAAATTTCGGGCAGGCGTTTCATGTTCTTTGGACCAAAGGTATCAATGTCCAGATGATATCACAAGGAGCATCCAAGGTAACACACTGATCATGGCAAAATTTTGCAGGTAACACAAAATTCTCTTTCCGTACGCGCCTAACAAATTTCTTTCTTTTGTTAAAAATCTTGCAGGTAAACATCTCTCTTATAGTAAACGATGCTGAAGCTGAAGGATGCGTTGAGGCTCTTCACAAATCCTTCTTTGAGAGCGGTGACCTCTCGGAGTTATTGATACAACCCAGATTTGGCAACGGGTCACCTGTCAGGACAATGCAAGTAGAAAACTAACTTAACGAGCTCATTGCTTGATATGCATTTTTCATTGTATTGCTTCTGAGTTATACGCACGTTCATCAAGAACTACTTGTTGTTTTACGTTTAGGCAAGGGAAGTGCTTGCCACCTTTTCAGCTGTTGTAAGACCAATTTCTTGGACCATTTTGAGTGATCAAAGTTTGACCAGTAAGAGAAAAAGAAATATATTGGTGAACTACAGATGTTTGGATTTCATGGATTGGGTTCACAGATAGGTTTGGTACAAGAACATTAAGGCTAAAAGCTGTGCAGTTGTGTAAGCATGTGAACAAGCTCATCACTGGAAGGCCTGTCTGCCGGAAAATCAGAAAGGCAGATAATGGCGATTCTCAAAGCCATTAACATCTCGTCTTCCTCCACTTCCTCTCCAAGAATACTCTTATCTAATGCTTCTCGTGCCTCCCCGGATTGCTGCAAATGCTTCAACCACTGTCCCAAGCTGCCTCCGCTTGCACCCTCTCCACCGAAAGGAAGGGTGGGGTCTTTTCCGGTTAAAAGAACACCCAATATCATCCCAAAGCTGAATATGTCGCTTTTGTCGGTGTATCTGTCACAAGGAATTGCACACCGTGTTAGTTAAAAGAGAAGAATTAGGAGTTAACTCAAAGGTGATGATGGCGTTGATTTTTGAAACACCTGTTACTTTGAGAAGACTCGGGAGCAGAGTAGCAAGAAACCGCTGTGTGTGAACTAGGCATGATCTTGGCCAATCCGCAATCAGCAAGCCGAGGCTCAAACTCAGAATCCAACATCACATTTGTAGGTTTCAAGTTATAATGAAGAATCTGTTGCTCACAGCTAAAATGGAGATACTGAAGCCCTTTCACAATCCCAACTGCGACTCTAAGCCTAATCTCCCATCCGAGCTCTACCTCTTTCGCTCTAACCTTATTCATCACATCCTCAAGACTACCATTTGGCATGTAATCATAGACGAGAGAGAACTCATCGGATTCTCGAACATAAGCTCTTAAACTCATAAGGTTCCTATGCCTTAACCCAGCAAGAAGCTCAAGTTCCTTCTGCAATCTTCTTTTAACCGACTTGCTACTACTAGTTGCTTCTGGTGAGCCGTTTCCTTCAAGTGAGCCTAGTCTCTTGACTGCAACCACTAGACCGTTGTCGAGTACCATCTTGTAGTATTTACCATTTGGGTCTGAGCCAAGCAACTGGATACCATTACCGAGAGCTGCGTGAAGAGATTTAGGAGTAATCTTTGGGGAAAACACCACAGGACCTTTGAGAATTGGAGTCTGTTTCATGAATTTGACAATGCAACGGACCAATAAAGCTAACACTAAGGCCGAGACCAAGCCGGTTAAAATCCCTGAGACGATGCTAATAACGATAACCTTGGAAGTGATTCTGGATTCGAGTGGTATAGATGAAGGTGGATTTGTGGATAAGTGCTTCACAGTTCTTCGCCGACAACTTGCGCTTGTGCTTGTTCTTGAAGCGAAGACTAAGAAGAAGAATAACAGGAGACAAATAGTGTTGCTACATCCGTTTCTTCGTCTTCTTCTATGCTCCATTGCTGCGTTTACGAGCATCATGAAATCGAAACCATCGAAGAGAAAAAGCATTTGGGTTTTTCAAGATTCGACACAAATCTTAGAAACCCAGAAAGCTGAAGCTGTTCAAAGCTAAAAGAACCAGGAAAAAGTTAAGACTCTTTTTTTATGCTACAGTGAAGCGCTCCTATCCTCTTCTCCCAAACAACATATATTCTCGAGAAAACCAATGAGAAACCCCCACAAGAAAGAGAAATATGGAATTCAACTCAAAATCTTCACAAAGAAGATGAATGGAATCATTGGCTCATAGATTCTTATCTAAAATTCTCCCTCTTTTCCTCCAAGATTAAAAATCGAAAAATAAAGACTCACGCTCCGATAAGAGGGGACAAAAAAGTACTAAACTTTGTATGTCTCAAAATACACCAAAAATCATAGAACGAACTTCAAAGAGGTTTTTTTTTTTCTTCCTTAGTTACCACAACTTAACTATATCTGTGGTTGAGAAGATGAAACAAACAAACAAAACTAATCCAAACTGTTTCAGCTCATTTTAGTCCAACAACCAAACAAGACACACAAACACACTCTCTCTCTAGACTCTCTTTTCAAGACACAGTATCTGCGAGACTGTGACTCTCTCTCTCTCTCATCTCCTCTCACAAAGCATGACCGAATCCGTTACAGCCAAAAAAAAAGGAGGAAAATTGGGTTCCCGCCTTAGAGTGGGACCCATATGTCAGATGGTCATGGTAAAGGTATGTCCCACCGCCACGTATGCAGACGAAAGGCAGCTCTCGTTGCTTGTCATGAGTGGCCGAAAGCAAGACATCGAGTACCGTGCGGAGTTGATGCGAAAACGAGATCTCAACCGCTGATTTCGATAAGCTAAGTGAGATCTGGACCGTTGGATGGGTTAGGCTCGGGAATTTGTGCACTTTGTCTTAGCGTGTGAGATTACTACACAAAAAGTGGTTCCCTTTGTTTGTCTGAGAATAATTTGCTTTCTCCCTCCAATGTCCTTTCTTTTTTTTAATTAAAAGGAAAAAGCTTTATGCCGGATGCTTTTTTATTCAAAGTGATTAGTGAGGTCTTGTTTTCAGATTTGAACACATTTTGTTAAAAAAAATAAAACAAAATATCTTGGGGCCGACGTCTCGGTAACATAATTGAGAAGAATAGTTTTGGGTTTAATTAGTGGAATGAAAATCAAAAGACTCAAAACTGTTTTGAAATAACGAGGATAAGTAGACCAAACTATTTGGTGCACTAGCTGGCCATGCCCAAGGATAACTCAGCAAAAATTTGAGATTGAAAACCAACGACTGAAATATCCATATCACATATTATTCTTCTCATCTAATTGACATTCTTTTGCACCAAGAGATTTCGGACTAAAGCGACCGAGAAGGGACTGAAATAACATTTTATGTAAAGTGAGTATACATCTTGAATCCAACTATGCTAAAAGATCAAGTTGTGAACCAAGATTGTAATAACAATGTCTACTTTATAATCTATAAGCTCTATTTTTTTTTTTGGGTATAATCTTTAGCTTTATATCGATATTTGTAGGGGAAGATTCAAAACCAAAACCAACCCACAAATTATATAGCTAATGAATAATTTATGGTTAACACTCCTGGAGAAACGAACAAACCGAAAGTTGCATGACAAGCTCAGGATGCTTTAGTCCCCACATCAAATACACACAACACGACACAACACAATACACTATAATTTCCTAATAAGCAGAGCCTATATCCATCACAAAGCATCAAATACATAACTTAATTAGGGGCTAAGCTTGCTCGAGGCCAGTGTAGACGAGGACCATTAGAGGCCCCTCTTTAGTGTTGATTGGCTCTTAAAATCTTCAATGTAATGATGGAAACATAGTTCCGAGAGTTCCATGCCCCTGAGCTTCTGTGTCTTCATCAGCACTGTCTGTGATTGTACCCATGTGTGTCTGAAAGCAGAGCGAGGACTTCTGTATCGGTAAATTTCGACTCTGCAGCGAGGTCGAGAGCGGTTTTGCCTTCTCCATTCATAGCTTCCGGGTCTGCTCCTCTGCAAAAGTAACCGACTTTGTGTTAAGACATAAACCATTCCAAAGGAATTTAGCCAGAGAAGATGTTAGGGAGATTTTGTAGAAGCAGATCAAAGAAGGAAGAACTCACCTTGTGAGTAGCAGTCTTGCTACTACCGCTTTGCCTCTGAGGATACAATAATGCAGCGGCGTTTGACCACTTGAATCTATGGCGTTTATATTTGCACCATATTGCAGCAAAAGCTCCACCATCCCAATGTCTGCCTTCTCACAAGCACAGTGAAGTAGAGAGCAACCTCCGGTTTCCTCAGGGGTAATATTTGAAGAACTACCTAAGGAGGTTCTATCAAGTAATTCATTTCTTAATCTGAGTAGGACGTCCTCACGCTTCGTCCTCTCTGGTATTAACATTACTCTGGAAAGTGTTAACGAAGAGCTGCAAGATGATTGGTCATACACAGAATTCACATCCGCTTCACCATTTACAATCAGCCGGTAAACAGCCTTCTTATCATTGCCACACACTGCATCCCACATTTGTTGTGCAACTGATTGTGGAAAATCGCAGTCTCTCGATCTCCGAACAAATAGCTTCTCAGCATACTGTGGAAATGACCCAAAAAAAAAGTTTTAGTGAACAATCCTGTACATTGCCTATGACAGAGCAAAGAGAAAATGCCGCTAATGAAAATATTATCTAGATTTTCAATGCGTTTTTAAAGGAACAACAGACTGTGAAATATGCACCCTGGAGAAGAAATATAGCGTTACTTATGTCCAACAAAAGGAATCAAAGAAAGGGAAGAAGATTAAAAACCTTAGCTTGTATATACTTCTCCTTGATAGATATCACATCAGCATAGCTGGGTTTTCCTGTGACCAGTACCCTGGATTTATCAGACCTGCACGTACTTGGCAAAATATTGTAACAATTACTATGTTTAGCTGATTAAGGTTCTTATAGCTTTGGATGGGAAGGTCAACATTTCAATCATAAATGAAGTTTTTACCCTGTCAAGCCTGGGTCAACATGGAAGGCGGTCCTTGAATGAAGCAATTCTTCCCAGACTGTGTTTGCAAAAGTATTTCCAAGAGCTTGGAACAAAGTTATAACAGATGGCTCCCATATTTTCACGTCGAGAGTGAGTGACCTAACCTGTAGCACGGCCAAGTTCAGATGCTAATGGACTTCTTTACTTCTATCCATGGATTAAGAGTTCTCGAGATTTACCTTAGATATGTGGACACCAAGATTACGGTGAACACCAGAACACTCGATACAGACAAGAACCCCTAGGTTTAAAGAAGCCCAGTCTGGTTCTGGAGCTCCACAATCTGCACATTTGTCATTCCCACAGACTTTTCGCAGAGCATCAATGGGCTTCTCACCTTTTCTAATGGACCGTTGTGGCTGAAAACTTCGTGATGGCCTTTCATGGTACCCCAAAAAGCTCCTCTCACATACAAATTCTTCAGTAGTAGGATGATCATATTCAGAACTTTCATATGAGCTACTTTCACTAGCAGACCGATGGTGACCACTTCCCATGGGACTACTAGGAAGACACTGCAATGAAGCCAAAGGACAATCACCAAAATTGCATTGATAACTAAGATGAAGTCTGGTCATGCAAAGGAATGATAAATAATACTTACCCGTTCAGGGACCTGAGAACTAAGTAGTGATGCAATAACCCCAGTGATCTTTTCTATCCAATCCATTTGATCGAGCGCACTCTCAGCCTGCACTGACGAACATAAGTAAACACTGAGTGAAAACTATTAAAAAGTTGGGCATACTTGCAAACATTGAAGGTCAAAGGCAGCTATAAACACTCTGAATCAAACCTGCAATGTGTAGTTTTTTGTAGGTGAAATGATCCTAAAGCAAAACCTCAGATCTGATTGATCAGCGTCGACTTTGATTGTTGAGGTAAGCAAGTTCACTGTATGACGAGCTACAGACTTCTCATCATGTACTCCACCATGACTATTCGAAGAAAGCCACCTACTAAGAAGTCCAGACCCAAGCTCGGAGCTATTTCTCTGTCCAGAATGCTGGCTACCAGAGCCCTAAACATCAAACCAACCAAGTTAAAATATTTAATTTCTGAACACTAATACCTTTGGTATTATTCTGCATTTTTTACTTGATAATATAAATACAAAACTCACAGATGGTTTGCTACATTGTTTTCGGTAATAATACAGCATTCCCCGGCTGTCAAGAACAAAGAACCGTCTTTTCCAGTCTCCTCTCAGGTTTGAAGACCGTTTAGAGAGATAACCTTGCCGTATTGTTTGCACCTTAAGCACCAAGAAATGTTATTAGCGCTCAAATATGTCGTCTACAAATATGTCTCATTCATATGCAAAAGGACATTTATCAACCTTTCCCCTTGCGGCCGATTGCATTACGGCGTCTATCATTTTGTGAGAGCTTCTACCAATCGCTTGTATGCCATCTCCATTTGGGGATCCATTAGAGCCATTTGAACCATACCTGCTCTCTCGATCAACTTGTCTTTTGTACTCCTGCATCTTTTCATTAAGTGCTGCTTGTTCATAATTTGATCTTTCTCTGGATTGTTGTGCATAGGTCAAGACCTGCAAACAAAGAGTTGAGGTGTGAATACTTTCCAAAATGCAACTATCTAAGCACTCTCAACACAATGAATGACATGTGAAGACTCATATAAAATGAAACGGACCTGATTGATATATGGTTCCATCTGATGCAGTAACTCGTAACCCTGAAAGCAGCCACATTCAGATTTGACACAAACCTTGTCAAACTATTTTAAAATTCTCAAGAAACTAACAAACTTACCTGTTTGAAGTACCGGAGATGTGCATCCATCGTTCCACTGACTGCTTCCAAAAATTCAAACCTTTTCTTAGCTTCAACATTTGAAAGCGCAGTCACCTGAGCATACATTAGGGAAAATAAAGAAAACAAAAAGATTACTTCAACAGTAGCATGAATGTTAGAGAAGGTATACAGATTTGAAAAATTAATAATCAAGATCAAGCAAAAGAAAATTACAAGGTTGAACCGAGCTTGCTCAAACATAGATCTCGAAGTGTGAAGTTCCTGACAGTGTCAAATATGTTAGTTATGGCAGAGGAAAAAAAAATACATGGTAATCAAAGATTAGAAAACAACAAGCTTTAGTAAAATCATGAACCATACCTGTTCTAAAGCAGCAGCAACGTCACTTTTTGTACCTTTCCTCAAAGATAGAAACTTCTCACGGGCCTAAAGCATAATAGGAAGTTAATTAGTTACCTTGTCCAGGTAAGCTTAGAAACGTAACATGAATAGTTACTAGCTACGTTTCAGTATTTTATACATAGCCTGCCAGAAAATTGCAACGCATATCCAACTTAAAAAAAAGTTGGGATGAGATTCAGTCTATCTTGAACTATCTTATTTAGTGCAAACCATGTCAACAAAGTAGAGATTATGGAAAACAACCCTGGACAAAGGGATACCTGATCATAGGTAAGGCTAGCCTTGTCAAAGCGCTTCCGAGCTTCCTGTGGTAAAAAATAACCTCTCAGGATTCCATATCCAAATATAACCTTAGATATGGATTGGTATGCGTACTCTACTTTTTCATAGATATTCTACTCGGTACTACTACATTGGATATATGGTCAGCACTTTTTACTGAAAAAATGAATATTTAGCTAAGAAGAAAGCAAGCAGCTTGTACCTTAACCTCATGCAAGTCCATATTGGCAAATTGAAGTAATCTGTCATTCAGTATATGTTCCACCTGACAATGAGAACTCATCAAAACAAATACCTGAATTGATAAGACTTGATCTAATCTGGAAATCTATACAATGTCTTAAGGTGACGCAACCTATATACCACAGCGGAGTTATCTAATAGAACGCTGTGGGTGTAGAAAACCGGTGAGAATGTCAACAGTAACAAACTAACATACCTGTGACCGAAGAACTTCTTTATAAGTCCCGATTTCCCTCAATGCAATTGTAAATTTCGTCATTACAGGTCCTGGCACATCAAGTTAGAGATTATCAGCACCTTTGATCAAACTAGTTTATTTTTCCAACTTTCAACTGAGATTTTCCACAAACTCAGTGAATTTAGCAACCCTAGAAAAGAGAGAGTGGAGAGCAAGAGCAGGAAAGGCAACTCCACTTTGTACAATTTAAGGCCATAAATCAGTACTTAAAAGCAACAATATTCAAAAAAATTAAGAATTCGACGATGGAAACTCTCAGTAACATAGCCTATGTGAAGTCAATCATACCTCCAAAAGCCACACTTATTGGATCATTATGGCCTCCACCAAATGTTTCAAGTGCACTTGCGAAAGCTATGTCCCCATCATATGCCTCGCCTAACCCTTCACTGGAAAATATGATGGGCAGTCTATCTCTGTTAGAAGATATGTTCTCATGCCTCGTCGAGCAAGAAGTAAAGTCTGACTCTATAGCTACAGTCCTAAGAACTTGTGAAAATTAAGAGCATACGTGTATTTCCGGCATCCTTTGTGAAACTTGAGACTTCTTTCCCGCAATATTTCTGCACTCTCCTCCATGCTTTGCAACTGTTTCAGAAAAAGACATCAATAAAGTACCCGGCTGTGTAAGACACGACTAGAAGGCAAAGTACAAGAAGACAGCAAGACACAATCCTATGCTCGATAGTTATGTGGTAACCCGAAAAGTTAAGTGTTTTACGCACTCCGTAGTCCGTATGACATAAAGGAATCATCAACTACAGAAAAACAGAGCAGATTTTTGGACAGAAATTGAACTATTCTAGGACGTAGGAACTTCCATTACACTTAAAGTTGCAATTTTTTTGCTCCTCTCGTGGCCAGTAGAGTATATATAAAGCTCCAACGAAAGCAGTGAGCGTGAGAATAGTAGCTAAGTGGACACAAGTGTTCTAAAACACAGAACAGCTTTGTCAGAGCCAGAGAGTAAAATATGAACTGAATCATAAGTTATTTCACATTTTATCGAGTAACACCACATATGGACAAGTTTAAAGCGCGAATAGGCCGTCCAGGTAACTAAAAAATTAAACCAATTTCTCAGTGACACATGAATTCGAACATTGGAGCAAAGTCCAGCTCTAGTTTTGGGGTATAAATGTCGGTAAACACCCAAATTTCCAGACACAAGCATATCCTAATGGCTCCAAAATTTGTATCCTTTCTAAACTAGGAGAATAAAGCTTGCCTAATATGACACCAAATTTCAAACCTGAGACGCTAAAAGACTCGACACATGAGGACAAAGGAAGACAGAACCAAGATATGTAGAAACAAACCTGTTTGCGGAACATGGGAGAGTCATCAAGCTTGGTGAAATGCATTTTGAGCAAATGGTAACTTCCTCCTCTTGTTCGAAACAAATAGCAATTAACATCACACGGAAAGCTAAGACCTTTATTTCTCAAACCGACTCCATAAACGAAGCACAGACAAGGAAAAAAAAAAGAAGAAGGTGAGATCCTCTTGCTCTCCACCTAAGCCTTCCGAAATAAACAAAAAACCACAACCCGATGATCTTCCCAAGTCTCGAGTCTAGCGTAATTCGAGCTGGTTTTTTCTTGCGAAGCCCTCAGTGAAATCGAGAGAGAGAATCAAGAAAAACAGTGGGGGGAGTTTTTTTAGATGAAGTGTCTCGGGAGAAGAGAAGAGAGAGAGACAAAAGAAAGAAAAATAAAAACTTGACCGTGAATTTTTTTACCGAAAAGGCGGCGAAACTATGCCGTTTAATTACCGCCGGAGATGGAGAAGGTTGGTAGGAGACGGTGTCGTTTGAAGGAGGCTCTAAGTGTAGATTAAGGGAAAAGAAGAGTGAAAGGGAGAGAGGACTGTGCTTTTCTGTAACAGTGGTCATCTGAGAAAACAATGACTGGGCCTAAATCTTCGTATTTCCACGCGCTTAAAAGGCGCGTGTAATGGTGATTAGTGTGAAATAACGAGGCGCGTGTGGTGAACGCGATGCTTATGAGGAGGACTTTGAGAAGAAGGGGTGTGGGACCCGTACTCTGGTTGCTTCTCCATTACCTTTTGTTCCGGAGAGACAGAGAGGTCAGTGGGGTATAATTGATTTAAAGAATTGTATATGTTTTTTTTCTTTCCATAAATAAATTACTCATAATTCATAAATTAAACTCTTAGGGTGGAAAAAAAACCGTAAAGCAAAAAGAAAAGGGGGATAATTTGGAAAAATGGACACCAAGATCTTTACTTTTTTTTTGCAGACTTTACAGTCGCATTTGAGATTCAAATCCCATTGTTTAATCAAAAATGTATGATCTATTGTCTAGCTGCTAGAAAATTGTTTAATCATTACCGATCATATTTTTTTAGTCAAAAGATTGTGTCAAATGTAGTTGGCAACCTCGTTCAGCTAAGGTAAATAGTTAAACTAAAGAAAAATAAGAAACTGTGAAACTACTGACAAAACAAACAAACACAAATGATAATCATACGATTTTACTTTCTGAAAACATAGAAAACTATAAGTAGCAATTACTTCTTCAGTTGTCTGTGTGTTTACCGTACAAGATTCAGTCTCCTGTTGAACTTAATTAATATATCGTTTTCAAATCCTAATACTATATTTTATCTTATTCTGGTATTTCTAATCAGATTCTTCCATCATATATCGTACGTTTCTCTCTCTCATATGATTTCCGATCTACTAATCTAAAATGACTTGTAGATACCTCTTTTCCTTTTTAGCTGTCCCCTCTTTCATTTCTTTAGACCTGAAACAGGCCCACGGGTCGTATTTATTTTTGTTTTTCAGTTTTAAAATGTTACAAACCAAAAAAAATATTCCTTTCAAGGGAATCTCGTCAAAAAAAGAAAAAAAAAAATCAGCGAGAAATCTGAAGTAGGCCGATATGGGCCCAAAAGTTGGAAATTCTATTATCAGGCCCAATTAATAAAGTGCCCATTTAAAAGCTTAAATAAATAATTGAAAGGGATCACGCGCAAGGCGGTTTAGTTTCTTCTTCGTTGGTCGTCGATCGATTTGTGTGTTTCTCAGTTCCTGATTGCTCCCGAATGGCGTCGTCTGGATCGGCCAACGAAGATTTCCAGTCTCGCGTTGATAGGATCTTCGGATCTCTCGCCTTCTCTCGCCCCTCGTCTTCTAATTCTTCTACGTCTTCTGCTCCAGCTTCACGGCAAAAGCAATCTGGCTCGGTGTGGTCTCTCTCCGACACAGACGTGGAGAAGCGAGAGTGGAAGCGAGAGCAGCTCGCTTCGTACGATAGGGAAGAGATGCCTTGTGCGTCGTCGTTCGATGAGCTGTTGAGACAGCAGAGGATATCGAGCACTGCTCGGAAGCCGTTCGAGGGAGAGGATGATGGAGGAGAAGGTGCTAACGAGGATTTCGATGATGTTTGGAGCATCCGAGCCTCCATGGGTCTTGACCGCACTCTCGATGACGAGGTAAATTTCAAATTTTTCTTCAATGTGTTTTGGTTTGTGAAACGATTGGGGAAGTAATGAAACGCCCTTCTCATATTAGCTTAGCTAAAATTAGGGAATAATGTATTCATATCATAAGTTTGAGCTTGATAAATGGAAGAGCATTCAATTCAATGAGCCCGTGACTTGGACAGTTTTGTATGTGAATCTTCAACCTGTATAACCAACCTCAAGATTCTTGAACAATCTTAGGCTTATTTGGAGAACATATTGTTGCTTTGCCTTTTCGTTTTGGTAAATGAAACTCTGGTGGTAGGCATTTGAAATCAGCAAGAATCCAATCAAACATTTTTTGCTTCTTAACGCAGGAAGAAGAAGATGAGTTTGATAAAGTGGCACTAGGTAAAGAGAATGGCAGTGAAGGCTTGTATATGAAAGATGTCCTTTGCAAATCGTCTGGTGTGCGGACTCGGGATCCTCGTGCTAACCATGTTGCTGCAAAAATTAGGCTCAAGGAAGACGAAATCGAGGCCAGCAAAGTTGGCACTTTTGGCGATCACTCCTCAAAGAGAAAAGAGGCACACTCAGAAGAATCATCCAAAGCTGTGCCACCAAAACCTATACTAAAAAGGAAGGAGAATAGTTCAGATTCAGAAGCAAGGACTAGTAAGCGAGTCAGGTTTGATTATGTACCTGAAGAAACATCCAAGAAGCCTGAAGATACTTGTTCAGCTTATTCCTCCATAAAGATCGTACTGGATCAGGGCAAAAGTGGTGCTCAAGTACCAGATTACTTGATAAATCCTTCGAAGTACACCTGTTACAGCTTTGATCGATCTTGCGAATTGAAGGAGAAGTCCCAAACACGAGAGGACATGGACGTTCCTAAGGCTGTTGAAGGATTAGAGACTTCAGAGTCAGAATCAGTCAAGAGAGTTTCCTTTATCCCGCAGAAGAAGACCAAGGACGTAAGGGAAGACAGCAGTAACTGTAGTGAGCAGCCTGGTAGTGAGGCACAGCCTAGTGTAGCAGCTGCTCAGGTGGCAGAAGATGAGAGATCAAGTAATGAAATAGGAGAGTCAGAGAGCTCAACCAGTTTCCAAAGAAACGGTCGTCAATATCGTGCCAAGCAAAGTTTTGATGAAACAGATGTCTGATCTTTCGGTTTGATTGAATCTCATATGAAAATGTATCGCCGAGATGTAAAACATGTAGCATTGTTAAGCAGCAGCATAGGTAAGATGGTTTAAATTTCTTGACTTTTTCTTTTCTTTTTCTTTTCTTTTTTCTTTTACCCAATTTAGATCCATATTACTCTGTTTATCATAAATTCTCTAATATTAAAAAAACGTGAAAAATGAAAAATACTGGAAAATACTCTAAATAATCAGTTTAAAAAAAAAAAAAAGGAAATCATTTCTTTGTTTTTTATTTTACTAAATTCATTCCATATTATATTGTTTTGATTACAAACTAAATTGGTCATTAATCTTGAAATCAAAAATTGTGCTTACTACTTTGTTTTTAACTAATAATTAAAATGTTAATATAGAATTTTAAACAACCAGTAATAATTTTCTACGTAAGTTTTTCAAATTCGAAGCTAATTGAACATAAAATTGTCAAGTTGTAATCTCCAAGATTTGAAGTTTTACGAGACAAAGAATATAGTCAAACTCTATGTTGTCCAAAGTGAATGCTATTGAAGAAAAGTCTATCGACGCTGAGAAATAAGGTACCTCTACTTAATTTTCTTTCCATTCATTTCAACAAGTTTTTGCCTCAAGATTTTGCTTCTACGAAAAAATTCTTGTTGAGCCTCAAAAGGCTTGCACAAACTGTCTTCTTCCGCGGTACATATGTGGACATTTATCATTTTGTGAAACTTGGTTAAAGACCATTTCACGGAAATTCTCGCAAGTCCAATATTTTAGTCCTTTTAATTTAGTTCTGGTGACTTGTGTCACCGCGTCAGGTTGTGCATATTAAACAAAATCAGAGTAGAAGATGGAGACGACCTTACCTGACCCAAGTCACACAGACTAAACTGAAAGTCATTAAGATTTTATTTAAAAATCGTGTTGCTAATTAGAAAAATGATTTTTATTAAAACTAATTAAGAAATGACTTTCAACGCTGAAATTTACTAGGAACTTCTTTTTCTTTTTCCAGATTGTTTCTGGGCAACAACCTTCCAGGTCCCCACTTCATAAAGTCCAGGCCTAATTTAAAGTTTTAGTTGGAAGGTCTTTTTTTTTTTTTTTTTTTTTTTGAACATCTCATGTATTCAACGGGTCGTACAATTAATAATGATCGGTTGAGAGCTCATAAAAGGCCCGCTTGGCCAGAAAGTCGGCCCTACCATTATCAGATCTACTTATGAAATTTAACGACACAGACACAGAAGAGAAGAGTTCTGCTAGAGCTTGAATATCAAAAAGGAGACCGAATATCTCCATGATTTGCTCTTGCGAAACAATGGCTCGGATGAGAGCGCGAGCATCGGACTTGGTAAAATCAGGAAATTTAAATGTAATCAAAATACGGAAATTACTTTAACGGGAGACACGTAAATTTAAAACTTATAAAATATTAGTATTATCAAATTTATCAAATATTGAGGATTTTTTATTTATCAGATACCATTTTATATAATATATTTTTAACTTTAAATTATTTTGAAAAAAAAACTAAAAAGGGAATAATAATGTATATGGTTTCATAACGAATGTAAATTTTCTCAATTCAAGCGTTAAAGTACTATCACAGTCAATATTTTATAATTCTCTTATATATTTTCATTGAGAGATGTATTTAAAAATAACTATTTTTCAACATGTAAAAAGAAATATAAATTTAGTTAATACAATCAGAATAAAGAAACGGTCGTATATAGAGTAAAGTTAGTGGGATGGAAAATAAATATTATAATTCATAACTATGTAAAATAATTTACAACTCATAATTATGGAAAAAGAGAAGATAACGAAAGGAAGAGAAGAAAATATAAGAAAGCACAAATATATATTAGAAAGGAATTTGCCGTTTTCCTTTTTTGAGCTAAAAACGCATTTGTATTAAATCAAAGTAAATTTAACAATGTTTGAGCTGTTTAGTTAAAAGAAAAAAACATAGTACCGTTGGGTTGGATAAGACTACGATTGGAGCTAACGGGAGAACCATATAATATAATATCAGTGAATAACTGAGTACAATTGTAATCGTACTGTGCTATTTTGATTCTTGAATTTTATTTTTACTTTTGTTTGAGTTTAAATTTAATGCATTTTCACAAATGTCCAAAATGGAAAAAATCCATTGTAATTGAGTGAATCAAATCTGGAGAAGAAAGGAGAGTCTGCTGCAGGTGAGTTCAAAGTCTTGTGTTCAGTTTCGTTCTCTTTTCTGAGTATCTTTACCTATTCCAAGAAAGAAAGAAAAAACCATACTTATCACAGAAATTATAACAGAAATTTCCGATTAAAATTATGTTGAAACTTCGTTTGTAACTTCTAGTCTACTCACTTCACGACTCACAAGACTCGCAACTAAAATATTTTTTTCTGAAAATATAGTTTAATATTGGTTGACCAAAAATTTTCAAATATATATATTGAACTCTTAATGTAGAGTCTTTGTGGTCTCTGTGTATATATTTTCTTCTGCAAAAGTTTAAACTTAATTTGGAAGGACAATTTGTGGAGAAATTTCTTGTTGAATTTCCCTTTATTTTCTCCACATTTTCCTGACTCTATTAGACGTCATGAATTTATACCAACTAAAAACCGATAGTTTCATAATCTTGACTGTTCAAGAAAAAAGAGAAAAGAATAATCAGCTACCTGACAAACGCAGAGCACTAAATAACTTGTCTAAAATTATTTTAAATAATTAAAAAAATACTTTCGAAGTTTTACAAGCGCGGAAATATGTCGAATAGAACATATATATTAACACACAAAATTACACATATATTAAGCCTATACAATTGTCTTCGAAATTTCACGAATTAATAAAACTGGAGTTTCCTTGAAACTTGCTATAGTTTCTTTTCTTTTTTGGACAAAAACTTATTCTTCTCAAATTCTGAATTACTCCTCTCAATAGTACACGTATATTCATATACTTGCAATTGTTGAAATACAAACATGAAGCATCTTATGTCACCGTTCACACGATACGGTCTTGAGTCGTATAATCAATTACACATATCAAACTGTAGGATTTTTGCAAGGTTAAATATATCATTTAAATATTGACCGAGACTCACAAACTTGCTATATATAGAATCGTGTGCTCACTCAAGTTATCATATCAAATTAGAAGAGAAAGAATCGAGTGCTCACTCAAGTTTTCATATCAAAAATTAGAAGAGAACCAAATATGAAGCCAATCTCCGATAACAACGAAAGATGGGAGGAGAAGTTGAAGGATTTAACGATCAACGTGAAGCAGATACAAGACAAATTGTTGGAGGAGATACTCACACCTAACCTAAAAACAGAGTACCTCCAACGTTTTAACATCGACAGGTTTGATAAAGAGCTCTTCAAGAAGAACGTACCGGTGGTGACCTATGAAGATCTTAAGCCTTATATCGATCGTGTCGTTAATGGAGAGTCATCAGATGTCATATCTGCCCGCCCTATTACCGGTTTCTTGCTAAGGTATACATAAGAAGTTCTCTCTCTATTGATTAGTTTCTTTAATCTCTTATATATATAAAAAAAAAACTAAAATTCTTGAATTGTAATTCTAGTTCGGGAACTTCGGGAGGAGCACAAAAGATGATGCCATGGAACCACAAGTACTTGGACAATTTAACATTCGCATACGATCTTCGTAAGCACGTTGTAACCAAGTAAGTCCAATACTTTTTTTTTTTCTCTTATATGTATTAACCATTATGTTATATAATTTGGATCAGACACATGATGATGAACAAAACTCTCCTATTTGTTCTATTTAGGCATGTGAAAGGTTTGGAGGAAGGAAAAGGGATGATGTTTCTCTTCACTAAACAAGAATCAATTACTCCTTCTGGCTTGCCTGCTCGAGTCGCAACCAGCAGCTATTTCAAGAGCGACTATTTCAAGAACCGGCCATCTAACTGGTATTACTCGTACACGAGCCCTGATGAAGTCATCTTATGTCCTAACAACACGCAGAGTCTATACTGCCATTTGCTCTGTGGCTTGGTCGAAAGAGACGAGGTTGTGAGAATGGGTTCCATCTTCGCTTCAGTCATGGTCCGAGCAATCAAGTTTCTTGAAACTTATTGGGAAGAGTTGTGTTTAAACATCCGATCAGGCCAACTCAGCGAGTGGATCACAGACCTCGGTTGTCGAAACTCGGTGTCTTTGGTCCTTAAAGAGCCACTTCCTGAGTTAGCAGACACAATCGAAACGATATGCAAACAAAACTCTTGGAAAGGTATAGTCACAAGAATCTGGCCAAAGACTAAATACATTGAAACCGTTGTTACGGGTTCAATGGGACAGTATGTTCCCACGTTGAACTACTATTGCAGCGACTTGCCTCTCGTTTCAACAACTTACGGTTCTTCGGAGACTACGTTCGGGATCAATCTTGATCCTCTGTGCAAACCTGAAGATGTTTCTTATGCTTTCATGCCCAACATGTCTTACTTTGAGTTCATACCAATGGATGGAGACAAGCGCGATGTGGTCGACCTTAAAGATGTGAAACTTGGATGCACTTATGAACCTGTGGTCACAAACTTCGCCGGTGAGCTTATAAAACAACAACTGATGACTTCTATAAACAAACCTTTTCTTACATGGTTTAGCTAATTTTGGTGAATATCTTCTTCCTTTTTTCCAGGATTGTATAGAATGAGAGTGGGAGATCTTCTATTGGTGACTGGTTTCTACAACAACGCGCCTCAGTTTAAGTTTGTAAGAAGAGAGAACGTGGTCTTGAGCATCGATGCCGACAAAACCAACGAAGAAGACCTGTTCAAGGCCGTGAGTCAAGTGAAGCTAGTTCTTGATGCATCGGAACTCATTCTTGTAGACTTCACAAGCTATGCTGATACCTCAACATTTCCGGGTCATTACGTTCTTTATTTGGAAGTAAAGGCCAAAGAGGGAGAGAATAAAAAGCAGAAGAAGTATTTGGAGCTCAATGAAGAGGCCTTCTCCAAAAGCTGTCTAGTGATGGAGGATTCTCTTGACAATGTTTACAAGAGATGTAGGTTCAAAGACGGATCAATTGGGCCTCTGGAGATAAGAGTGGTGCGTCAAGGGACGTTTGACTCTCTCATGGACTTTTTCATCTCGCAAGGTGCTTCCATCGGTCAATACAAGACTCCAAGATGCATTAAATCAGAAAAGGCCTTTGAGTTTATGGAGGCATGTGTGGTTGCCAAATTCTTCAGTTCTTGAAATTGTTCTTCCTTGGATTTAGGTCCAAGTAACTTGGTGTGGAATCGTTGATCTGGATTGTGCAATTAAATGTACATGTGTCTATGCTGTGTACTAATTTTTCTGAATGTGGATTTCTAATATATATATATTGAGCAACAGAGCAAGACCTGATTTCATTTTCCGATGTAATGTGCAACAAAACAAAATACATTGACATTTTCGCTTACGAAAAACAGAGCATTTTATGAAAACAGAGTGGAAGTTAGAAATGGGTTTATAGAGTAATGGGCTTAGGAAATGCCCAAAGAGCTTTGAAATGAGACCAAACACTTCACAAGCCTTGAGCCTGAGCCACGGCTACCAAAATACCAAGGGGTCCAATCCGGTTTATAGTTTCGTTTTGTTTCTGTGTTTTTTGGACACCGGCTTCAAGAAACTAAAAAACGAATTAAAAAAAAAAATTATGGCTTGGTTTGGTATGTATAATTTTGAAAGAATATTAGTTTGACTTCGTATATCAAGGTATTTGGTTAGAGCTAGTTCGGTCATAATAAATCGTCTTTGCTTTAGCTTTGTCTTGTTTTTCTATATTTAAATAAAAATAATTCATTTACAGTTTGAGTTTTTGGTTGAAACATTTTTGGTTGATTCGATATATTTTGAGAAAGCGAATTTTGTGTCCAACCTAGTCGTCGTGGAGAATGAAGGAGAAGCGGATTTTGAGATTTCGACTGGAATGGGTCCCATAAATGTATTGTTTATTTTGCTTCTTCCTTTTTTTTGGATTCACGAATCAGGCCGCTTTTGTTATTTTTGAAAATGTTTTTCCCTTTGTATTATTTATCTTCTACAGTTTATACTTCGTCCACACTCTCTTAATCTCTTTTATGTTAAAGAACTTCGTCCACACTCTCCTTAGCATGCGTCAACCTTCGATTTTTTGTTTTGGTTCTTTTTTAATGTGCTCTTGAACTCCACCAAGGAAACCAAAGAAAGACAGAGTTATATAAAAAAGACTAGGAATTCACAAAATATTATATTTTAAGTGGTGTTTCTCCTTTTCTTCTTCTAATATTTGGTCTAAATGATAGTCATTAGTAAAACTAAGTGATTTTTCAACGGAATTGAATAAACATAATTATCATATTTTATCCTTAAAAGATGTATTACCGTCCAAATTTACTATAAATCTATCAATAATTTATGTGTTTATATATATATATATAATTATTCAAAATACTAACAAAATAAGAATTTTAAACGTTTCTATGAACACTCTTAATTAACTAAGTTTTAGCTATATCATTTTTTTTTGAATTTCTGATAACTTACATATAAAAGTTGTGTTAATAAATTTCTTTATACAGAATTAATCAATTAATCAAACACACATATAGTCGAATTTCGTAATTACAACGGATATCCGATACCCTAACCATCCAATTAGTTTCGGAGCTAATATAGATAAATATATATACCAAGTTACCAATCAAAGAATCAAATCTCGTTGATGTAACAAAAAAAAACACACACAATATTCTTGCAATCATTCCAAATTTGTGCATAACACTGCTGCCCAAACATGCGAAGCTAAGCTCCCAAAATAAAGATTGCGAAAGGGAAAAAGAGAACTAAGAACTCAATTAACGGTCCCACCCCGCACCATTCCAAAGATTTTAATTATTATATATTATTGAAGTAATTATCCTCTTTTTTCTTGTAGATCCTTCTCTTTATAAACCCTCTTTTTCACCTCTTCTTTCCTCATAATATCAATATAAGCCTAGAGTCAAGAAAACCCTTATTTGCTCCCAACCTGTTTGTTCATCTTTACGCCAAGCTCCATGCTCTAGTTACTCCTTAGATTCCCTACTTAATCAAACTTAGTTCTTTTCAAAGTCTTTTACATATATATACACACACTTCTTGTTCCTTTTCTCTGCGTGTGTGTGTGTGCGTGTGTTACATACTTGTGCATACATAGTTTTTTTTTTGTTGTAAAAGTGGATCAGAGATATGGAAAAGGAGCAATTCCACCGGAAGCGTCGGCGGCTGAGAATCCGACTTGGAACGAGTCTGATGTCACCGCCATGATCTCTTCTCTCAGCCGTGCCATCGAGTATCCGACATCTGACGGACAAGAAAGCTCAGACCCGCCGGTCAAACAAGAGCTTGATAAATCGGATCAACTTCAACAAGACCAAGGTAATTAATTAGTTATTTTATATCCATAAATATCTTCATCATATGTCTCTTATAGAAACTTAATCGTGTTTATAGCCTAGCTGATGCAACTTGTTTTAATATATAAGTTAACTAACTAAAGACTTGCTATTTCGAATTTCTTACTTAACAATTAATATAGGGGGAAAATGGAATTTGTATAGGTTAGGTTCGAATTCAGGTTCAATGCATCTGTCATTTAATTTACTTTCCGTAAAGAACTTTCCTTCTTTGTCTTTGAATTGAACAACCGATCAGGTTACTACGTGGCTATCCTTTTTTTTAATAAATCTAGATTTTGTTTTTCTTTTTAAAGTACAAAATTAAATGATATTTATTAACCCAGGTCTCACCTCGTCAAACATATATATAGCCTACATATGGCTTCTTACCTAACTAATTAGGAGTTATTTTGACTCCGCTCGTTCCTTTGTTCGTTTCAGATTAGTTGTCTTCGAAGTTCGATCATTCTTTATCAACTTTATATATATATATATACGTGTCCTTTTATCAAATATTTTGAAGTATTTTAACACGATTAATTTTGCTTTTTAGGTGTGTTAAATGCCAAATATATCATACGAATCACACCCAAAAGTAGCTATCAAAAATCAAGTCTTAGTTTATATTTTGATTGAGTGATTGTCACAACATCATATGATCATATCACATTTTATTTTATCTGAATGCTAAATGATTATATTTTATGTGTCATCCTGTATGCACAAAAAACACGACTGAAATTAATCATACATAGAAACAAAAATCCAGGTAATTATTTATAGACTAATAAATTTTCAATTGATGACAATTTCCTTTGTGAATAAATATTGGGACGATTTGCTCAAATTTCATTAATTAGTTCGTTTCTTTTTTCCTTTGTAAATTTCAATTTCATGCATGTAGCTGTTTGATAAGTTCCAGATGGTTAAATATAGAAGTCGGAAATATGTTTTAAGCTTTGATTTCGGTTTCACATCAATATGTCTAGTCATTAAGCAAAGAAATAACCCGATATATAATCTCAGGGTTGAAGTAACTTATGACAAATTTAAGGCCTCTATATATATTCCATCTAAATTAACAGTTGAAAATGTAAGTTTATGATGAGAGGAATAGTATATAGAAGTTGTGCAAATTAAAATTCCGTAGTTTACATAGTTGCAGCATCTTTAATTAAAAGTATATCATCCTCCATTTTTTTTTCTTTCAAGTAATAAACATTTAAACTAAATTTCTTTTAAATTATTCCCTTGCTGTAACTAATAATTGAAATCACACGTAGTATCTTCTAATGCATGTAGAGTTGCACATGCAATAATTCTTTTTTGTTTTTTTTTGTCACATGCAATAATTATTTTCTGTTACATGTTCTTCAAGATCAACCAAGAAGAAGACACTATAGAGGCGTAAGGCAGCGACCATGGGGCAAATGGGCGGCCGAGATTCGTGACCCGAAGAAAGCAGCCCGTGTCTGGCTCGGGACTTTCGAGACAGCAGAGGAAGCCGCTTTAGCCTACGACCGAGCCGCCCTCAAATTCAAAGGCACCAAGGCTAAGCTCAACTTCCCTGAACGCGTCCAAGGCCCCTCGACCACAACCTACGTTGCATCTCAAACGGGCTTTGATCATGCACCAAGAGGAGGTAGTGAGTTAATGAATTCACCTCCTCCTCGGCTTGGTCCATCTACTACTACTACGGCTCCTACTTCGTGGCCAACGAATTATAACCAGGACATACTTCAATACGCTCAGTTGCTTACGAGTAACAATGACGTTGATTTATCATACTACACGTCAAGTCTCTTCAGTCAGCAGCAACAGCCTTTCTCAACGCCTTCTTCATCTTCTTCTTCCACGTTCACTTCTCAACAGACGCAGCAGCAACAACAACAACAGCAGCAGCAGCATGAAGAAGAGAAAAGCTATGGTTACCATTACTATAGCTACCCAAGAGAATAATATAATTTTATTAATGTTGGTCGGATCAGTTTTCTAAATCGCTACCATTTCGTTCATGTTTTTTTTTTTTATATTTTCTTTCCGTAACCTTTTGTTGCTAATGGAGGCGAGGAGGTTGCACCGAAAATATAAACGAATATATAGGTGTAACATTTTGTTTTCTTTTTCTCGACTGTTAATAAATTTTGGATTTTTCTGAAGTTTAATTTTGTGAACTATATGCATGTCATTTCGCCGGTCGTATTAATTGGATGAATATATATAATTTGAATAGAAAACATGTTGTATCATTTGTCGTGGTTTCGAACTGTAAAGGTAATGTTGTACATTATGCATTTTATATAAAGAAAACCATTTATCGTAGATTATTGAATATTCGTGTTATATTTTAAATTATTTATTATAAAGAAATTATATATATTTGTCGTCACAGATGATAAAACCATTGTAACTGAATAACTGAAAATATGATTTGAATAATGTATCGTAACAACCAAAGAAATCTCTTATTTAACTTGGATCGGTCAAAATAGTTTCATTTTTCTGTAGATATCATCTTATATCTTGAAACCTAACTAATCACTGGAAATGTTACATTCGGTTTCGCGCTAGGATGAATCTAAGTACAAGGTAGTAGAGGCAACTGCCCCTAGTAGATTCAAAAGATTATATATATATATATATACATAAGAAAACCTCTATTTAATTGGTTAAAATAAGGTAAGTTTTTTTTTATATGTCATTGCTCAATTACAAACACTCCGACGTATTCATTTTTCAGAATGTTTTTCCTGTTTTTTTTTTCCCTAAAAGTGGAGCTTTCCTTTTACTTTTTTATCATTATTATATTGTAAACATTCTTTCTTTAAATAGTTTGATCCAGATTACGTATAGTTTTTTTGTTTGATCTGAATAAAAGCTTTTCACTGTGCCAAATTTATTAGTAATTACTAAGATTATTTCTAAAAGCAACAGAAAATGTACAAATAGATTATATTTTCAAACAAAATCTTTATTGTATATGTAAAATATATTATACTATATTCCCTTATAAAAAATGTATACTAGATTTGCTACTGTTTTGCAAGAAATCAAGTGTTTGGTTATATTTAATGGTATATATCATTTGAGAAGTGTTGGATAAGCATTGAGTAGATGTGACCAAACAAAATTTCCTTTTTGGTTTATATGTGCTCAAACAATCATAGATGATCACGACGAATATCGCAATCACACTAATCATTTAAATAATAAAAACGTGTTCACTTGTAAATATGAGACTTATCTTTCCACCTATTCCTTTTCTTTGACACCTCTTATATTTCCACATATTCATGTTTATTCTTAAGAACGTATTTGTGTACATAAATCATTCGATTATATTATTTTGGAGGTTTCTTTTTTATTTAATGTATTTATTGATACATGACAGAGAAGGACAAAGAAAACTTGGTCTTGAGATTTAGATCGAGCTTGGCCCACCAAAGATAGTACTTTAAACACCGTCTAAACCTTTCATCAGATTCTTCATCGAGTTTTGATTGGCCTTCCTCATGATGGATTCAGAATATTTTTTGCATATATTCCACATTACTCTAACGCAAGGCCGTATCTAAGCATGTCCGGGTTGCTCTATTCCAAAATACTGATCATATATCTAGGATCACTAAGTTAATTAAAGAGCTTCTTGAGAGTTACGCATGCGCAAAGGCAAAGGGAAAAATGGGTCCCATCCCACTTCGTTACGTCAAGTGCGTGATTTTGAGGGCCATCTTTCAGATCCCAGGACCCAGTCTAATCATCTGTCAGTCCCAAAATATGTAAATCTTTCCAATTTTTCTTTTCAAAGTTTTACTATACGACACAAGTTTCACACACAGTCGTTGCACTACTTGTCATCTAAGTTTACCTATTTTTAATGATGCCGAATATGTTTTGATAAAAGAAAATAATTCCCATGTATACAAATATGTCCCTAAAATTTCAGATGTAATTTTTATTAATTTTAGTTGAAAGTTTAACTATATGACAAATATTCCCTAAATTTTATTTGAAAATTACATTACATTACATTCAGAGAGTGATATGCCGTTAAAAAAATGAGAACACTCGGAAAATTATTCAAGGAAGAAAGTTGAAAAGAATATGAAGTTTCGAATCTATCTTTATTTTTATTTTTTTTATTTTGTTAAGGGGCTCGAATCTATCTTTATTCTATTTAGCAAATTTTTCAAGAGTTATCTTTTTGATATTGACTTGGGCGTACGGGTATCTATATGACAAGATACTTTAAGCAGGCTTTCGGCTTCAGAAATTTCAAAATTTGCGGCTGCGTTCCGTTGATTCCGTCGAGAGTGGAACTTCGCCCGATAAAATGATGATGATGATCTTCCATGCACGTGAGGATAGCAACTTTTAAGTGGATGGATAGTCATAGATCTCAATAATATACTCATGTTACGTGCATCTTCTTTACTGCTTTGTCTAGTTTTCATCTCAATAATTCACATATTTTTATTGTTTCTTTTATATTCAACGATTCTTTTACAGTAGCTGATTAAACGAGCTGTAGCAGTTCCTTTTATTAAAAATTGTGTAAAACTAGTTGTTTCCTTCTTTTTCTAAGTGTAAGGTTGGGAATAACTTACTTATTATTTGTACAACACGCTAAGCTAACCATACTTAGATATGAGAGCATCTCCATCAGCGGATCAGTCCAAGTTCATGGCCCAAAGTTTGAGGTGAAATCCATTTTTTTAAAAAGAAAAATGTGCTATTTTTGATGATCTGGTATCGTCCGGAAGAGGCTGAAGAGCTGGTATCATGACCACGTGGCAGACTGTGATTCGTCAAAAATGGAGAAGAATTTGGGGATAATTTTTTTTTCTCATCTCATTTTTTTTCTACACTCGTCTCTCTTCGTCTTCCAAAGCGATTTTTGGGATTTGAAGGCTGATCGGAGAAAACGCAAAATCAACCGGAGTAGATCTGTTCCAATCATCGAGTATCCATCAGAGCATCCAAGTAATACTTCTTCCTCCTTAATTTTGTTCATCGTGAAACCGATTTGAGATGTTGGCGAGAGCTCCACCACCTTCTCTTACTTTCACGACTAGGAATAAAGTTTGTAATCGGAGGGAGACTGCACGGATGTTTCGTAACGGCGGAGGAGGAGGAGTGTTAGCGAGAGCCGGCTTCACTCGGCGGCCACTTGAAACTTCAGCCTCGAGTGAGGTCGTTAACGAATCCAGCGATGACGGGTTCATCGTAATCAGACTGGAAGGTCAAGAGGATGAGTTCTATCCTCCGCCTTCCTCCGATTTACTGTCTTCAATTCCGTCAAGTGTTTTAGTAGCTCTCCAAATGAATATTTGGTTTTGAATTCTGTATCCTTACTGGAATCGTAATTATAGTATTACGAAGTGTGTTCGTTGCTTTTTTTGATGGTTTGGTATTTGATATGTCATCGAGGGATATGACAGAATCTACGAGAAGAAATGGTTCGCGTTCTAGAGGAGTAACTGCAAGGTTTGGAAGGCTAAAGGTCCAGAAAGTGAAATCTCTTGTTGGAAAGGTAACGCAGCAGAAGCAGCATATGAATCACAATGTGGAACAAGCCGAGGGCGACGCCACCTTCAGACTTCAGGTTAGTTTTGTCTGCTTATAGTAATCACATTATTATTTCTTTGTATTTGTTAGAATGAACATAGATCATTAGGCCTGATTACCAGCTGTTTTTTGCTTTACTATCTTTGTTCTGATTGGTATGTTTTTATATCTATGAAGAGCCGGAGAAATCAGTGGATTGCTCGAAAGCTTCCTCCATTATGACCCTGTGGTGCAGCGTCAGCGTTTTGTTGATCAGCTCAAGGTATATTTGAGAAGCCTATATGTTTATAGGTGTTTATATGTTTGTAGAAACTACACCTACATTGAAATCAGCTGAATTGAAACTATGTATAGATGCTTATATGTTTGTAGAAACATACCTGGCAATTTGTAGCCGATACATTGAACAGCTTACAAAAAGCACAAAAGAGAATAAAGATTATTCTGTTTTTCATTACACTGTTTGGTTGAATTTTTGTTTCACAAGCTCTACATTGATGTGATTATGGGTGTGTGTGTATAGTTATGTTTTTTTCGATAATTCTGTGTATAGTTATGTAAGCACAAATTATTATTTTTTTTTTTGGTGAACCCCATTTTGAGGTTTACCAATGGAACCTAGAAATTGTCACAGGTTCTTCCATAAACTCAAAACCAAAAAATAATAATACTATATTCTGATGAACCTCTCTTAAAAGATCACTAATGTACATGCTCGGACGATTCCAAACTCAAAAGCTATTTAATTTAGAGTATGAACACAAACTAATTAAAACCGTTCTGATCAGACATAGATCCGATTCTAAAATAATTATATATAATGGGATAAGGTCCAAATTAATAAGTAGAAACTCTATCATCTATTAAAAAAAAAGCATGTAACAGATCTCCCATTTGAATTAATATATAAGATTTAAAACAATAAATAAAAACATAGCTGTGGAGTCTATTCGTAGCCTTGTAGCAATCACAACATAAGAGTAATGAGTTTATACTTTATAGAATGGCCCCGACCAACGATCACCCAATAATAATATGGAGTAGTATTTTTGGTTAATACTACATCAATGTTTTTAGTTTTATGGTCATATTAAAATTCATAATGTTTTCTGTGATTTTATATACGTTTTCTTTGTCAATGCTTATTAATACCATAAGAAGTGGGGGATTAATACGCCCCAAATAAGTTTATCTTAAACCAAGTGACTATCTGAAAAACAGAATGATTGACGCAGCTTCCCTAAACATGTGAAAACATGCTATTTCCCTAAGATCTAATCCGGAAATGTGCTAGAGTACTTAATCCGGATTTTGCTCTTCTTTTTTTTCTTTTTGTTTCATAATCCACATGGTAAAACAAATAATAAACTCTAAGAAGGGTCCCCTAAATACTGTTGGTTTTTACATGCTTGCTTGGATGAGTAATCTGTATCATTCTATTCTCTAATACAAAGCAAAAGCTTCTTCAGATTTCGCCTTTCATCAACGTTTCTTAATTATAAACCCATGCCGAACTGCAACTTGGATCGCGATCTGTTTCCATTTGATAACTTGCTGGATTTTCTAATCTCTTCTTCTTCTTCTTCCAGTTTCTTTCTTCTTGCAGCCTCCTCCTTCTGTCTCTGTATCAGCTCCAATTCTCTATACCTTTCCTCTTCTTTCCGCTGAAGTTCCATTGCTTCTCTCCTCTGAGATTCTTCAACCCTCCTACTATTTTCTTCTAACATCTTATCCAGCTCTTCTCTTTCTCTCCGAGCTTGTTCCTTGATTAATTTCCCATTTTTTTCACTTTCAGTAAGCAGCAAGTATTGCAAAACCAGACACCCAAACGAATAGAGCAGCAAACATGGAACAAACAACTAGACTTACTTCCTTTCTTCTTGCCTCGTTCAAGGCAGACTCCTTTTCCTTCTTCAGCTGTATTTCCACTTCAAGAAACATCTTTTCATAGGCTTCCTTCGTCCGCCTTTCTATTTCTGCTTTAGCTTCTTCAGTTTTCATCCTCTCCTCGACATTTTTCCGCACTGCTTCCTCAATCCGCCGTGCTGACTCTTCTTCTCGTAGTTTGAGCTCAGCCTCATGCTGCAATCTTAATTTAGCAGGAAAAACAGAGTTACAAGATATACTGAAAACACTAGCCTTGCCAAGAGTACCTTTTCTAGGTCAGATTTGCTAACGCTTAAATTGATCAGTAAATCATCCGTTCACTGTCTCCAACACTAAATCAATTTTAGATAAGGAGACGAAGATGTTGACAAGATATCACAAAGTTTACTTCTGATAACAATCTTTCAAAACTGAGAACCAGCAATATGTCATTGAACACAGCAAAAGTACATTTTTTCCTTCAACTCTAGAAAAAACCAAGAAACATATTACCCTTTCGCGCATGTCAACTAGCTCACTAGCAAATAAACTCTACGAATTGCATGCGTTGGTTCAATATAAGGTTTTAATATTCTTAATACTCAAGGGTCTTTATATATTCCCCTAATCTGGAAATCTACTCCCACGGAAACAAAATGCTACATTGCCTATTATACACAAAACTGAGAAAGTATACAAGAATATGAAAGACAAAACAACATTTAATCAGTTACCTTGCCCTCTCTTCCTGTTCTCTCTTCAATTCCATTGCCATTTTATGCTCGGTGGAGGAGGGAGACAGCGAACTACTTCTATCCCTTTGGTGTTGCCTCGGTGTAGGAGATCTGCTCTTCCTGTGCCTATAAAAATGGAGACTTGCTCTTATAAATATGTGTTGAGCTAGACAAGCTTCTTCTACATTAAAAACTAGCTAGATATCGAAAATTTTAATGGCTATAGAATGTCTATTGCAAACACCAAAGTCAAGTTAAGAAAGTTTAGCAATTTTTCGACCAACATGTTCTGTATAGATTTACTGAAACAATATATGACATAGAAAAAAGGATCTAACAAAGACTTCGTTATAACATGTAAAGCCCTAAATCTAATTCCCCACATGACCCTAAGATGAGAGATTCGCTTCTCCACATAATTGAAAAGTTGTTAAGGAAGAAAGATTGTTGCAGACCTTGATGAATAGGGTTCGCGGCTGCCGTCTCGCCTGCTACGACGGCTGCTACGATGAGTGAGAGGCGAGCGAGAGTAGCGTCGGCGGCGAGACGGCGACCTAGAACGCGAATCGTGTCGAGCCATTCCCACCCGCGCGCGGAACTGATTGATTTGGTAATTGTGGATTTGTGCGACTGCTGCTACCATTTATCGGTTCGATGTTTTTGCTTACTCGGACAGACTAACCGGTACAGACAAAAACCGATTTTGTTTGCGGTTCACTACAAGAAGCAAAATACAGTTTTCAATTAAAACTCTTAACGTGTGTATAAGTTAATTAACGTGTATAAGTTAATTAATTAGTACCATAAATAAACTCTTAAACCGAGCTTAGGGTTTTATCCAAATTACGAGTCCTAATCATCCAGTGCTTTGTAAGTCAATGAAAGTTAAAACTTCGTCAAAGAAGTTTCGATTTTGAGGAATGGGACAGGGCAAAAAGTTAGCTACTTGGCGGCGGCGTAGACAAGCAGTCGAGGAAGAAATCCCGGGGAATTTCAACTGGTCGGAGCTTTGTCCGGATTTGCTGAGATGCGTTTTCAAACGATTGAGTTTCACAGCTCTCAGTCGAGCAAAATCAGTATGTTCTTCGTGGCACTCTGCTTCGAGAGGCTGTGTCCCTAACCGAAATCAGATTCCATGGCTGGTTCTCTTCCCTCGCAACGAGGAAACCAACAAAGAAAGTAGTTGTGTCTTGTTCGTCCCAGACGACACAGAAAGAGTCTACAAAACAAGAGATCTCGGTCTTGACTTTTTCAAGAGTCGTTGTCTAGCGACTTGTGGTAGCTGGCTCCTAATGTCAAGTCCTCTACGGGATCTCTACATGCTCAATCCTTTAACTGGGGAGAGGACTAATCTACCCGTTACTCAGTATCTTAGAGCAGACTTAAAGTACGAGCGAGCATGTTTTTGGATAGACAACAAAACCAAAGATTACCTAGTTATATGGAACATGGCCAAGTCTTCTACATTTATCAAGAAAAGGGATAACAAGTGGCACGAGTTTCCGATGGTCAGATGGAATGAAGATTTGCTCTACAATCACAAGGACCAAAAGCTCTACGTCTATAATCAAAAGTATTGTTCTGTCACGACTTGGGATTTCTCAGGAGATGGTATCCCACGCGAAGTTGATGAGCATCATCTTTCCTTTTGGTTCAATCATTATGATTTTCCCTCTTGGCTTAATGAAGAAGATGATGAACTCTATTGGGAGAAGCTAGTCGACTTCAGGACACGCGTTGCAGTCTCAGTATCTGGAGATGTTTTGGGTGTAGCATGTATAAAGTTTAGCTGCAAAACATGGCATTTTCGTATCTACAAGCACGTGAACGGCGAGCGTGTGAAGATCGATTCTTTGGGCGATGAGTCATTGATCTACGACATAGGTATCACTGTTTTCGCCAAAGACATCCCAGGGATCAAAAGAAACTCTATCTATTTCAGTGGGCTCGACCATGGGAGAGAGGATCCAGGTCACATATTTGTCTATGATCTCACCACCCAAAAGATGGAACCTTTGCCACAACGCATCTTCTCCTCCATACAATTCTCTGATGCTCGATGGTTCTTCCCGTGCTAGTCTAGCTTCAATGATTATTTGCTTGGTTTGTTCTTGCTTTCCGATTTCAAGTCTTGATAATATAATGATGATACATTATATTATTTCATCGTCTTTCCTTATCTGCTGAGAGTTTAGTCTCACAATTACAAGTCTCAACGAGACACAATTGGGGGCTAACTCGTGCTTTGATTAAAGAATGGTGTACTAATATTTTATCTTTTTTAGCTATGTTTGGGGTAATCTGTTTAGAGATGGATAAATAAAGGCTTCCTAGTCATTTAGTACTCAAAACAGAGGAATTAAGAAACAGAGCTAAATCAGAGTCTCCTGTAACTTGGCTTAATTTAGACATTAATTGTAACTTCCATCAATTTTTTGGATGATGTCACAACTCACAAACACTTCTATATCACCTGTAATGTTACTACTAACTAGGATGAAAGCTAAGTTAGGTTATACATGTTAAGAGTGTGGACACAAAAAAGTTACACTGGAGGAAGAGAATCGTACTTGGGATTAGGTGTGCCAAAAAAAAAAAATCTGTTACCAAATTCCAAACTCATCCAGAGTTTCCGGCACACGAACAAATCGCCACACCACACCTTTTGTCTGCTTTATCCCAGTCTATCCTTTAAAAGCGTAGAGAGATAGAGAGAGGCCAGAACACAGGTTTGCTCTGTAATCAATTTAGTAGTCCACAAGTGACAAGACTGTGTTTTTAACACATAAGCGAGAGAATTAGGGGTTTTTTTTTGTTGTTGTTGTTGTTGTTGTTGAAGATAATCAAAAAGCAGCAAGCATGTTACCAAGGTTCGATCCAACAAACCCAAAATCTTGTATGTCTCTTCTTGAGGATGTGACCACCAACGTAAAGCAGATTCAAGATTCTGTGTTGGAAGCAATACTTTCACGTAATGCTCAAACCGAGTACCTCAGAGGTTTCCTCAACGGTCAACTCGATAAGCAAAGCTTCAAGAACAATCTACCCATTGTGACCTACGAAGATTATCGGTCTTATATAGATCGTCTCGCTAATGGAGAGCCCTTTGATCTCATCTGTGATCGACCCATCAGTCTATTCTTGGCCAGGTACCTTCAGAACAATACACCACACATGCATTTACTTTATTCCTCTTTCTTACAAGTATTATATAATAGAAGAATTTGTTATAAAACTTGTTGATGCATGAGTTTGTTTAACTTTCAATAACGTACACAATAGATTAAAGTAAACAGAATATGTAAAGAGTTAAAGGAAGCGATTGTTTTTTGTAGCTCCGGTACTTCAGGAGGAGTTCCAAAGTTGATTCCTTTAACAGCAGAGGAATTGGAACAGAGGATCCTGTTTGCATCTCTCTATGCACCTCTAGTCTTCAAGTAAAGAGTTCCAAACTCTAAGATGTGTCTTGTTTTGTTAGATACCATAAAAAAATTAAGTAAGACCCAACCTTTTATTGTTACTATTTGCAGGCACATCGAAGGTCTAACCGAAGGAAAATCTCTCATGTTTTATTTCGTGACCCGAGAAAGCGAGACTGCCTCTGGTTTGATGGTCAGGTTTATGATAACTTGTGTTTTGAAAAGCGTGAACCCATCCAACTCATTTCTTTGGTAATTCAATAAAACCTTTGCACCTGACCCACATTACGTTCACTCCTTTTTTATTAGGGTCCCTTGATGCTGCCAGTTTTTCTTTATTGTGTTTGTTATATGACTTACAGGGATCGAGTACAGATAATCCCGCATGCGATTTCGACTTGTGCAGACACAGCTCAGGGCATGTACTGCCAGTTGCTTTGTGGGCTCCTACAACGTGAAAACGTAGCTCGCCTCGGTGCACCTTATGCTTCTTCCTTCCTCAAAGTAATCAATTTCTTGGAAGATCACTGGCATGAGTTGTGCTCAAACATAAGGACTGGCCGTGTCAGCGACTGGATCACAGACGCTGGATGTGTTTCAGGGATTGGTAAGTTCCTCACAGCTCCAAATCCAGAACTAGCGAGCCTGATCGAGCAAGAATGCAGTAAAACATCATGGGAGGCAATATTGAAGAGACTATGGCCAAAAGCAAAATGCATCGAAGCCGTCGTTACCGGCTCCATGGCTCAGTACATTCCATTGCTGGAATTCTATGGCGGAGGTCTTCCTTTGATTTCATCGTGGTACGGAAGCTCTGAATGTTTCATTGGTATCAATGATGATCCTCTGAGCAAGCCTTGTGACGTGTCTTACACCATCATTCCAAGTATGGGGTACTTTGAGTTCTTAGAGGTCAAGAAAGATCATCAAGAAGCTGGTCATGATCCCGCAAAGAACCATGCAGTCGTCGATCTTGTGGATGTAAAAATCGGTCATGATTATGAACTTGTCGTCACAACTTTTTCTGGTAAGTTTTTTTTTTTCTTTTGTAAGCGTTTTCAAAATTTGTTAAAGAAAAAAAGATAATTAATAGTGTCACAAAATCTATGTATATATATGATTTATACAGGTTTGTATAGGTATCGTTTGGGGGATGTTTTACGAGTGACTGGTTTCTACAACAATGCGCCACAGTTTTATTTCGTGGGAAGACAGAAAGTTGTTCTGAGCATCGACGTGGACAAGACCTACGAGGAAGATCTCCTCAAGGCAGTGACAAACGCGACTCTACTGCTCGAGCCACATGACCTGATGCTCGTGGATTTCACTAGCCGTGTGGATACCTCCTCGTTTCCAGCACACTACGTGCTCTATTGGGAACTAGGGAGCAAATTAAAGGACGTCAAGCACGAGCCCGACCGCGATGTCTTGGAAGAATGCTGTTTCGCCATCGAGGAGTCTCTCGATTCTGTGTACAGAAAATTACGAAAGAGTGATAAGATCATTGGACCACTTGAGATTAAGGTTGTTAGGCGTGGTGCTTTCGACGAGCTCATGAATTTCTTCTTATCTCGAGGCTCTTCTGTTAGTCAGTACAAGACTCCAAGGTCGGTGACGAGTGAAGAAGCTTTGAAGATATTGGATGCAGCAGTTGTTTCCGAGTTTCTTAGCCCTAAAACTCCGTCGTGGGAGCCACGTGAGCTCCACTCCAGCCGATAAAACCGCAGACGCATAATGTGTGAGTGTGACAATGAGACGTGAGGTTCAGAAGATGGGAAAATAATAATAATAATCAAAGATAACAAAACCGTAATAAATATATACGTATAATTTCGCTATATATATATTTCAAGATTTGTGGATCCTTTATCATCATTATCAAACAAGAGACACAACACAATTATGTACATGATCGAATATATATAATAAGCGCATTACAAGGGTCGAGTAATGGTTCTATAAATCTTTCTGTGCCTAAAGACATGCTTTTATGAATTTGTTTTGAACTAGAGCAGCTTCTTCTAACAATAGCAGCTAGTAGATGTTGAAAAAAAAAAAAGCAGCTAGTAGATATCGAACATTGGAATGTCCTGGAACATGTTCTGTATATTGCTACATTACTTCTTTAAACAATTTATGACATGGGAGAACGAAATAACATATTTTTAAAATTATGTTCGTAAAAAATGATTTGGTTTAATTTGGATCTTTAATCGTAATTCCTGGGCAAAACAGATGGCATCACATCCATATATATTTATATGAAAACAAAATGGAAACATTTTTTTCCTTCTTTATTGGTGAAAAATCTAGAATAGTTTGTGGTGTACTCTTTACTTGTTCTTTTTTGGTCAACAGTAGTCTTACTTGTTCTTCCTGGTCAAAGAAGCCTTGTAGAAATGGGAACACAAGACTTTTGACCGGTTGTATCGAAAATGGTTTTTGTTTCAAAAGTTTAGGATCTCTATTATATACGCTTAAAAAATAAGGGAGTGGGAGAAGTTTTACTCGAGGACGAATGTACATTAAATGTGTCACTGATGACGACAAAAATAAATAAATGTGTCACTGATGACGACAAAAATAAATAAATGTGTCACTGATTTCGTAATCTCCTTGTAGTGCTCAACATAAGTTATGAAGATTATATATATTTCTTTTGTTTGGTTCTAAGCCTTTGTTAAATCTTTCCAAAAAAAGAAAAAGGAAATAAAAATCTTTGTTGTCAATCGGAAACTCATCCAGTTTTTTTTCGCCACACCTCACTTTTTGTCTGCTTTCTGCAATCTCCCCTCAAATGTTTTCAACCGTATAGAGAGATAGAGAGAGGCCAAATCTCACTCACTTCGCCAGAACAGAGGTTTTTGCTCTTCCCTCTTTGTACACAATTCCATGATTCACAAGTGATAAGACTTTGATTCTATCATACAAGCCAGAATTAAGGTTTCGCTTTTTGTTATTGCTGTTGTTGCAGACCACACAAAAAAAAAAACAGCAAGAATGTTGCCAAAGTTCGATCCAACAAACCCAAAAGTTTGCATGTCTCTTTTTGAGGATGTGACCAGTAATGCAAAGCAGATTCAAGATTCCGTATTGGAAGCAATACTTTCACGGAATGCTCAAACCGAGTATCTTAGAGGTTACCTCAACGGTCAGCTCGATAAGCAAAGCTTCAAGAAGAACGTACCTGTTGTGACCTATGAAGATTATCGGTCTTATATTGATCGTATCGCTAATGGAGAGTCCTCTGATCTTATCTGTGATCGACCCATCAGTGTTCTCTTGGTCAGGTACCTTATTGAATGTAGATATCTCTGCAGATTCTGTGCAGATTTTTTTGTTTTCTGCTATGTGAATTTCTGATAACTAAAAGAATTTTAATGCTTTTGGTGTTGTCAAGTAGAACTTAGACCATTTTTTTTACTAGAATTTCGTAAGAGATTTTAAATCGAGGCTCTTACTAGATTTTCCTGTTAAGAAATTGCATGTGGCACATCTTTTCTTACAAAAAAACAAATTCTAGAGGAAATTTGCTTCAAAAGTTGTTGACACATGAGTAATGTACATTAGAATGAAGTATAGAATATGTAAAAAGAGTTGAAGAAGCGATTGTTTTTTGCAGCTCAGGTACTTCAGGAGGAGTTCCAAAGTTGATTCCTTTGACTACAGAGGATTTGGAACAGAGGATATTGTTTGCATCTCTCTATAGACCTCTACTCTCCAAGTAAAGAGTTTCAACCTCCAGTTGTGTCTGTTTTGTTGAATACCACCCTAAAAAAAAATAGTAAGTAAACCTAAACCCTTTGTTGTTACTGTTTGCAGGCACGTTGAAGGGCTTAGCCAGGGAAAATCTCTCTTGTTTTATTTCATGACCCGAGAAACCGAGACTGCCTCTGGTTTGATGGTCAGGACTATGATCACTTGTTTTTTGAAAAGTGTGAACCCAACCAACTCATTTCTCTGGTAATTATTTGCTCCCACATTACACTCCCACTCACATTACCTTGGTCCTGCGAGTGTTTCTTTAATCGTATTTGTTATCTTGATTTACAGGGATCAAACACAGATAAGCCCGCATCAGATTTCGTCTTGTGCCGACACTACTCAAAGCATGTACTGCCAATTGCTTTGTGGTCTTCTACAACGAGAAAACGTAGCTCGCATCGGTGCACCTTTTGCTTCTACCTTACTCAAAGTAATCAAGTTCTTGGAAGATCACTGGAATGAGTTATGCTCGAACATAAGGACTGGTCGTGTCAGCGACTGGATCACAGACGCTCAGTGTGTTTCAGGGATCTGTAAGTTCCTCACAGCTCCAAATCCAGAACTAGCAAGTCTTATCGAGCTAGAATGCAGTAAAACATCATGGGAGGGAATAGTGAAGAGACTATGGCCAAATGCTAAATGCATCGAATCTATCGTTACCGGCTCCATGGCACAGTACATACCAATGCTGGAATTCTATGGCGGTGGTCTTCCTTTGATCTCATCATTTTACGGCAGCTCTGAATGTTTCATCGGTATCAATGTTGATCCTCTGTGCAAGCCTTGTGATGTGTCGTACACCATCATACCAAATATGGCATACTTCGAGTTCTTAGAGGTAGTGAAAGACCAAGCTGGTCATGATCCTGTAGAGAAACCTGTGGTCGTTGATCTTGTCGATGTTAAAATTGGCCATGATTATGAACCTGTTCTCACAACGTTTTCTGGTAAGTCTTCATTACAAAATTAATGTATTTCCCAAAACTCATTGCAAAGTCTTTGTTTGAGAATCTCTCTATGTGTTGTGTTCTCAAATGCTGTATATATGATTTTACAGGTTTGTATAGGTATCGTTTGGGAGATGTTTTACGAGTGAGTGGTTTCTATAACAAGACGCCACAATTTCATTTCGTGGGAAGACAGAAAGTTGTTCTGAGCATCGACATGGACAAGACCTACGAAGAAGATCTCCTCAAGGCAGTGACAAACGCGAAGCTCCTGCTCGAGCCACATGACCTGATGCTCGTCGACTTCACTAGCCGTGTGGATTCTTGCTCGTTTCCAGGACACTACGTGCTATATTGGGAACTCGGGAGCAAAGTCAAGGATAAGAAGCTAGAGCCCGACCAAGAGGTTATGGAGGAATGCTGCTTCACCGTGGAGGAGTCTCTGGACTCTGTGTATAGAAAAGGAAGGAAAAATGATAAGAACATTGGACCACTTGAGATTAAAGTTGTTAGGAGTGGCGCTTTCGAGGAGCTCATGAATTTAGCCGTGTCTCGTGGCTCTTCTGTGAGTCAATACAAGACGCCAAGGTCAGTGACGAGTGAAGAAGCCTTGAAGATATTGGAGGCCACGGTTGTTTCCAAGTTTGTTAGCCGGAAAACTCCCTCGTGGGAGCTACATGAGATGTATTCCAGCCGATAAAACCACCGTTACATATTTTGCAGATACTTGAGTCTTGAGGGAAGGGGAAATAATAATGACGAAAAAAAACAAAACCCCTTAACAAGTATGTAATCGAATATATAAGCCCATCACAATCGTCGAGAATAATTCTATAAATCGTCCTTTTTTATTTTAATCTTCTTCTAATTTGAAGCTTAACACAAGAATCATAAAATATGTTTGGACATGAAAAAAAGCGAATAGTCGTCGTGAGTTGACTTGTTGCATCTCATATGACGAAAACGACAGCGTTTCTCGCTTAGCTTGAGCAACTATTCTATGGATGCGGACCTACGAAAGCAAGAAGATATGGAGGGCCCCACTTGTAAGATCCAAGGGCTGCTGCTCTTCCGGACACGTCACCGTTTCCGCGAAATCATCCCCACAGATCCTTTGCTCATCAGTAAACGGAGATATTCGCCATCATCAATCTGTATTCCAAGGAAGTTCCGGCGACGATGATGCCACCGGAGCTACAGCCGCGGCTGTTCCGGCCGCATATTTCCTCTTCCTCCGGTGAACCAACTTTGTCTTCTCCCTCTTACTCACCTCACATGAGCCCTGGCTCATCCAGAAACTTCATCGATCGAACTAGTGCTACTTCGAGATCCAGCAACTCTCGATTCTCTCCCTCTTCCTTCGCCTACAACGGACGGATCGCCATTGCTCTTGTCCCCTGCGCCGCTTTCCTCCTCGACCTCGGCGGCGCTCCGGTTGTTGCTACTCTCACCATCGGCCTCCTCATTTCCTACATCGTCGATTCTCTCAACGTTAAATTCGGTGCCTTCCTGGGAATATGGATGTCGCTGATCGCAGCTCAGATCTCCTTCTTCTTCTCCTCTTCTCTCCTTTCATCCTTCAATTCCGTCCCTCTCGGCTTGCTCGCTGCGTTTCTCTGCGCCGAGACCACTTTCCTCATCGGATGCTGGACGTCGCTCCAGTTCAAGTGGCTTCAGCTGGAAAATCCTTCCATTGTTGTCGCTCTCGAGCGCCTCTTATTCGCCTGTGTCCCCTTCACTGCCTCTTCGTTGTTCGCATGGGCTACCATTTCCGCCGTCGGGATGAACAACTCTTCTTACTATTTTCTCGTGTTCGCCTGCGTCTTCTACTGGGTTTTTGGTATTCCTAGGATTTCTTCATTCAAGACCAAGCAGGAAGCTAAATACCATGGAGGAGAGGTCCCTGATGATAACTTTATCCTTGGACCGCTCGAGAGCTGTTTCCTTTCACTGAATTTGATGTTCATGCCGCTTCTCTTTCATGTGGCTTCACATTACTCTGTGATATTCTCATCAGCTGCTTCAGTTTCCGATTTGCTACTCCTGTTCTTTATCCCTTTCCTGTTCCAGCTCTACGCCTCGACAAGAGGTGGTCTATGGTGGGTTACCAAGGATTCCCATCAGCTTCAGAGCATTCGGATTGTAAATGGGGCCATTGCCATGGTCATTATTGTCATCTGTTTGGAGATTAGAGTTGTTTTCCGTTCCTTTGGGAAATACATTCAAGTGCCCCCTCCATTGAACTACCTCCTGGTTACAACAACAATGCTTGGCGGTGCTGCTGGCGCTGGTGCTTCTGTTCTTGGAATGATCTCGGGTGCTCTTAGCTCAGCCTTTTTCACAGCTTTGGCTGTGATTGTGAGTTCTGCGGGAGCTATCGTTGTAGGATTTCCACTTCTGGTAAGTATTTTACTTCCAATTGCACAGCTCCTACTTCTATTGTAATTGATAACTATATCCGTGAGCTTTTATCAAATTTGGATTGCACTTAGACGAGTAGGTATCCCATGGATCTCATTTCTTTGGGCTAGCATATTGCTAGCTACCAGAGGCGTATGTTATTTAATAGCTGGTCGTAGGAATGGAGAAGTTGTTGTTTTTTCTTGTATTTGTGACTGTATAAGCTTTTAAAGGCTGTCGTTCCAACTTTGTATAGCGATAATGTTTACAAAATCTTTAGACCTTAGTATATATTTGTTTAAAGTTTGAAATGTTACATGGTCCTATAAGTTGTGATCTAACTATGTATGACATATAGACTAATCCGCACATTATTTCTTAGATAAAGAAAGTTGTGACAGCTGACATCTTCACATTGTCTGTTTATCTTGCAGTTTACTCCGCTTCCTGCAGTCGCTGGGCTTTATTTTGCTCGGTTTTTTACTAAGAAAAGTGTGCCCTCTTACTTTGCATTTGTTGCTCTTGGAAGCTTGATGGTTATATGGTTCGTAATGCATAATTACTGGGATTTAAACTTATGGTTAGCCGGTATGTTCCTCAAATCATTCTGTAAGCTTATAGTGGCTAACATCATCATAGCCATGGTCATCCCTGGCCTTGTTCTTCTCCCATCAAAATTCCACTTTCTGACTGAAGTTGGTATGGTGGCCCACGCATTATTGCTGTGTTACATTGAGGACCGCTTTTTCAATTACTCAAGCATATACTATTATGGAATGGAAGACGATGTGATGTACCCTAGCTACATGGTTATCTTGACGACACTAGTAGGATTGGCTGTAGTGCGAAGACTATTTGCTGATAACCGAATTGGACAAAAGGCAGTTTGGATCTTGACCTGTCTGTATTCAGCAAAGTTGGCTATGCTCTTCCTGTCGTCAAAATCAATTGTATGGGTGTCTACAGCTCTATTGCTGGCTGTTTCCCCTCCCTTGCTGCTATACAAGTATGTAGTAGGCATTTTAACTTTTACAAGCATCGTTTCAACTTGAAATGTAACATTGATTCTATTTACTCCATTGGTGTAATGTGCAGGGAGAAGTCGAAATCAGCCTCTAAAATGAAACCATGGCAAGGTTATGCTCATGCCGTAGTGGTAGCTGTATCTGTTTGGTTTTGCCGGGAAACAATATTTGATGCTCTACAGTGGTGGAATGGAAGACCTCCATCTGATGGCTTGCTTCTTGGTTTTTGCATCGTGTTAATTGGTCTGGCCTGTATACCAATTGTTGCCCTCCACTTTTCCCATGTCATGGTATGTCTGTTATACATTTTGCTTATGTTTCGTTTGATGTATTTCTGTGTCTGATTATCTAGATAGGGAACGGATCTTCCATTTGTGAGTTAAGCCATCTATTGTTGCTTCCTAGGAAAGAGTTCTCCGACAATGTTCTTAGGTGGACCTAAAGTGTGCAACATTTCTTTAGCTCGCCTCTAGTTCTTGGTTCCTATGAGGTCATTAGTGAGTTCATCGATTACTATGAGAGTCTACATTATGGAGCTAAATTAAAGCATGACAAAAAGAATATTATTATTATTATTCTTGAAAGTATTCGTCTTATAATCCTCCACTTAAACTCCATGGTGTAGCAAGACTGTATCTAGTTGTTGTCATGCTTGAACTAAGGTCTTTATTTTTAGACTAAAAAATGAGATGTTTTAGTTGTTGCTTATTACTGACCAGGAGAATTGTCTTAATTTTTCAGTCGGCTAAGAGAAGCTTGGTATTGGTAGTGGCAACTGGATGCATGTTTATTCTGATGCAGCCACCGATGCCTATGACATGGAGTTACCATTCAGACATGATCAAGGCCGCCCGTCAGTCAGCTGATGACATCTCCATCTACGGATTCATGGCATCCAAACCGACTTGGCCCTCTTGGTTACTAATCGTGGCACTCCTGTTGGTTCTTGCTGCTGCCACATCTCTTATCCCAATCAAATACGTAGTAGAACTGAGAGCATTTTACTCCGTAGCGATGGGTTTAGCTCTCGGTGTTTACATATCTGCAGAGTTTTTTCTACAAGCTGCTGTTCTACACGCCCTGATCGTTATAACAATGGTGTGTGCCTCAGTTTTTGTTATCTTCACCCATTTTCCATCAGCCTCAAGCACAAAACTGCTTCCCTGGGTGTTTGCACTTCTCGTGGCTCTGTTTCCAGTGACATATCTGTTAGAAGGGCAGGTCAGGATTAAAAACGATCCCAGCGATAATGTTGCCTGGGGTTGGGACGCAAGGGAGGAGGATAAGAAAGTCACAACCATGTTGGCCATTGAAGGTGCAAGAACATCTCTTCTAGGTCTCTATGCGGCGATATTTATGCTTATAGCTCTGCTGATTAAGTTTGAGCTCACTTCGCTTTTGCGTGAGAAATTCTCTGAGAGGAGTGGTCAGTCAAAAACCCATGGCGGCGCAAGGGGGATGTTCCCGACACGAATGAGGTTGATGCAGCAACGTCGAGCCACCTCGATCCAAAGCTTTGCAATAGAGAAAATGTCAGAAGATGGAGCAGCCTGGCTGCCAGCGGTTGGTAATGTTGCTACCAGCATGTGCTTTGCCATATGCCTAATCATCAACATCCACATCTCCGGCGGCTCAAGCCAAGCGATCTTCTTCCTGGCTCCTATTCTACTTCTCTTGAACCAAGACTCTGATCTCTTATCCGGGTTCGGCGACAAACAGAGATACTTCCCGGTTACACTAGCCATATCAACGTACTTGGCGCTATCCTCTCTGTACACTATATGGGAAGAAGTTTGGTTCGGTGGAAACGCAGGTTGGGGAGTAGAGATTGGAGGGCGTGAATGGTTCTTTGCAGTGAAGAACCTCGCTCTTCTTATACTCACAGCACCAGGTCACATTATATTCAACAGATACGTGTGGACTTACACCAGTAAACACTCAGGCGCATCGCCGATGCTGACCGTGCCACTTAGCTTTGCAGCCGTGGTCATAACCGACGTGTTTCAGGTCCGGCTTCTGGGGGTTTTAGGGATTGTTTACTCTGCAGCCCAATATGTGATATCTAGGCAGCAATATATGAAAGGGCTGAGGTATATTTAGACAGTCATAGGATTAGTATGTTTCGGGCCTTTTTGTTGTGTAACAGAATTGGTGAAACAATGTTTTCATTTTTCCAGACCTTTTTTTTGCCTTTAGTTTCTCAGTTGATGTGTTGGAAATTGCAAAGATACGTTTTCAGGAATTACTTAATGGTCTTCTTACAAGTTACAAGCAAACAGATCTTATTAGCCCGTTCATTTTAAAAGTTTTGTGTATTAATAGTGAAGCATACCTAACCAAACCGGTTCACCAGATTGTTCAATATGAAGCATTGGCTATAGGAAAACAAAATAGGAAGATACAATTGCTGTTGATTTCCAAAAATA